ATATAAAAGTACACAAGACTAAACCTTTAACAACATGTTAGTGACCTCTTATAGGAGGGCTTAATGGCCCCTGAGTAAAATACAACAATCTTCACACTCTTTCCTCTAAGGATACTTTTTTGTAGCATTTTCAGCAGTTTTTCATAGCAAATAATACAAAATACATTATTTCAGTTCTGCTTTGGGGCAGGGATTTTGGTTGGGGATGAAAACATCTGAAATATGGTGGTTGGAAGTTGTAATGGTGGTGGGATTGGTGTTTGAATATTAAATGTAATCAAATATTGTGAACTACTTTATAAAATAAAAAAATTTAAAAAAAGAGTACACCCTATATGTAAATATTGCTTCATGAGGCATAGGTGTTGGAACATTGTATGACTGAAATTCAATCATGAACAACTTTGTAATTGTATATCTCACAGTGACTCAATAAAAAATAATTTAAAAATAAACTTCAAAAAATACTGCTTTATGAAATTCTTTTGTGTATATGTCCTATATACTTTCATAGCTCATGGCTCAGAAAATCCCATCGTTGTACTAGATAGTGGCATAAGTAAGCTTGAAATAAAATTAATTTACAATGTACCCTCAGGGAAGACTGCTCTCTGGATGATCCAATACTGATTATTCATGCATTGTCTTCTTACTTTATTTTTATTATTAAGTGAAAGAATACAAATGCTTCTTCCATGAAACAGTGAAAATTAGTACTCATCAGCAAAAATTAGCACCGATTAGAGAAAGCAAAAACACTGCCAGTGGCTCTTTCTAAATAGTAATTTTATTATTTCTTGTGGAAATCTATCTTGAGTTCTTAGTGTTAACTGATAGGGGCAGGTCACTTTCCAGAACTTGTTGGCATGAGTGCCAGTGTGCTATCCATGTTTTAAAAATAGTCTTTTTCTTTTCCAGCATAGCCAACATTGCCCTCCACCTGTCTCGGCTCAAACCACTCTCATATAGCTAGAAGCTGATATTCAGCAAGTGTTCCAGAAAATGGGCCTGGGTGGCTCCTCGGCTGATGGCAGCAGTGGCCTGAGTGGTTTCTCCCTGCCCTGTAATATCAGGCCACATCCCAGGAAGATGGCACCCTAGGACCCAGCCTGACCAGGCAGGTCAGGGTGGAAGGTATTGAGGGTGGAGACCAGTCCTGCTGGAGGTGACCCAGAGTTGGTTCAAGTGCTGGGACACCCGTTTTCGGAGAGGCAAAAAAAAAAATACACACACACACACACACACACACACACACACACACACACACACCAGTCCCACATAGAACAGAGTATCAACTTAATTTACATGTTTTCTGAGTCTTCTCTAGGACGCAACATAACCATGACCACTCCAAAATTAGCACTGTGCTAATCTTGCCAGGACTAAAACACAGTGGAGACAACACCCTCACTCTAAGTCACCAAACACATGTGTTTTTGCATGTTTTCTTGATTTTTATCCAGATAAATCTTAGAAAACATACCAGGTAAAGCACGCTCCACTGCCCATAAAGTGTTTTCATTTGGGGCTTGATAGTTTAAAAAGAAATGTAAAGTTCAGGATGTAGCTCAGCATTATAGCACATGCCACATGGATACTTCTCCTCCCTGCCCTGCTTCACATACCAGTCCCTACATACATGAAGTTACTGGGGAAAAAAATTTCATTTTCTTTAACAGATTTCAGAAGCATTGGTACATATTTTGGACAATGTTTACTCCAATGTAGTCATGGAATCTAAGACATTTCCAACATATTCAGATGTAGTTCTTTTGAACCCTTGGCTTCCTAGTGTAAGAACATATGTCTCTTGCAATAGGCCACTCATAGTGCGTGTAGTTAAATTATTGGCTACATACAAGTACATGTATATTTAAGATATTGATGAGTAGTGCAGTGTCACCAGAGGTGCACAAGGAGTAAGGGGGGCAGGATAATTCCTTTTAATTTTGTATCTAACAGTTTAATGCTCAGACCCATTTTTTAGAAGGAGTCCTCCAAAGGTATGCCACTCTTCATGATACTTTTGCCAACTAGATTAGATAGTTCAATGCTTTAGCTAGCAACTGATTATGCTTGAACTCAATGGTGCTGTGGGTGGTGTCCAGGGGCACTTCAGGGCTACATCAGGGGCATGACGTTAGTCAGGGACCATGAGGTGCCATGCCAGGATTCAAACTTGCAGAGAATGTGTCCTCATCTTTTGGGTTAGCTAGAATACTATAGATCTGAAAAACCCAAAACCCATCTTTCAAGATTCCCTTGCAGCTATGGGTGCCCTTGTGATACAGTGTGGCCAGTAACATGTCACCTGGAAATATCTCCTTTTTGCCATTTGCCCTTTGGGTTTTTTTTTTCCCTTCCTTAAGCCTGGAATGCTGACACAAGTCTTGGCAGTCACAATGCCCTGGGCACAAAATCCAAACCCTAAGGGTGGCAAGCAGGAAGAACCTTGACTCAAAAGGCTGTGGCTAGAATCCTTCAAATATAAGAAAAATAACCCTGCTACTACGGTGAGCCCGTCGCCTGTCAGAGGTGATGCAAAGCTAAAAATAACTAAACATTTGGTATAGTTATTTGTGCCTTTCATAAAATTGACCAAATACATATATTACCGATTCGAAAATAATTTTTTAAAAGTTGAAATGATTACAAAATATATGTAAGTTCTTCATTACTTTTATTTTTTAATGGTTCATGAAATTTGTTTGGCTTTTAAACTAAGTCTTAGATGATCAAAGCATTCTAGTTTTTCCCTGAGTGTTATACTCCAGTTTGGGCTGGTAGCTGGTGCATTAGGGATAGCCAGATAGATGCCTTGGGGCTAGGAGAAACTGCCAGAGTAGCTACCTCTGTTTTATTTAAAAGTCATTGGACCTCAAATGTGAGTGTGAACTCTTATGGTAAAAATTCTGGAGATACCAACCTATCAGACAATTTATATTCCATTTGAGGCGATGTAATATCACTTTTCCAGGTCTTTTGAGTTACTGGGAACTCATGCGCCCGTTTTTATCAAGTTGCTAAGTCCTTGATTTATTTTGAGCTCTTTGATACACCACCCCCTAGTGGTACTTAGAGGGAAACCTTATACTTCTAAGGTACTATTCCAAGTTGTCCGCAGAACCCATCCTAACTTATAAAGCACATGGAGCAGAAAAAGCATATGCACTATTATCTCAGAGTGAACATTAAAAAGTCATCCATTTTCAAGATGTCTCATGGTTATTAATATGGATTCCCAATTGTTCTAATACATGTGTGGTAGCCATGAATGTGAAGTTTCACCACCCATATGTACCGATGTCAAATAGCTCATTCTTGATTTCAAGAAGAGTCTGAGAGTCCAGATTGGAAGATACACAGACAAAAAAACAGTCTCAAATTAGTCTTTCACTTTGCTAGGGGGGACAGGTAGAGCCACGGCTTTTGGGTCACACATCCACCGCTCACTCCGAAATCCCAGAGCTCCAGCTGTGATCCCCACTGTGATCCTCTCCATGGCCTCTTTGAAAGCTGAATGTCTCCCCATCCTTAGAGAGTGAAGTCTGCAAAGCACTGGCTTCTCTTCGCCATTATAACATTCCCCCTCATTACTCTCACTGCTCTAAAAGCGGTTCCTATAGATTGATGGAGCCAGAGTATTCTGGGATGCTTGTTCAGATGAGAACATGTTTGAGAACCACTAATCTTCCTGGATGCGAATGAAGTGGGTACGGAGCTAATAGGTGCCAAGGCCACAGGTGCGTACAAGCCTGGCGTTTTCCAGGACAGAGGAAGACTAGTAAGGTGTGTGCCCTTAGAGTTCTAGATGTGATCAGTACCATGCGACATCAAAGCAAAACAGAACAAAAACTGCCACAAGCCTTCTTGTCCACAAAAAGGAGTTAAGAATGTTTATTTGTTTTGCTTTCCCGGCCAAATCAATGGTGCTTGAGGGCTACCCTTTGATCAGTGGTCTGGGGGAGCTCCTTATGGTTCTGGGGGTCATACTTGGCTGTACCAGTGGGATTGAACCTGGGTGTCCTGCATGCAAAGCACCTGCCTGTTGAACCATCTATTCCCCTGCCCTTCAGAATAGAGAGTTTACTGGAAGTGAAAAATGTACTGGAAGGTTTCAAAAGAGGGAACCATTTGAGATTTCCATAGACCATATTTGAAAGGGCAAAAGTCTGGAAGGTCAATAGCAGGAAAGTTCCATAGAATCCTTTGGGACTCCCATTCATCTTTTAAAGTGCCGGTCAAACGCCTTCCGCTTTGGGGAGCCTTCCTGGCTTCCTGGGAGCAGAGGGCGGCTGGTTTCCTCAATTCACCCCTCTCGATCTGTGAAGTTCACTTTTTCCCAGGGGCTTGGGAGGGTTTGGAGGAGCTTCTGGACCCCTCTAGCCCTGAGCGGTCACCCTCCCAGCCCGGGAGAGGAAACAGGGAGGACAGGAGCACCCTCTGGGGATCCTCTGTTTATCCTTCTTTTCCCGGCAATGATGGAATTCCAAGGTGTGCATGTTTGAGGCTGGGATGAAAGCGTTTCTATTCCCGCTGCGAGATCCCGGGGAGGGAGGAGTGGTGTGGTGGTGTTTCTGGTTCCTTTTTAGAACTCCAGCCCCAACTTTGGGTGGAGGAATGCGGAGTGGGGAGCGAGATGAGGCCTTGCGGCAGGCGCACCTGGACGGGGCGGGAGCCGGCGGCGTCGGGCGGGGGAGCTGGGGACGGAGGCGTCGGGACGGGCGAGGGTGGCGGGGTGAGGCCGAGCCAAGGCGGCACCCGGCCGAGCCCACCCAGACGCCCAGACCCCGGCCGCCTCGCCCCAGACATTCCGCCCCGGCCGCCGGAATGCGCGGACAAGGCTCCTTGTGGGCCCGGGGCGGGGTCCCCTCCCTCCTGCGCCCCCCGCGTCCCCGGGGCGGGGCCTCGCGCCGCGGGACCTTTAAATAAGCGGGGGGCGCGCGGGACTCAGGCCCGCGTGGACGGAGCGAGCGGCCGCCCGAGCCCCCCACCCCACGATGCGCCACCTCCCGGGACCCGTCCTGCTGCTGATGCTGATGCTGCTGCCGCCGCCCCCCGCCGCCCCCGGACCCCTGGCCCGGCCCGGCCCCCGGAGGGTGGGGACCCGCGGCCCCGGGGGCAGCCCTGGACGGCGGCCCTCTCCGGACGCGTCCACCTCCGGCGAGCCCTACTCGGGGGGCGGCCAGCCCGGAGGGGCCCGCGGCGGCGCAGGTAGGGCGGAGGGGGTCCGAGGGAGGGAGGACACGGCGGGACCGAGCACTACCTGTACCCTAGCCTGAGCAGGACCGCGGGGAGGGAGAGAGAAACCCCCTTCCACCCCTCCCCAGAGGAATACAGGGTTGGGGGGGCGGGGAACATGTGGAAACTGAGGCACAGGGAAGGCAGAAAAGCTTCCTTGGGTTCTCGGGGTCTGGAAGAGGACCACCAACTCCAGCAGCTGCACCCTGTGGCTTGGGCAGGGTTCCTCAGGGAGCAGTGGTGGCCTTGGTGGCACCTATGTACTTTGTAAGGGGCCACCTCTCAGCTCTCTGCCCCGTGCCTTCTGGGCTTCTACTTTGAATTCCTGGACATCATTCCCTCAGGTTTAGGTGAGAGGTGCGGGGAGGAAGCTGGCCATCCACCAGCTTCCCCCAGGGCCCCTCTGGTCACCATCTCCTACTCCACCTCCATCCCCCTGCCCCTGAGGGGAGGTTCTTTCTTTCTTTCTTCCTTTCTTTCTTTCTTTCTTTCTTTCTTTCTTTCTTTCTTTCTTTCTTTCATTTTTATTAGTGAGACACCATGAGGTACAGTTGTAGACTTACAAATTTTGTGCTTGGGTTTCAATTATACAATGATCAAATACCCATCCCTCGACCAGTGCCCATTTCCCACCACCACGAATCTCAGTATCCCTCCCGCCCCCATCCCCCCATCCCACCCTGCCTCTGTGGCAGGGCATTCCTTTTTGTTCTCTCTCCTTTTGGGTGTTGTGGTTTGCAAAAGAGGCATTGAGTGGCAATCCTGTTCGGTCTATAGTCTACTTTCAGCATGCATCTCCCATCCTGGGAGGATCCTCCCAACACACTGAGGGGAGGTTCTCCTTGAACAGGTGGAATAGCTGGGTTAGCACCCCGATCTGTGCTTGCTGCCACCCTCGGACACTCAGGCCCTTTTGTTTAGAAGTTGGCTTTGGTGAAGGTGCTGGAGCACTGGGAGACCAGGGCACTCACGGTGCAATGGTCCCTCTCCGAAGCTACATAAGCCAGCACTGGAGGGTCAGCGCCTGGATGGAAAACTCAGTGAGATGCCTGGAAGATTTTTACCTTCTTCCCCTTAAGTGGAGCTTTAGTCTTGCTCAACAAAGGCCGAATAGAACACTTTTCTGGGTGTGCAGGCTTGTCTCGCCAGATGATGCTTTGGACATTGGACAGGGATGTCCCCTGACCATCCTGCTACTTTCTGGGTGATGTGGAGAAGGGACCAATGGGTTCTTCTGCACCAGCCCTAGTGGACTTGAATTTGAAATGGCAACAGCATTATCACTGGGCCAGGAACTGCCAAGGATCACAAGGGTCAGATGCATTTGGTAGCCAGCTCCTAGCTCCAGGCCAGGAAGGTGATGATGGGAGTGGTGGTGGTTGGGGGGGGTGTTTGGGGGGCTGTGTGGGGGGGGCGTGAGGTGATAGATTCTGTGTGCGGTGGTTATGTTTCCCTTGTCAGTACTCAGTCTTTATTCCATGGAATCCAAACCAATACGGAAGAATATTCCGTTAATAAACACTGCATTCATTTCACATTGATCTAAATGCCTTTTTTTTTTTTATGAACAAGAAACAGTAGGGCTTTGCTATGGGCTTTTATTTCTCCCAGGACTGCCAGAAATGGGCAGTGTAATGACATAGTGAGCATGGAAACATTTTAGGAAGTTCAGATTCTCACTTTCTCCCAAGAATCAAAGTGCTGCTTTTTTTTTTTAAAGTATGGGGAAGTGAGATTTAAAAATGATAAAAGATGTTGTCTGGGGATTCCAAGCCAGGAGGTCATCAGTTGTTCATGGAATTGTCCACTACCCAAGTCCAGCCTCTTCTATTCATTTTTTATTCTTGCTCTAATAAAATGCCATTAACTTGGCTTAGTAGCAGCACGCGTTTAATTCCTCGAGTTCTGTAGAACCACAGTGTTGATACCAGTCTCCCTGGGTGGCACCAGTGCTGTGTTCCCTTTGGGTAATCTCAACTACAGCTTGCAAATCACTTTAGCCACAGAAATTAAGATTCTTGCAACTTTAGAGATTCAGATGGGGGCTTTTGGAGGGATTGGAGGGGTCACACTGGGCCATGCTGGGGGTTTGCTCCTGGCTCTGCACTCAGGAATTACTCCTAGTGTTGCTTGGGGGACCATATGGGATGCCGGGGATCGAAACTAGGTCAGCCGCATGCAAGGCAAATGCCCTCCCCACTGTGCTATCCGTCTGGTCCCAGACAGGGGCTTTTTTTGTTGGATGGGGGTGAGGTGGAGTTCTGCTCACTGTATCCTGTGGAACCTTGTACAGAGGGGCCTGTGTAGAAAACCAAGTCGAGAAGGAATGAATCATGCACACTTGCAGGAATTTATTTGTATTTGTAGGAACATTATTCGTAGGAACATTGCTACGTAGGAACGTGATGTTAGTATGAATGTGACGTTAGTAAGGCTGTCTTTTGGATGTTAGTGAAGGCGTTGTCATGTGTGGGGTCCATGCCATATGCTTTTTTTTTCACTTCAGTTTACGCAAAGCTACCTCCATCCTTCCCCAGGAAGGATTTCTGACACTGTTTTTCCTCTTTGCTCCTGATGCATGGTAATCAAGGGCTAGAAGGGAATTCCGAAGTTGTTAAAAAGAAAAAGGACTTAATTCCTTTCGACTTAACTAAATATATGACATAGAGCATGTTTTGGGGCTGTGGCTCACAGTCAGCAAAAAAAAAATGTTTACAAGTACATGAGCTAATGTTGATGTTTGTGATGGAAACGGTTGCCTCAGCGAAGCCACGAAGCAGTGAAAAGCCCCTGCAGGCTGAAGGAAGTCAGGGGACCCCACATCCCATCAGTACTCTCTCAGTTTCTCTGTCTTACACCTCCCGTAGCCTTAGGTCTCACCTGTAAAGCAGGCTTGAAAGTAATCTCCATATTGCTGTATTGTGATGACCAAATGGGGGGCAATTTGGGGCCATTCTGGAGCAGTTTCAGCCCCTGGAAAGCAAGGGAAGCTTCTGGAAAAAGCCCCAGTGAGCCTACCTCAGATTGGCTTTTCCGAGGGCCCTGAGTCCTGGGCAATAAAGAACACAGAGAGGGCACCTTGTTGACACTCCCTCCACCTGAGCAGGGATACTTTGTCCCATTGCATCCGACGGCTGTAGTGCCCAGGGAAGGTCTGGCATCTACCCATTCCCAGAGGTCAGGTGAAACCCCATGGGCATGAGGCTTTTATAGGACGATACAGTTTAGAGGTGAGCTCTTTGGGGGAGCTTCTCTCTTCTCTGGTGATTCCTCCAGAGTCTTCTGAAAGCTTTCCACCCGCAAATGGAGAATGGCAGTGGAGTGTTTGGGGGTACAGGCTGCTGCCTTGCCTGGCTCCCTCTCGGGGCTCACTGGGTTGTGCATGACCCCATTTCACAGTGAGATCCCGGGGTTGCTCAGCTGTCTCTGTGTCCCACACTCTCCTCGGCAGGTGTGTGCAAGAGCAGGCCCTTGGATCTGGTGTTTATCATCGATAGTTCTCGGAGCGTCCGGCCCCTGGAGTTCACCAAAGTGAAAACCTTTGTCTCGCGGATCATCGATACTCTGGACATCGGGGCAGCAGACACGCGGGTAGCAGTGGTCAACTATGCCAGCACGGTGAAGATCGAGTTCCACCTTGGGACCCACACAGAGAAGCAGGCCCTGAAGAAGGCTGTGGCTCGGATCACGCCTCTGTCCACGGGCACCATGTCAGGCCTGGCCATCCAGACAGCAATGGAGGAAGTCTTCAATGTGCAGGCAGGCGCTCGGGGGCCCAATGCCAACATCCCCAAGGTGGCCATCATCGTGACCGATGGGAGGCCTCAGGACCAGGTGAACGAGGTGGCCAGCAGGGCACGGGCATCTGGCATTGAGCTCTACGCCGTAGGTGTGGACCGGGCAGATAAGGAGTCCCTTAAATTGATGGCCAGTGAACCCCTGGAGGAGCACGTTTTCTACGTGGAGACTTATGGGGTCATTGAGAAACTTTCCTCTAGGTTCCAGGAAACCTTTTGCGGTAAGTCTTTGCTCCCCTCTAGAAGAGATGTTTGATTCAGACATTGTGTACTCCTAGAAAAAGAGAGTTGGGGGAGGGTAGAAATTTTAATGAAAACGTCAAAAGAAGCACTACTCTTTTAGCGCCTTTTTGGGTACCAACTTAAACACACTTTGTTGATTCAGGAATATAGAGCTGCCTTCTATATAACTTGGTTTGCTCATAAAATCTTCATGTTTGCATTAGAAATGTGAAGGTCTGCAAATATAAAGGACAAATGATCATGCTGTTCCCCGATGGGGTCAGAAAGAAAAATAAAAATAAAACCCTCAAAACGTCTCTTTTCTCCCTTTTGCCTACCACTACATTTTTTCCAGATATTTTCTTAACTTCACCATCTCTAGTTTTAACAGAACTCTGCTTGTTTTCCTGCAGAAGAGGAGAAAGGAAGGACCTATGGGCCAGTGTAACAGTCAGTGGACAGTTAGTGAACACTAGTTCAGGTTTGGCTCCTTCTCTGGTGTTTTTTGTTATTGTTGTTGGTTTTGGGTCACAACTGCTGGTGCCTGGAATACTGTGGGGTGCCAGGAATTGAACCTGAGACTCGGGCACTCAAAGCATGTCCTCCAACCTTTTGAGCCATCTCCTCTAAAGAGTCTGAATGGATAGGCAGGATGAGGAATTAGGTAGATTTCAGCTCACTCAAGAGAAAGCAATCATCAGATTTAAAAAAATATCCCTCTCATGTTGGAGATCTATTCCCAATGATGGAGGTTATGCTTTGCATGAAAGAGCCCCTGGTTTTATCCCCAGCACTGCATGGCCTCCCAATTCACTGCAGATTAGGGGGCAGTGACCTCAAGTGACCACACTCAGAGCAGCACTTGAGCACTGTCAGGTATGTCCCCAAGACACAAATGAGTAAGAAAAAAAATCATGATTACTGTCCTTCTACTTCTTTCTTCTTTTGGGGTGGAGTTTGAGGATGAACCTGCTAATGAACCATTTTAGCATCAATTAGCCAGTCTAGGACTATGAATTCATGGAAAGGCGGGGTTTTTTAGACATTAATCAGATGTATGAATCTTTAGATTATTATTGTTTGAAAATGTTTTTACTTTTCTTCTTATCTACTACCTTCTTGCTTTATTATTATTTTTTTATTACTTGGAGATAATTTTTCTCTTTCTTTTTGAAAGTAGAAAGGTTTATTGCAAAGTAGAAGAGAAAGAAAAAGGAACTCCCCAGGTGGGGAGAAACTTAGCATAGGACTAAGTTCACTTGGAGATAATTTTTCAAAGCCCTTTATGAAATTAGCCAAGGAAGTGTGGACCAACTTCTAGTTCAGATAAATTTCTAAATGTATGTATGTTTTTCCTAGAGAAACTATTCCACATTTATTTATTCAATTTATTTATTGATCATGGATAACACACCATTCCGGGGAGGGGGGGCTTCTACCTGAATTAATGTGAAAGTCAGCCATCACTAGTTTTTCAAGAAATGGAGCTGAGGTCTTGGTGTGGGGCAAGTTTGGCCTCATCTCAGACCTAGCTGGCATCTCCTCTTTCTCCTGTCCCAGGATACTGGACCATCACAAATCATCATTGACTTTGGTGGCATCTACTTGGTATTTGTTGATGCCACAGCAGAAACTGGCTTTCTTTCTCCCAGGAAAATCCCCAGGGCTTGCGGGTGAGGGCTTTTCCATAAAGATGCTGGTCTGTGGCTGAGTTGGGGTTAAAGCTAACAACTGGGGTTGGGCTAGAAGGCCAGAAAGGAATAGAGGTGAGTGGCAATCTTTTTTCGTTTTGGTACAAAAGACCTGCTTGTTCTGGGGGGCAAAATGTCCTCTCTATGGAAAACAAGACTGAGGGGCAGCTTGTTGTAGTCAGTGGGCTGGATCATTCTGTGAAAAAGCCCTTCTTGGGAAAATATTAGCCTTGTCACCTTGCCAAAGCAGGAGAGGCTGCCTTACCTGCCACAGGATGCCTGCCTCCTCCAGCACGTCTCCTTGATTTCTCAGAAATGACTTCATGCTTTGATTTTTCTCGCAAAGCATCTCACCAGGAAAAAAGAATCCAATGAGATATAAGTGGCTCCAGGAACAAGAAGATGAATGCAACTTGGCTAATAAAAAGCTCATTAATTTCTTTCTTTGAGTCTATTATCCTGGTAAATATTAGAGGTCTTGAAAGTGCATTTGTGTACATTTAGACTCAAGAGTCCAAGCTGAATATTCAGAAGGCAATGAACCACATTGCCCTCCACCATTTGTATGTTTGTATGTTCTCTTACGATGGCCACCCAAGAGAGAATGAATTCTGGTTCTGGAAGAATGCCTGTATGTAATTTCTGTGCACATGCAAATTATAGAACACTTAGGAAGTAGATTCTGATTGCAACAAGACCTCTACTTTGTAGATCTTTCAGGATGCATGTGATTATTCTTCCTCTTTTCTTCTTTCTTGTTTTGGGGTCAGACCCTATCAACGAGGGGTTATTGCTGACTATGTGCTCAGGGGTGAGGCCTGGTAGTACTTGGGGGACCATATGTAGTGCTGGGGATTGAACTGGGATTGGTGGGATGCTAGGTAAGTGCCTTAATACTGTTCTAGCTCTCTATTACTTTCTCCTCTTTTCTGAAGTCTTTGTCATAAGAGATCAGATATGTTGAAAAGAACACCAAGTTGTCTCACCCATGAAACTTCTCAGTTTTAGCTCCAAATTAAAAATTCCTGAGACTGGAGAGATAATACAGAGGATAAGACATGCCTTACCCACAGTCAACCCAGGTTTAATTCCCTGTACGGCATGCAGTTACCCAAATTACCACCAGGAATGATCCCTGAGTGCAGAGTCAGTGAGCACAGCCATGGGTGACCCCCAAACCAAAACCAAAACAAACCCAAGATTTATTTCTTTTTTGAGAGAATTGACAAGATCTGATTTGACATTAGTAACACCTTGTGTTTAAGATCAGTGTTTCTAAGCTGTCAGAGGCAGAAAATAGTCCATTTTTAATAGTGAACTAAAAAAGAATCAGAAAGGAAGCTGGAGTTTGTTTGTTTTTTTTTTTTTTTTTTGCTTTTTGGGTCATACCTGGAGATGCTCAGGGGTTACTCCTGGCTCATGCACTCAGGAATTGCTCCTGGCGGTGCTCAGGGGACCATATGGGATGCTGGGAATCGAACCTGTGTCGGTCATGTTGGCTGCATGCAAGGCAAATGCCCTACCCGCTGTGCTATCACTCCAGCCCTGAAGCTGGAGTTTTGACATGGCAGAAAATGTCCAGAGAGTTTCTTTGGTGTCATATTGTTGTAAACATTCTTTACACAGCTGTGGACCTTTGTATGCTTGGCACACACCAGTGCCAACATGTGTGTGTCAGTGACGGGGACGGCAAACACCATTGTGAGTGCAGCCAAGGGTATTCGCTGAATGCTGACAAGAAGACGTGTTCAGGTGAGATGGTCTGGGAGGGTGGCCGATTGACTGGGCCACCTTTGGGGACTCATCAGGCTTTGTACCAGCCTTGTGCTTTCTTCCTAACAGTTTGATTAATGTACTTATTTGGTTAATTTACTTATGCTTATGGGCCTGAGCAATAGCACAGTGGGTAGGATGTTTGCCTTGCACGTGGCCGACCTGAGTTCGATTCCTCCACCCTTCTTGGAGAGCCCGGCAAGCTACCCAGAGTATCCCGCCTGCATGGCAGAGCCTGGCAAGCTCCCCATAGCATATTCGATATGCCAAAAACAGTAATAGTATCTCACAATGGAGACGTTACTGGTGCCTGCTCGAGCAAATTGATGAACAATGGGAGCACAGTGCTATTGGACTGATGCTTATCAATCATTTATCCTGAAAAAGAATGAGGGAAAAAATTGAGGTAACATAAATTATCCCATTGATTTTTGAAAACATGCTACTGATTTTTCTAAAAACAGTTAGTAGGGAAAGGACTAGTAAGGGCATGGGCTAAAACTCTTGGTCCTTTAGATTAGTTGGAGATTTTCTTTAAGGAAAAGTGAGGATTTTACTGAATGAAAGACAGGCTGCCTCCTCTCTGTGATCATGGCTGTTCATGGAATCTAGACGTTGAAGAAAATGGAGAGTGATCCTCATGCATGTGGTGTGTAAATACTCACATACAGCCAACAAAGAGTGGAAACTAGATCTATTTTTTAAAAACCAGAGAAAAAAGTTTTTGAGAGAAAGGTTAGCGATTATTTAACATTTTTTATTTTATACCCAAAATAGGAAGAGCATGCTCCAAGAAGACTAGGAAACAGGTGTCAATTTGGGGCTCAGTGGCCTTTTTCTGGTGCTCCCTGCCCTGTGTTTGTGTGTGTGCGTGTGTGTGTGCTGTGTGTGTGTGTGTGTGTGTGTGTGTGTGGAGTGTCCCATCATTATTTACTTACCAGTTTCCTTGTGGTTCACAAATGTTCCGATCATCTTTTGATAGAGATTGACAAGTGTGCTCTTAACACTCACGGGTGTGAACACATTTGTGTGAACGACAGAACTGGCTTTTATCACTGTGAGTGCTATGAAGGCTATTCCTTGAATGAAGACAAGAAAACTTGCTCAGGTAAGAAGAGGCGGAGACTTTACTACTGCATCTCCCTGTTCCTCCTCCTTCCTTCCCCACCTGTTACGGAGTAAGTCACATGAATGGGCAAGTTGGTCTTTTGTCACTCTGGCCATCACTGGCTTTCTCTGTGTCTTATTTTGAGCATTAGAAATGTAGCTTCTATGTATTACCACTGGGCTGGTGTGTTGTGTTCATTTCTCTCTCTCTCTATACTCAGTCCTATGGCTACTTTCCAAATGCTAAAGGCAACTTACTAAGTTCAAATCAACTGACACCCTACCAGAGGTGTCTTCCTTACAAAGAAAAAAAAAGAGTAAATTTATAGTGGAGAAACTTGAACATCACCTGAACCAGGTGTCAAGGTTAATTAACATCATAGGTGTTGACATCATATGTTTTCTGATACGACATGCTGAGGATACAGCAATGCTTTTGTGGTACTCTTGAAAAAAATTTAGAATCATAAAAATCATTAGACAGATACACTTTGAGAGACATTCTAAAAATTAACTTTCCAGTCCTTTGCAAAAGTGACAAATTCATGAAAGTCCCAGAGAGATGAAGCGAATATTCCAGATTAGGAGGTACTACGGAGACATGGCAACTTAATGCAACGTGTGACCCAGATTGGATTCTGGAACAACAACAACAAAAGTAAAATGGTGGTGGAACAGTTGGCAAATTTTAAATAATTCCATAGAGGACTGTCAGTTCTATCACTGACATTCTCTTGGTTTTGATGATATGGTGATGATGATGATCTCTTGGTTTTGATCATCTTATTATGGTTGGATGGCATTTGGGGAAGTAGTACTCTTTGACATTTTGGTAACTATTTTTCTCTCCACAATCCTAAAATACTTCAAAATTAAAAGTTGAAGAAATAGAACGTGGTTTAAAGAAACATCACCCAAATCGGACTGCAGCTCATCAGTGAGGTCCTGTTTTGAGCCCCAGAACCACTAAAAATCATTTCAATACAGAAAGAATTGCAGTAGGTTAAAAAAAAACTGGGGCACTGAGTTCTGATGCTGCTGCTGAGTTCATTGACTCTTTGGACTCAAGTTTCCTTAATTATAACTTTCCAGTTAACTTTCCAGTCCTTTGCAAAAGTGACAAACTTATGAAAGCCCCAAATAGATGAAGTGAATATTCCGGATTAGGAGGTACTAAGGAGACATGGCAACTTAATGCAATGTGTGACCCAGCATGGATTCTGGAACGAGAGGGGTGAACTACGATATATTTAAACTTTCATTTTACGCTTTTCTGAATCTAGCTTAAATGAGCCACACAATTGTTGATGTTCTTCTGATTCAGAATACGTACAAGAAACTAAAAAATATTGCCTTATAGAAGTGTTTTATATTTGTTCTTTGGACTACACCTGATCATGCTCAGGGTTTACTCCTAGCTCTGAGCCCAGGGATCACTCTTGGCAGGCTCAGGGAACCATATGTAGGCACCAGGGATTGAGCCCGGGTCAGCTGTTTGCAAGGCAAACACCCTACCTGCTGTACTCTATAGCTCTGTCCCCAATATAGCAGCATCTTTTAACCTTATTTTTAGACTTTGTTTCCTTTTTTTCACTCCCCATCCCACTGGTTGGCCTTCTAGTCTTGTGCCCTTGGTTCCCTCCTCCCCCAAGATTTTCACCCTTGGAGTATCTTGGAAGCCTGCAGGAGTCATATGACCCCTGGTGTAGAAATACTTCTTTAGAATATTTATCAGATACTTAGACTATAAAAATTCATTGTAAATGACTTTGAAAAGGAAATGGGGAAAGTAGAATAATTATTGGCATGTGGGAGTTAGTTTGACTCAACTCTCTTCTAAGTGAAAATTCTACTAATAGCTTTAGCATGGTTCCATTTGTTAGTAAGTTTTCCTTTTGCTAGTTATAGTGCAAATAACATTTATATCATACAAGTAATAAAAGGTTTTCCCCTTTTAATTTTTTTCTCCTGGACCTCTGTTTGCAGCTCAAGATCAGTGTGCTTTTGGTAGACACGGCTGTCAGCACATTTGTGTGAATGACCAAACTGGGACCCATCACTGTGAATGCTTTGAGGGCTACACTCTGAATGCAGACAAAAAAACATGTTCAGGTAAGGCCTGCTCAACAAAAGCTCTCATTTTCACTCTTTCTATTGCAGTGAAATCCACTTGCAATTCTCTTTCAAAAAAGAGATTCTTTTTTTTTTTTGTCTTTGTGTTTTGGGTCATACCCAGTTTTACTGAGGACTGTGCTCAAGAATTCCTCCTGGCTGGACTTGAGGTGCTGGGGATTGAACTCGGGTGCACCATGTGCAAGGCAAGTACCCTACTTGCTTGCTATTGCTCCAGCTCATAAGAGAGATTCTTTTTTTTTTTTTTTGCTTTTTGGGTCACACCTGGTGATGCACAGGGGTTACTCCTGGCTCTGCACTCAGGAATTACTCCTAGCAGTGCTCAGGTGACCATATGGGATGCTGGGAATAGAACCCGGGTCGGCCACGTGCAAGGCAAACACCCTACCTGCTGTGCTATCACTCCAGCCCATGAGAGAGATTCTTATAGGTAATTTAAAGAACCTGGGTTCAGACATTACTGAGCTTATAGAACAAGACACACATTACTCAAGGTTCAAAGTTCACTAGGTTTTGCAAAGCTTAGATCACTCCGTAAAATTACCGGAAAGTGGTAGGGAGCACTGAGTATGAGAGACACTCACTGCACATGGGATTCTTTATTTTTTTTAATTTTTATTAGTGAATGAGATACAGTTGTAGATCTACAAATTTTTGTGCTTGGGTTTCAGTTATACAATGATCAAGTACCCACCACTCCACCAGTGCCCATTCTCCACCACCACTGATCCCAGTATCTCTCCCAACCCCCTCATCCCCCCCATTCCACACCACCTCTGTGGCAGGGCATTCCCTTTTGTTCTCTCTCTCCTTTTGGGTGCTGTGGTTTGCAAAAGAGGCATTGTGTGGCAATCATGTTCTGTCTATAGTCTACTTTCATCATGCATCTCCCATCCTGGGAGGATCCTCCCAACACCCTTTACTTGGTGCTCCCTTCTCTATCTGAGATGCCTTTTCCCCTAGCATTTTTTTTTTGCACATAGGATTCTTATCTAGGAAAATGTCATATCTCTTACACTGGAAATTTGCAAAACAGAAAAGTTTAGAGGAAGTCAGTTGGACAGTGACTATTTGGTGTCAGAGTTGGAATGTGTCTTTTTCCAGTTAAAACTTGGCCTGAACCTTTTCTGCAGTGTTAATGCTTAATTAGAAAAGGTTAATTATTTAGTAAAGGGGACTTTGTCATTGATTGAATTCAAATCATACAGATCTTCCAGTAAACTTGAAGCAAGTCATTTCCTGACAGCTCTTAGATGATCAGCCTTTGGTGCATCTGAACTTTCTGACTTGATTCTGCCAATACTCATTAATCCTATTAACTTGATTTCAATTCACTGGCAGAAACAGTGTGGCATTTATCATATAAATACACTCCTAAGAATAATTCCTAGTTCTCAGATGGTATTTTGATTTTTTCACATTCAATATTATTTTAGATTTTATGAATATTTTTCTCTCCCTTGATAATATCTATTATGTGACCTTTTCCAAGATAGATAAAGGGAAATGGCTTATCGCTGGTACTTACCCCCCTTTTAAAAATTTTATTTTATTAGTGAATCACCATGAGGTATAATTACAGAGTTTAAAACTTTCCTGCTTGCAGTCTAGTCACAAAATGATTGAGTATCCATCCCTCCACCAGTGCCCATTCTTCACCATCAATGATCCCAGTATCCCTCCCACCCCACCCCCGACCCTGCCCCAACCCTCCTCTGTGGCAGGGCATTCCCTTTTGTTCTCTCTCTCCTTTTGACTTACCCCCTTTTATTTATTTTTTAAAAGTTTTATTTATTGAATCACCATGAGAACAGTCACAAAGCCTTTAAGTTTATTTAAGTCTCAGTCAGTCATACAATCATCAAACACCCGTCCCTTCACCAGTGCACATTTTCCACCACCAAGAACCTCAGTATACCCCCCTCCCACACCCCCCCAACCACCTGTGGCAGATTTCCACTTTGCTCTCTTTCTCTACGTTGATCACATTTAATATTACAACAAAAGACCCAACATTATTATTTGGAATTTTCCCCAACATGCAGACCTGCCAAAAAGACATCATTAGATAATTTGTTTTCTATTGCTGATTATGAAGAGCATATGATGTTGTGTGGCTGCAATAGCCACACAATTTTGGATTTCTTATATTTTAGTAATAAGCCTAGAGGGATTATTGCCAAAAGCCCCTGGGTTCTGAGATTGGTTTGTGTGCCTCTGGGATCATGGTCCTTCAGGAGCTAGAGGAGGCGTTTGTGGGTGGCAACCCGGGGCCTTGTCAGGGAGGGGAGCAGGGCCGATTCCACCCCCATCCCATGAGGCCCCGTGTGCCTTGTCAGTGCACTCTCATTCCTGGCTGTCCATTAGGCTCTAAAAGACGAAGCTACCATGTCGCAGCCGCAAGGGGGGACAGGCGGAGGGACAAACACCCTTCCCCTCTCAGGGCTTACCTCCTTTTAAAGGGGAATACCAGCACAGAAGTAGGCAGCACCTCTTTTATTCCCGGGGCTATAGCAGAGACCTATAGGGATGCAAAGAAGCATACATTTCTACCCCTTACAGCCACATGCAGGCTGGGTGCAAAGAGAATCAGCACTGTTAGAAGGCAAAGGGTATTCAGAAAAAGGAAACATGCTGTCACTCTGGGTTGTGGAGAGGAGGAAGAGACAGAGCAGGGGGAAATGTGGGTGCGACAGGATGTGAACCGTGCAGGGTGGGGGAGAGCAGAGTACAGAGGAGTGACTCCTATTGGTTTGTGCTGGGGTGCTGGAACAAAGTCCTCAGGAGTGCAGATGACCCAAGGCTGCATCATTGGGCTTACAAGGACAGCAGGTCCTTGAGTAACATTGTTTGTTAGTGTTCTGACATTGCAATGATGAGAAAAAGCAATCCTGGGAGGCATTATAAAAGATAATCTTATTCCCTAAAGAAGACATATAGGCGCATATGCTGCCTGAGCCTATGTGTGCTTGTGCTTATGTGGCCGAGCACATGTGGTGCCCGCATCTCCCCTCTTGAGATGTGTACTTTCGTGCTTTCGTGTCTAATGCTAGGATGTGTGCAGGGGCTCTCTCCGCCCTTGGAGAAGCCCATGTTCTCTCTTGAGTACGTTACTCTCTCTCACTCTCTCCCCCTCCACACCTTAAAAATCCTCCAAATAAAATCTATTTATTTTAAAAAAAGACATATAGTTGGCCAGGAAACATCTGAAAAAGTGCCCATCATCATTCATGATTAGGGAAACGCAAATCAGAACAGCAATGAGATTTCACCTCATGCCTGTGAGAATGGCACATATCAAAAAATCTGGTTAACAGTCAGCATTGGCAGGGTTGTAGTGAGAAAGAAATCCTTACCCAGTTTGGTGGGAAAAAGTTGTCTGGTTCAGCCTTTATGGAGATCTATGCAATATGTTTATTTAAAGTAAATAAACAGGGCTGGAGTGATAGCACAGCGGGTAGGGCATTTACCTTGCACACGGCCGACCCGAGTTCGATTCCCAGCATCCAATATGGTTCCCTGAGCAACACTAGGAGTAATTCCTGAGTGTATGAGCCAGGAGTAATCCCTGTGCATTGCTGGGTATGACCCAAAAAAGAAAAAAAACCTGAATAAACAGAAAGTACCTTCTCCACAACCCCAAATTGTGCCTGAGGTTCATTCCAGTGATTCACCGGGTAGGGACTATTGCCCACTTTGGAAAACTGGCCTAACGATCAAGAGGAACTGCAGATCTGGGGTTCGAGGGGAACAAAACATTCAACTCTTAGGCATTTTTATGAAAAATAGCTTAATTGTTGTGATTCAGATTTAGAAGAGAAGAAGCAGCCCAACAGTGCTGAGGCTTACTCCTGGTTCTGTGCTCAGGATTCAATTTCTTGAGGGGATCATATGTGGTGCCAGTGATCACACTGGAATTGGCTGCACACAAGGCCCCAGCTATCTGCAAGAAGTAAAAAGGCAAAGGATGTGTGGCAGCTCCTTGACACCTGGACTCTTTCTCCAGCTCTCATGAGACCTTTTATGAAGATGATAGTGGTGGAGGCTAGTACTTTGCCCCAAGCTACTTTATAGGCTGCACAGAGCCCTGGCAGGTTTTTAAGCATGAACTGACCCTTGAGAGATGCAAGGGAAGCTGGTGTGGACCCCCACAGGGGTAGAGGGAGGGAAGTTCCTCTGGAAGTTACAAACAGAATTCCTACATCTCTTTGTCCTGGGCTAGTTTTGGACATGGGGCTTTTGGAGGTGCTTCTCTGCTTCCCATGCAAATTTGGGCAACCTGCCTTCCTCAGAAATATCTTTTCTGGGGATGAACCCTCACTGCTGCAGTAGCAAGTCACACACATTCTGCAACAGCAGGATTTCATATTTGTGTGTGGGAGGACGCGAGGGAGGTTTTCACTTCCTTCCAGGCAGAACCTCGGCTGTGGCCCATTGACCCGTCTTCTGGACAGCCTTGGACTGAGCTCCATGTGCACATAGAACCTGAGTTCTCTCTGGGAGCGGTGATGAGTCTTTTGAGAAGTGGAGATGTTGGCAGCTTGGATGGCCATCAGAAAGGGCAAATGGTGGGGCTGGAGTGATAGTACAGTGGGTAGGGCATTTACCTGGCATGCGACTGACCCGGGTTCTATCCCTGGCATCCCATATGGTCCCCCAGGCACTGTCAGGAGTAATCCCTGAGTACAGAGCCAGAAGTAACCCTTGAGCATCACTGGGTGTGACCCAAAAAGCAAAAAAAAAAAAAAAGAAAAAAAGAAGGCAAATGGTAAGTTTGGGCATGTAATGGAACCTCTGAGCAGCTCCAGGGTTGCAAGCCGGAACAAAGAGAATGCAACCTCAGATATCTGCAAGAAGTATAAAAGGCAAAGGTGTGTGAGAGAGCCAAGGTGAGGCTCAGGGGATATAAGATACGGACAAGGAATGTTGGGAGACTTGGAGCTCTTTGCTGATTGGAGGATCTATTCTCTGCGTGATTGTGTGCAAAGAACCAACCCTCCCCTCGGTGTGTTTGCTTTTCTATTGTGATATGTGGGGTCTTTCCCTCCCTGCACGCACATGGCCAGCGCGGGACAAGTGTGCCCTGGGATCTCACGGATGCCAGCATATCTGTGTGAATGACGGAGCCGCTTCCTACCACTGTGACTGTTTCACAGGCTACACCTTGAATGAGGACAAGAAGACGTGTTCAGGTAACCACGTGTCGATTCGTTCACAGGACGTTCTTCTGGGAGTGTGCGTACTTCTCCTTACTTTTGAAGCCTGGTGCTGAGTCTGTCTCCTTTGCAAATGGCTAATTGTTCCATAACCACACTGAAAAGGTGTTTTTATCCTCTATTCGCTATCTTGAAACTTATTGAAAATGAGTTGGCTACAAATGTAAGTTAATCTTTGGATTTTCAGTTCTAATTACACTCATCGACACAGCTATCATTATGCCAGTGCCATGCAGTCTTACTCATTGCAGCTTTGTAGTGTTTTCAAACCAGGAAACATGAGTCCGTTAGCTCTTCTTTTATGTTGTTTGTCTGTTTTGGCTTTCTTGGATTCCCATTTACATTTTTGGATCAGCTTGTCAATTTGTTTTTTAAATTGTGATTTACAATCCTGTTAATGGAAAGGGCTTCATGTATACGATATTACAATACCACATCTTTCACCAGTGTCTGCTTCCCTTTACCACTGTTTCAGGGTGGCCTCCCAACCATGCTTGACCCCCTGTTGGTATACTCAGTTTTGTAAACCAATTCTCAGGTGATGTTATCTTTGATTACTTGTTAGTCCCTTAGTGTGTGTATGTGTGTGTTTTAATATCACACATATGGGATTATTTGTATCTATCCCTCTTTCATTTTACTGTCACTGTCACTGTCCTCCTGTTGTTCATCGATTTTTCTTGAGCAGGCCCAGTAACATTGTGAGACTTGTTGTTACTGTGTTTGACATATCAAATACGTTAAGGGTAGCTTGCCAGGCTTTGCAGTTCGGGCGAGATACTCTAGGTAGCTTGCTGGGCTCTCTGAGAGGGGCGGAAGAACTGAACTCAGGTTGACCTGGTCAGCTGAGTGCGAGGAAAATGCCCTACCAGCCGATACACTACAGTTCTATTCACATAGTAGCAAATTGCCTGATGTCATCTTTTCTTGTAGCTTTTTGTGATAGTGTTTCATTCTGTATATGCATCAAAGTTGCTTTATCCAGTCATCTTTTCTTGAACATTCCGATTTTGTCAACTATGGCTGCTGAAACTTTTATACTGTTGAAAATATCAATCTGAAGAGTACTGGCATTTTAGACATTTTCCAATCCTTTACTGTGGCATGTCTTTCTATTTAGGGGTTCATTTCAATGCTATTTTGTAGTTGTGGTTTATAAATTTTGCATCCTATTTAATTATAGGAACTGTGATAGGAATGGTTACCTCAATTAATTATGAAGGAAATTGGATTTAACATTATTGTTCTCTTAGATTCTCTACTTAAATGTCAATACAAACCTGAAGTTTTTTCCCTAAGGAGCTTATGAATAAAAAGAACTAGAATTCTCGATTCAAACTAGTCAATGTAATAATGATTATTTGTTTAGGAGTGCAAGAATGATCTAGTTTTAATCCTTGAAATATTTTGACAATAAAATATAGAGGATTATTTCACTTCTATTTGTTTTTTGGGTGATGGACAATTAAATTAAGGCCTTCATACATGCAGGGTAGGTGCTATGCTCCTGAAGCACACCCCTAACCACCAATTTCCATTTTTTAATGAGGACACAACTTCACAAGAAGATTGTCTTATCTTTTCAGTATTCACTTTCCTTTATGCCAACTATTCTTTTTTTTTAAAAAAAAAACTACTTTATAACACAGAAAATTTTAATTACAGAGAATAATACAATATACTCACACATAAATCAGCTTTGACTGGTATAAACTCCTCTCTAGCATCTAATGCTTTTCTTCGGTGACATTAATATTTCTGTTTCCCCCTCTTTCTGTTTGCCTGGAAAATTGAACTTAGGCAACTATGAATTGTAGACTTCCTGATTTGCTGTCACTTCTAATTAGCTCTAACATTTTGTGTAAAGCCATTGAAGAAGCACGAAGACTCATCTCCACAGAAGACGCTTGTGGATGCGAGGCCACACTGGCATTCCAGGATAAGGTCAGCACATATCTGCAGAGGCTCAACACCAGACATATCCTTTCTGGAAGATGTTCTGTTTCTGCTTAAGGCCAATTTAGGCATGACACTAGAGATAAATATTGTAGGATAGCCCATGGGATCAGGATCCTAGTCATTAAGTGTAATGATGTGCAATACTAATAATCCTCTGATTTTATATATTTTAAAATGGACTATTTTATCCATTAATATATCTATATATATTGAAGTTGTCCTTCTTTCCTTTGTGTTTCTTCATAGCAGTATGAAGTTCAGCGTTCCAAATTGAGCTCTTATTAACACATGGTGCTATTGGCTATGCTGCCATAATGTGGCTTAGTTCAGAGTCCATACAAGTACAGCTGAGTGATGGGCTACGAATAATCAGGTGACAAGTGGGCTGGCCAGGTTGATCAAAAATTAGATTTCTAAGTGAAACATGGTGTTATTATAGAAATCTTTGCATTTAGATTGGTTTTATTTTTTCAGACAAAGGAATTACTGAGGAATAGTGTTCTTCATATAGTCAAACTTAACACTGTCACTGGAGTCTTAGCTGAGAGGAGGTCATATCCAGAGGTGCTTTATTTTGTCTAGAGCCTCTTTTCAGAAAAAAAAAAGAAAACAACAATCATTCAGGGGCTGAAGAGCTAGTATAGTGGATAAGTGCTTGCTTTGCACACAATCTACCAGGTTCGATCCCCGGTTCCCGCATTTAGTCCCTCGAGCCTGGAGAAATCCCTCAGAGTCAGAACCAGGAGTAAGATCTGAATACTGCTGGGGGTGGCCTTCAAACCAAAACCTCCATTCCCCAAATATCACTCCCTCCTGGAAATAAGTGATCAAATGGGAAGCAACCCCCAATTTCCTTTGAGCCTGCTGGAACCTTCCTGGATCACTGAGGGGATGTGTCACCCCCACTTTGCAAATACTGCATAGATGCCTGATGTATGCAGAAACCAGATTTTCAAGAGGCATACAGGAGGACTGCACACAAAATTTCAGAAGATTCATTTCCAGATCTTTCTCTTCCTTTAGTTCATCTTCCTAAAATGCACTTGCTGTCGGGGCTGCACTATTGTTTTCCCCTCCTGCTTCAGTTTTCCCATTCTCCTAACTTCACACAAGAACGGCAAACCTTTCCCTCTGCCTGAATCTTCCTTATACTTATTAAGGTTGAACTTACTGAAATAAAGTAAATTCTCAGACAACCAACAAAGGAAGAATTAAATAATCACCCAAAAAAGTCAATGATTTTCTGGGCTGGAAAGATATGACACAAGGGTTAAGGCACTGCACTTGCTTTTCATGTGGTCAACCCAGCTAAATCCCTGGCACTGCAATCCAATCCCCTGAGTACCACCAGGAGTGATTCTTGAACGCAGAGCCAGAAGCAAACCCTGAGCACAGCAGGTACGGTCCCCAAACCAAAATAACAAAACAAACAGTGATTTCCTACAGAGTGTAAGCCTGTGCCTGTCCACAGTAATTTCCTGTAGTCCATGAAAGTTATTGCTTAACACATACTGTATCTGTGTAAAAATTTTATTTTATAATGTTAGATTTAAAAATGAACAAACAAAATATTATAAATAGTGGCTTTATTTCTGCCTTAGGGATTCTTGAAGTATCTCTCCTACTTTCACTTTGAAAACCAGTCTTTTTGAGTGTTATCCCCAATTTTGTAACTTTATTAAGTCATCAGTTTAGTTACTGACTTTGAATATTCCAACACCAATGCCCCCACCATTGCACCTTCCTACCACCATTATATTGAATATACCAACACCAATCCCACCACCATTCACCTCCACACACCATTATTCCCAACCACCTTTTAAGTTTGCCCCTATGCAGGCCCTCAATAACTTATTTATATTGCTTGCTATAACTCCTTTGCTAAAAGGATGATCAATGTTTCCCTGGAAGAAATTTAGTGAAGATGGTTGTATCTCACCATGGAGCCATTAAGTCCTGGTATGAGAGATTGCTAAAATGCTGTTACAGGTCAAACCTTCTGTGTTTATATTTGGTCAACCGAGATTGGTTGCCTTCTACACTAAATCCCACCCAATCCTGGTTTATCGGTGTTCAGTGTTGTAGAGTTTGAGATGTTGCTCCAGGAAGTCCAAATTTTTCATGGGGTGATACAACCGTAATTAAGTTTTTCACGGGGCATGTGTGTGACTGCCAGAGCTTCTAGAAGTTCAGGGATATAGGGGAGGGGGTGAGGTAGCCCATCTCTGAACCTGTGAAAGCCTGAAAGTTTCAGTCACAAAACCTGCAAATCTGAGTTTGTCAATAGATTAACTTCTGGATGAGGCTTATCCGAGCAGTGGAGTCCAGCCAGGAGGATGGCAGCAATTGTGGAGTGTGGAGGTTTTTGGCTGCCAGGGCTCTATTTGGATGGGAAGGAAACCACTGTTTTAAATCAAAACTTCATAAAGATCCCGTCTCTTCTCTCCTCAAGCCTTCCTTTAAGATATACACTTCCAGTGAAATTTTAATTTATGTTTTAGTGATTTTGTGTCAAAATTTTAATTTGGGGAATCAATTATATGCTCAGAATAGTTCTAACAATAGTTTTAATAAGGTAATAGCTATAATAATCCAGATGCTTCTACAATTAATTGACCAAAGAAAATTAATTTAAAGGTAAATTTCAAAGACCAGAAAGATAGTACAGGAGGCAGGGCTCTTGCCTTGAATCTCTGGCACAACAAATGGTCTTCTGAACACCACTAGGTGTGATTCCTGAGAACAGAGTTGGTAGCTAAAAGAAAGAAAAGAAAAAGAGAAAAAAAAGGAAGGTAATTTCAATATAAATGTGCGTGCTTATTATTTGCTTAAGTTTACACTAGAAAAGTGTCATGACATTAACATCTTGAAGTCTTTCAAAAATGAATTTAGAATAAAACTCTGAGACAAAGAAATACAAATGCAAGGTAAACCAAATTTATTTCCTTAAAATATTTTATTTTAGAAAATGATGGTAGGCATCAATATAGTATATTAATATTACATGAGAAACTTGTAGTAATACATGTAATACTACATGAGACTTAAATGTTGACCATTTAAATTATATTGATTTATGATAGAAGTGCTCTATTTTATAATTTAAATATATGGTGAAAATTTTCATATAACTTAAATATGCAAAAGACATAACTTATTTATCAAAATATTTTAGGTGATATTTAAGGAAAATATTTGAAGATCACTGCTTTATATCATGCTCTCTAAAGAATATAATTTCTTAGATTTAGACATTTGATGAGAAAACAATTTAGTTTGCTTTTTCCTTTTTCAATATTTGGGCCCACCTTAGAAGTGTTCAGGGCTAATTCCTAGCTCTGCACTCAGGGATCACTCCTGGTGATGCTCTAGGGACCATATGGGGGGCCTGGGGATCGAACCAAGGCAAGTGCCTGTCTGCTGTACTATCTCACTGGCTCCAATTTTACTCTTCTTTACTTGCAATATATATATATGTATAGATATATGTGTGTGTGTGTGTGTGTGTATTGCTGTATATACTGTACTATACTGTCCTCCCTTTGTTCATCTATTTGCTTGAGTGGGTCCAGTAACGTTTCTATTGTTACTGTGTTTGGCATATTGAATATGTCATGGGGAGCTTGCCAGGCTTTGCCATATGGGTGAGATACTCTTGGTAGCTTGACTCTAAATAAATAAAATAGTAATATATGTGTGTGTAAATACATATATGTGTATATATATGTGTGTATGTGTGTGTGTGTCCTCTCATCTTATATAGGGGTGTTTAAAGCGTGGTTATGTCTTTTAATGTATAAGAGTAAATGGTATTGGCCTTAACAGATAGCCACTTGATGACATTTTAGAAAAGCTGCAAGCAAATGAATATGGACAAATACATCGCTAAAATGCTTAAAATTTTCACCTGAAAATATGGAAAGTTTGGTGTACATAATAATCCTTTTGTGCACTCCAGTGCAATGATAGCTACATGAGTATACTGGTTCAGAAGTGTGAGGATCTTCATTGTATAATTGAAACCCAGGCACAAAAATTTGTAAGTCTACAACTGTACCTCATGGTGTTTCACTAATAAAAATTAAAAACAAAAGAAACATGAGAATCATCTGGAGAAGCTATAATTTTAAAAATCATTATTAAGAGCAAACTTTAGTGTCTCTAAGTTATGACTGTGAATGGTAGGAAATAGTATGAAAAGTTTAATGTTTCTTATTCACCAATTGAGCCACTTAATTTTAAAATGATTATACTAATGAGCATATTTAAAATGTTAACTTTGAATCTATTTTTCCCTATTGTATTTATAAACATAATCATTTTTATGGGGAGTATAAATTGTACAAAGCATGCATAAAAAGATTATATAATTGAGTGAATATAATTGAAAACTATTTAACACTCTCTTTGCTCATTTCTCTAGAATATTATTAAAGTTTTTATCAGAGGATTTTTAACATTCAAAATTTGCTAAAACAGATTAAATCACTATGTATGTCACTTTTATTCATTCTGATGTTAAGAAGGAATATACAAATTAAGACTTTAGTTGTGAATTAAGAGTATTTTAACTTTTGGCCAAGGAAAATTCCATGCTTACTTTAGGATTTAATCATTAAGATGATATATTAACAGATATTTCTATAAGAAGTAATAAAACCTAATGTTTTCTTTTAAATTTTTTAGAAACCTAGCTTTTCCTCGTTTATATAACCCATTATATGCTTTTTTTCAGTTTTAGAGCTGCAACTTTTACAAGAAAGCAGTCTTGTAAATTGTATAATACTCAGTTCTCTTTCTGGTTTATTTTGTCTTTAGTATAATTAAAACATATCATTCAAAAGTCTTTACATTATTGTTATGCCTTCTTATGACATGTCAATTTTTTCTATTAATATAGTTCCTTAAACCAAAATAAAATTTGAATATCATTTCAAATGTATTGCAGTTTCTTTTGAATGGAAAGAATGTTCCCTCTATTTTCAAGTCAAGCTCTTGAAGTTCAAATTTTCAGGTTAAATAGAAAGGTTTTAATCAAGAATGCTGTTGGGGGCAAGGAGATGACTCAAAGGGCTTGAGTATATGCTTGACATATGATTGCTCAGGGTGGTTTTAAGACTTCCTGGTCTCCAGATCAGCAGACTGCTGTAGGAGGTAAGAAAACAAACAAACAAAACCAAAACAAGGACAAAAAAATGTGGGAGAGGGAATAATGCAAAATTACCAAAAGTGATAAAATGATGAAATTTACATTAATATACCTAAAGCAAATAAAATCTACTGAAACAAAGAGGATTTCTGGTGGTGCTTGGGAGACCATATGTGGTGGTTGGGTTAGAACCGGGATCGGCTGACTACAAAGCAAGTGACTTAACTCCTGTACTGTCTTTCTGGCCCCCCAAATCACGATCACGATCACCACCATCCTGTTGTTCGTCGATTGCCTCGAGCAGGCCCCAGTAACATCTCCTTCATCCTAGCCCTGAGATTTTTAAAAAAGTGCCATATTCAAGGCTCTTTCAGGGTTAGGAGAATGAGACTTCTCATTGTTACTGGTATTTGGCATATTGGGTACGCCACGGGGAGTTTGCCAGACTCTGCCGTGTGAGCAGGTTACATTCGGTAGCCTGCCAGTTTGTCCAAAGTAAGAATGAGATAATGAGATGTCGCACGGCCGTGAATGTGGCCGTGCGCTTCTGGGAGCTGAGTTTTATAGTCTCTGGGTCTTGGCCGTTGATGGGATTACACGGCGCTAGGGGGCCAGTTGGTGGGTGTGACCCCTGCCTACTGGAAGTTTACATTAATATACCTAAAGCAAATAAAATCTACTGAAACAAAGAGAATTTCTGGTGGTGCTTGGGGGACCATATGTGGTGGTAGGGATAGAACCAGGATCGGCTGACTACAAAGCAAGTGACTTAACTTTCTGGCCCCCCAAATAAGAGCTTTAAAAGAAAGATGTGAAAAATAGATATATCAGTGCAGACTATGTTATACAGAATAATATGTTGTGTCTCAGTATTTTTAAAGGACAATATGTAGAGCACACTTCTTTTCTAAATTTCATGTACACAGAATCAGTAACATACATTAATATATGACACAAAAATAGTGCTAGCAAAGGAATGTGCACTCTTATGCAGGGATTAGGGAAAGGTTTTTAAAGATTTTTTTTTTCTCCAAGAGTGTGACCATGAGTAGCTATTTTCAACTAATTGCGTCTTCAACTGGACCAGCTGTCTGAGATTCCATGGCTTAGCTGATACTCATTTGTGTCATGAGGATGCCATGGGGAATCACATCAGGTGCCAACAGCTCTGGGGAATTTAGTGCTGAAAATGCAGATACATTCCTTTGAAAACAAAAATACTCTCTCAATGGGATGGGATGAAATTTGGGAAAATTTTCTCTTTCCTGATTTGTGCATTTGCTTGGGCACATCATAAAGTATATAAAATAAACTTGAATGGAAAGCCAGAGAGACTGGCTGTGGCAGAACAGATATGGGCTTGCTGGGTGGGGATCAGGGAGGGCACCAAAGTATAGATTCTTCTGGATTGCAGGAAGATTTGATTTGGGCTGGAGCCCAAGTATGACAGAAAGGCACTAGGGACCATGGTCAATTCTTAGTGTGCGGGGTCCGGCAACAGACTTAGCTCAAAGGATTGAAATATCACTTATCTGAATTTGGGGAAGTCTCCAAGTGGATGAAATAAACTCCTGCTGTACAAAGGACAAAGGACATGCTAAATTATACAAATAACACTGTTGCCGCAAAACAAATCAAGTTACCAAAACACATGAGGTACCTATCTGTGCCAGGAAACTGTAGGTCACATATGAAAGACATAGAAGGAGACCTTAGGAAATGGAAAAGAATTCCATGTTCATGGACCGAAGAATCAATATATTGTCAAAATTATCATCCTACCTAAGTTGTTACACAGACTAAATTGCAATTCTAGTCCAAATTCAATGACATTCTTCAAGGATTTAGAAAAGTCAATAGATACATTAATAAAGTTTGCATGGAATAAAAAAAACCTCTGAACAGTCAAAAACAATGGTTTGAAATTTAGAGGTATCTAAATTTCAAAACTATCATAAAGGCTATGTTAATCAAAAATAGCATGGTGGGGCTGGAGAGAGAGCACAGCGGGTAGGGCGTTTTCCTTGCACGCAGCCAACCCCGGTTCGATTCCCAGCATCCCATATGGTTCCTTGAGCACCGCTGGGAGTAACTCCTGAGTGCAGAGCCAGGAGTAACCCCTGTGCATCACCAGGTATGACCCAAAAAGCAAAAAATAATAATAAATAAATAAATTAAAAAGTAGCGTGGTACTGGAATAAGGATAAAATCTCTGACCAAAGTCTTAGAACCGAGTACCCAAAGACAAATCCCCAGAGCTACCGTCAACTAATATTTGACAGAGGAGCTGGATACATGAAATGGAGTATAGACAGTCTCTCAAACAAATAATGATGGGAATATTGGATAACCACATGTGGAAAATGAAGCTGGATTAAATCTCACACCTTAGACAAAAATCAATTCAAAGTGCATTTAAAACCTTGAGGTCAGAGCAGAATACATAAAATACACAGAGGAAAATACAGGTATAATGCTCTAAGATTTGGACCTCAAAAATGTCTAAAATGATATGATTCCACTGACAAAGGCAATTGAAACAAAAAATAAACAAATGGGACTACATCAAATGAAAAGTATCTATATGGCAAAAGAAACACTCTCTAAAACTAAAAGACATCCAAGTGAATGTGAGAAAATAACCACCCAATACATCAGATCAAGGGTTAATATCTAAGATATATAAAGCACCAACAAAGATCAACAACACCAACAAAAATCCAAAAACCCTATTGATATGTGGGGAAAGGAAATAAACACTCTTCTCTGAAGAAGATGGTCAATGGCATAGAGAGGCAAGAAAGAGCTCATCTTCACTAGTCAGTGAAATCCAAACTGAAGATATAGGAGGCATCACACCAGTAAGAACAGCATATGTAAAAAAACTTGGGAACAATCTATGTTGGCAGTGGTGTGATGAAAAAGGTATTTTCATCCACTGTACACATCTATACATATGCATTATCTATACATATACTAGTGGTGCAGATACGGATATGTCTAAGGCACAGAGCCAACAATACAGTAGTAAGCATAGAACCTAAATGACAATAACCAAACTTAAAAATATTTCTGTTAAGGAAACAGGATTGTGTGTGTGTGTGTGTGTGTGTGTGTGTGTGTGTGTGTGTGTAACCTGGGGACATCTGTGAAGTTGACACTGGAGGTGGGTGGGATTAGTATGAGGCCAGTGTAGGCCTGAAACTCTATTAAGAACAACTTTGCGTATCAGATGTCTTAATGAAAAATCCAAAACAAAAACCAAAAAAGCACAAATACATGTAGAAGGGAAAATCAAACACAAAAACATGCATGAGACACAAAATAATTTCATGGCCTTTTTTTCTGCCCTAAGCCTATTATTGTAACTCTCCAAACATTCGTCTTGGGCAAAACAAAACTACGAATTGAAGAAAGAAATAAAGTGGAAAAGAAGAAAATAGAAACATTCTACTCTGGGAGAGAAAGGACCAAACATCCCGTTGTTTATTGGTGGTGGTGAATGGGCACTGGTGGAGGAATGGGTACTGGATTATTATATGACCAAAACCCGAAACGTAATCATGAAAGTTTATAAATCTGTAACTGCATCTCAGGGTCACTGTCACTGTCCTCCAGTTATTCATCGATTTGCTCTAGCGGGCCCAGTAACCCAGTAACAACAAAAGTCTCCAATGGAGATGTTACTGGGCCCGCTCGAGCATCTAAGGGTGATTCATTTAAAAAGTTTAAAAAAAAGTGGGGGGGGGGGCTAGCAACGCCCCCAAGTCAATTACAGGGCGTGAGGGACCCTGTGAAATATTCTTTTTAAAAATAGGAATCCTCAGGCTGCAGTAAGAGTTTAAAGCCCTTAAGAAGTCCTGAAATAAACACCGTCTCCTGCTCTCGGAAACAGCTCAGAACTTCTGAATACCCGCTGGCCGCAGACCCCCCAACTGCAGGCGCCAGGGAAAGCCTTGCAGCTTCAGAAAGCTCTTCTGCATTCGGATTTGGCGCGGGTGCCAGCACACCGAACAAAAGACTTTCTCGGATCCTCAAAGTCGGGGCTTTGGGCTCCCAAAACACCCCTTGGGGGTCTCCTCCGGGCGTGGTACTGACCCAGGTCGACCACAGCCTTCCGACCTGGTGCTTACACCGCGCCTGCGCGCACAGGAGGCAGTTGGGGTCTCCAGGAGGGTCGCCCGCAGCTCCCCAGGCCCGCGCGGTAAGGTCTAGAAGCCGGGGGGCCGAGCCCCCTGCAGCATCCGGGCCTGGGCGCCCCTGGACCACTGCCCAGCATCCGCGTCCGCGCAGGCGCACGGCGCGCGTCTCGGACAGCGCCACCCCGGAAGTTCGCCCCGCGGAGCCCCGGATGCTCCGAGGCGGCGGCGGTTGCCAGGGCGACCGGAGCTTGCGGGGAGCTGCGGGCTCTCGGGATCGGCGACGCAGCCCAAGTTTCCCGTGGTGGACTCTGAGAGTTGGGGGCGTTTGCAGAATGTTCTTTTACCTGAGCAAGAAAGTGAGTTTCCCCGGGAGCCGCCTCTCCCGGGCCGCGGTGGCGCTTCCCCGAAGGTGCCCGCATCCCGCTGCCGCTGCAGCCACCCGGCCAACCCCCAGCCTCCACCTGCATCTCCCCGGGCTGCCTCCTGCGGCTTCTTCTGGCTCCTGCGCTCCTGCAGCAGGTCCTGATCGCGGCCAGCAGCCGTCTCGCCCGCCTGTCCTCCTGCCCCCGGGGCCTGGCCCTTCTCCCGAGGGATGCTGTGATGGGGAGGGACCGGCAGGACACCGCAGGCCAGACACGCGTCTCTGTTTCCCGCGTTGCTGATCCAGGTGATCCCGTTTGGGATCATCGCTGGCACTCCGGGCAAGAGAAAAAGGCATGAAAGTTAGGTAGCTGGGCTTGGAGATGTGGCTCAGGGGTAGAGAACCCTGTGCGTTGTATGCGGGAAGCTCTAGGGTCAGAGATTGTGGCATGGGTGGCCCTCGGCGCACGTTTGGCAGTGAGGGGTCCCAGACCCCTGAGCAACCTCAGAAGTGCCTCCCCTCTCGTAGGACAGCAAAACAGAATAACCCCCAACAACTGGGTAGCTTAAATGTTATGAGGAATATGGATTGACGATAGGTATGGATTTATACTTTTGTTTCCCCCTTAAAAAAAATAAAATCCATCCCCCTTTGGGCTTCTCCCCAGGCAGTGACTTTCTCTTCTGTGCCTGTCTCTTTCCCAAATAAGCAGTTCGAGGAATTTTGCCCATGTTCATAACAACCTCCCTTGGTACTTCTGCACCGCGGGATAGTTTCTCTTCTCTGCGAACTTTCTTCAGGGTCCATTTCCTTTGGATTTTCTTTGTGAAAAGTGAGGGTGACTGGATTGCTTTTCAGATTGCCATTCCCAGTAATGTGAAGCTGAAATGCGTATCTTGGAACAAGGACCAGGGATACATAGCCTGCGGTGGTGAAGATGGATTGCTCAAAGTCCTGAAATTAGAATCGCAGACAGGTAAGTGCACGCAAGCCCCAAATGTTTGAACTTGATGGAAAATTGGCTTAGTAGCATTGGTTCATCAGTGAAGTTTGCTTCTGGTATTTGTCTTCATGAATTCCATGTCTTTCAAAAGTGAGAGAAGAAAGCCCCAAACAGTGGTATTTTTGCAATGGAGTTCAGAGATTATTGAATGTAGCCACCAGATGGGTTTTGCTCAAGTTACTGATGGAACAAAAAAATGAAAGCTAAGTGGCTGTGTTGTCCTGTGCTGTGTGTTTTTATACATCTTTTAGAAGTCTAATAAAAAATGATGTCAATAAGTATTTCATTAATGTCAAAGAATATGGCATTTTCTTTCTCCTCCTTCTCTTTTCCTCCTTTTTTCTTTTGCTGTGCTGGGAAATCAGATCTAACACATGTGAGGCATTTGCTCTTCTATTGGTTGAATCTTACATTATTGTAGAATATTATGTATCTTTATCCTTTTTGCTTACTGCTTAGGAGATGTGTTGATACTTATTTACTTTGTCCGAGAGCAGATTTTTTTTTTACATTTAAAATAATATATTTCTTTGCAATTTTATTTCTCTTTGTCCTAGTTCCCTGAACCCACAACATTGTTACTGGTTTTTTTTTTTTTTAGTTTGGCCGCACTCATCTCTGCTCAGGGTTTATTCCTGGCTTTGCACTCAGGAATCACTCCTGGTAGAATCAGGGAGCTATATAGGAATCTGGGGACTGAATTTGGGTTGACCCCATGCAAGGCAAGCACCCTATCTGCTGTACTATTTTCTGGCCCCAGCACTGTTAAATTTTTATTTACTTATTTATTATTGTTTTTTATTTTTTAATGAATCACTCTGAGGTACAATTACAGACTTACAAACTTTTGTGCTTACGTTTCAGTAATACAGTGATCAAGTACCCATCCCTCCACCAGTGCCATTCTCCATCAACAATGTTCCAAGTATCCCTCCCCCCACTCCCCTTCCCCTGCATGTCACCCCCCCCTCCCCACTCCTACCTCTGTGGCAGGCACATTCCCTTTTACTTTCTCTCTATCCTTCAGCATTGTTAAATTTTTAAGCAGCCCTAGTGCTTCTCTCAACTGGAGATCGAGACTACCCCCAATATACACTGCAGATCTGGATAAGGAGAAGGGAATTGGCATTTTAACTCTACCACAAGGTGACTTTCAGTAAGTTACTGGCTGTCTCTGGGTTTTAGTTAACTCTTGTGAAATGAGAGCCCCAAACAACACCATATACTCAGGCCCTGGCATTGAACCTCCTGCCTGGGAATTGGAAATGGAGCCACTGGGCCTCTTGTGTACCACTGGGGAGACTTCTCTCACTCTCTCACTCTCCTCACTGCTCCCCACAAAGTCATCTTGAGAGGTTGTTAAGGTGGATCCCCCAGCCTCAGATTGGGACAGAGTCTGAGAAGGTGCATTTCTAGTGAAACTGGTATTGCTGGTTCACAGTCCATACAAACATGATTAGGACTGCCTTTTAGTCTTATGGAACGAATCATAACTATGTATATCTATGAAGTATGCATAAATATATAAAAATATGTATATATATGTTTTATATATATGTATATATTGTGGTGCTTTATTGAACCCAGGGCATCACATATACACGACACATGCTCTCCCTCAGAGCTGTATCCCTGGCCTCACGAATCATAAATAATTATTAGCATTTCTGTATACAAGGTGTATAACCTTTCAAATCTTGTATAACAAGATTTATAAACTCTTGTTTATATGTTTAGCCAAATTACCCTTTAGAAAATTCGAACTAACTTGCATTCCCAGTGGAAGTATTCTTAGACATTTCCCTGCCTACTAAAGAAGGGAAGTGAGCGCCCTGCCCTTTGACTTCCTAATGATTGTGGGATGTGGGTTTTCCAGATGAGAGAACTGAGTAGATGATCAATTTATAATTGACCCATTACCTGTGGGTCCATGGCAGGTGGCAAGGCTGGGATTGAATCTGTCTCACTGCAAGTATTTTACTAAATCTCTGCATAAAGTGCACATAGACAGCCTAAGGGAAGAGAGGATAATTGTTTTGATGTCCTCCATTAATTATATAAAATAAAAGACAGCTATGGAGACAGAGTTTTCTGTACTATTTAGATGTTTGGCTTCTGATGTTTCCATGCTTTAGTTTTCTTAACTATTTCAGAAATTTTTTTCTATTATGTTTCTCAAGTGCATGTATAAAAATATATGTAGGCATATTTTACATAAAATACGTAGCAAGTTTTAGTTGCCTTAAGCAGTGCAATGTTGAAAGATATTTAAAAAATGAATTCTTGTTTTCCTGTTCTGAGCAGAATGAAAAAAATAGTTTGAGAGATTTGGAAAATGGAGTAAATTGTTTGGTTTAGATCTTAATGTAGAGCTCAATGAAAAATATGACTGAACCATTCTAATAAGGTCAGTGTATTATATTTAATAATAATAGTTGTGATGCATCAAAACCCTCCAGTAATAATTTCCATAAATTTTTATATAAGACAGTTCTAGATAACTTTGTTGTATTAAAGATGTGACATACTGTCTTTTTTTCATCCTAGCAGTGCTTATCAGTAAAGCATCTTAATCACTTATTTTATTTTATTTTATTTTGCTCTTTGGATAGTGCCTGGTAGTGCTTAGGCTTACTCCTCACTGGTTGAGGAATTACTCCTGGTGGTGCTCAGGGTACTGTATATGGAGCCAGGGATCTAGCCTGGGACCACCGTGGGCAAAGCAAGTGCCTTACTTGCTGTACTAAATCTCTGGCTCTTAAAGGATCATTTTAAATGTCTGTTGAGAATTCATTATATTGGTGTACGACAATTTCCTTAATCATTTTTATTTCGGGCATTTCAGTATCTCCACTGTTTTACAATGAAAGCAACAAGATCTCTGCACTGCAAAGATATTTTGGCAAATTAAATATCTAGAAAGAGAATTCACTGCATTTCTAAACTCTTGTTTATATGTTTAGACAAATTACCCTCTAGAAATTTCACACTAACTTGCATTCCCAGTGGAAGCATTTTCAGACATTTCCCTGCAAAGGAAGGAAGGGAAGTGAGCGCTCTGCCCTTTTATGTCAGCTTATGGTAGATGGGCACTTTTCTTTTCTCACAGATAAACTTCCATGTGTTTTGCTGGCTCCTGCTGGCCTGGTGAATTGCTTGGGGTTGCTCCCCGGTGGTTCTCAGGGCACCATGCCATGCAGTGCTGGGAATGGAGCCCAGACTCCTCCCTGCAATCTATGTCAACATCAGCCGTCTTCCTCCCCAGTGACTTCCACATTGAATCTAATGGACAGCTTTCTTAGTTTCTTAGTTCCCTCCCCTTTTGGCTGCTAATAACTTTGATAAAAGCTAACAACTTTAGTGAACTCAAAGGGCAAAGACTGATATTTCGACAATTTTTTTTTTAAGATAAAGTATCAAAGTTTTCTTGTGCTTGGTTAGTGGCCTTCTTGGCAGAGTCTTTGGTTCTCTTACATATTTCCTTCTCAAGCTGTGTTGCACTTTAGGGGCTGGAGTGACAGCACAGCACATAGGGCGTTTGCCTTGCATGTGGCCGACCCGGGTTCAATTCCCAGCATCCCATATGGTTCCCTGAGCACTGCCAGGAGTAACTCCTGAGTGCATGAGCCAGGACTAACCCCTGTGCATTGCTGGGTGTGGCCCAAAAAATCAAAACAACAACAACAACAACAACAACAAAACAAATCTGTGTTGCACTTTAGTCTTTTAAAATTCTTTGGACTTTCTGGGCTTCTGAGACATATTTCAGACTGGAATTTACCGACTTGGTTCTGACATTCTTCTTTATGGGTTTTAAATACCAGTTTTTCCTGATGCCTTCTTTCAGTATTTGAAATCCAAGGTTACTGCTATATACTTTTAGGTGGTACTGCCAGAGATGATTCCCAATGCTGCTTTGGTTTGTTATCTTGTTGGCCGTGGAGAGTTCCATGGTGCTGGTTTTAATCTACCCCATTTAAGTTTATAGCTGTTTGTTTTTTGTTTTTTTATTTTTTGTTTTGTCTTTTGGCCAGACAGATAGTTAAAAGGGCTGGAGTATATGAATTGCATGATGGAGCCTGGCACTGCATGGTCCTCTAAGCCAGGAATGCCCTTACACCTTTGAGTTCTTTTTGGGCAATAGAGCTTTCAGGTAGATATGTACCCATATATGTATGTATATATGTACATATGTTGAAGCAGCAACTTTATATACATATATATATTATGCAGTTTTTCCTCAGTCCTCCTCGGAGAGCCTGGCAAGCTACTGAGGGCATTCAGCCTGCATGGTGGTGTATTCGATATGCCAAAACCAGTGACAATAATGGGCCTCATTCCCCTGACCCTGAAAGAGCCTCCAATATGGCAGCATTGGGAAGGATGAGTACGGAGAGTCTGCAAAAAATTCAGGACTGGGATGAATAGAGACATTACTGGCGCCCGCTCGAGCTAATTGATGAACAATGGGATGGCAGTGCTATATATAATATAATATAATATAATATAATATATAATGTATATATTTTATATATGTTGTTTTTCCAAAGTTGCCATTTCCAAGAGGCAATGTTCAGATGTAGATATTTGTTGATTATACAAATAGGCTATTCTTTTGTCAGCATGTATTTTGTGAAGAATGCTATACTGGTTTGCTTTAATAGGAGAAAACATATCTGCCTGGCAAATCTGTGAGCTCAGACCACATAAACAAATTGAAGTATTGAGCTGCTCTACCACACTTCCAAATGTATCAGGTCCAGAATCACATATTATATTGGTTACAGTGACTAAAGGCATTAGTTAGCATTGACTTTCAGTACTCTAACTTAAGAAAAGTGTTTCTATGCCACATTTAAAAAATATTAAAAGGTTAATTGTCTGTTTCTATCATGAAAAAAATAGATGACAACAATATAGTCTTAAAATATTTCTAATATCTTCTAGCAATAGGAATTCCTTTTTTATTAAAAAAAGAAAGAAGTAGAAAAATCTTATAATCGTTATTTTTATAAACTTGCCATAATTTTTTGGTTTGATTTTCTAGATGATGCAAAATTGAGGGGTAGTTCTACCCCTAGTAACCTTTCAATGAATCAGAATCTCGAAGGTCATAGTGGTGAGTCATATAATATTTGAGATCGTGATTGAATAAGTATTTAGAACTGTCAACATTTTGAATAATATTTCTAGTAATCATTTCTGTTGAACCGCAGTAAGTAGAGACTATGGTTATTCAACAGCTTTTACACAATTTAACAATATCTTCAATAAATCTGAAAGAAGTAGCTATTATATATTAAAATACTGGTATTAGAATGAACCCTTTTTAAGAGTGTATAATCCTTTTAAGAAATACCTTTTAGATTAAAAATTAAGGAAACTAAAGGGCCTGAGAAATAATTGAGGAGTTAAGCTATTGTTCATAACTGACCCTAGTTCTAGTCCTGGTGCTCTGTATGATTCCCAAGCACCACTGTGACTGATCCCTGAGCACCGCTGGATGTGACCCTGAAAACAAAACATCTAAAAATAAAGGAAAGTAAAGAGACATACCAAATGAATATACTAGATGATCCTAGAATGAATTTTGCAGTGAGAAAAATAGCCATGAAGGACATATATTTGGATAATTGATAAAATTTACATATGGATATTATTTGCCTAAAACTCAACTATCAATGACTGTATATCACAGTTCTTTAAATAAAAACATTTAAAAAAATTTAACATGGACTGTGAATTAATGATATTCACATTCATTGTGGTAGTGGTAAATTTACTGATTTTTAATGTGATAATGAAAGAGAATGTAATATTCTTAGAAAAAATATATTATTTTGGAATTAAAGAAACAGGTCAAGGAAAATAGATCATACATAAGAAAAGAGATACTATTATGAATTAAAAAAACAAGAAAAATATATTGTATGTAGAAAAATCATATACTATTTATGGATTAAAGAAAACAAACAAGGAAAATTGATTGAGATATGATGAAGTCTATATTGCAAATAGAATGGAAAATAAGGGATGAGGAGAGAAAGATTAGGAGACATATCAGCCCAAATGAAGCTATTTATTTCATTAAAAGAAACAAACCCTAAATACTTAGTATGCTTTTATCATTATAGTCCTTGGAAGTCAGGCTAACTGAATAAAATTATATTGGTTTCTGCCATTAGCTGCCATTAGCTATTTGATAGTTTTGTTACAATCACACAAGAGTTGTAAGTTTCTTTGTTGGCACAGATAGGAATAAACATGAAAAATAGTATTATAGTATTATATATCAGTTGTAGAAAACTGGTGATAATAGTGCAGCCTAAAAGTATTTTTTAGTTATGTTAAAGATTGATTCATTGTATAGCAACTGTATTTATTTGAACATGCCCTGGGTATTTATTATAAAACATATATTTGAAATTTAATTTTTGCCTTTTAAAGTTTTTAATCCTTTTGTAATCTTTTAGGTGCTGTTCAAGTTATAACTTGGAACGAACAATATCAGAAGTTGACTACCAGTGATGAAAATGGGCTTATTATTGTTTGGATGTTATACAAAGGTATATTTTAGGCCAGTGCATTACATCTGTAAACAACTGGGGTCTGGATTACAGTATTTGAATGGGGAAAAAGTCTTCAAAATAGACCCCCCTTTAGCCAATAATAGTTAAGCCCAGCTGCACAATAATGATGTTTCTGGATTTTTTTTGCTGTCTGCTTTTCTCTTTTAAATTGTTTCCTGTGAACTGTGATTTCACATTAAAAAGTGAATTAGGAGACTGTTGGATATTTCCAAAATGAACTTAAACTGGCAGGCTTCTAAAAATAGTTTCCCTGTGGTCAGTGATGATAGCTCAGAAGATAAAGTGCACCTTTCCTCTGTTGAATCACAAAGATTGCTTTCAGGTATCTAGGTGTTAGTTACCTCTGACAACCTACTCAAAACTTGTGCCTTTTTGCCCACAGAGAGAGAAAGTCAGAAAATTGTACAATCATGTGTGTGTGTGGTGGGAGTAGAAAGTGGAAGCACAGGAGAATGAGCAAGCTATTTTTTTTCTTCTAGATCGTAAGCTTTTTCTTTTTTTACTTCTAGGTAGGTCTTTGCCAGGTGTCAGTCTTGACTCTGACTGTGCTTGGTTCTGTTACTCCAGATGACAGGATTATTTGCATGGCTGCAGGTTAGAGTTCCTACTATATGAATAAATAATACTAAATAAATGGGGAAAAAATAACCTCGTATTGGGGCCGGAACAATAGTACAGAGAGTAACGTGCTTGCTTCGCATACAACTAACCCGGGTTCCATCTGTAGCACCTCGTATAGTACCCTGAGCCTGCCAGGAATGATTCTTAAGCCCAGAGCCAGGAGTAACCCCTGAGCAAGTTGGGTGTGGTTCCAGAACTACAACAACCAGAAAAAAAAATCCCAAAGAAACCAACCTAATAATTTGCCTCATCATTGGTCAAACCATGAGACAAGTTGCTCTCACTCCAGGACTGTGCACTGCAAGAATGCAGAGTGAGGTGGTATCACACTGCCATGACATGAACCGTGTTGTCTTTAAGCAGGTTTAGGGTTTTTACATAATGTCGTTAATATGGTGTGTTTATGCATGCATATCAGATTATTGCAATTTTTGTTTATTCTTTGGTTATTACATAAAGTGTGTTCATGTGGGGAGAGTTAGGCTTTGAGAAAAGTTCACCAGTTTTGCTCTGTAAATGAAGCAAATGAAGTTCTGTTTAGTTGATGGTTTTGGGGTCAGACCCAGCAGTGCTCAGGATTACACCTGACTCTGTGCTCAGGGATCATTTCTAGTGGGGGTCAGGGACCATATAGGATACTGGGGATTGAACCTGGGTTGGCTCTGTGCACAGCAAGCACCCTCCCTGCTGCACCATTGCTCTGGTCCCCTGAAGAATTATTTTTTTTTAATTGAAAGAGAAGAAAGACTGAAAAGAGGAAAAGAAAAAAAGAGAGGGAAAGAAAGAGAACAAAGGTAGGAACTATACAGCAGTGCTTTTTGCTTGTGATGAATTTGAAGGTTTTATGTTTAATAGCTCAGATTATAGAAAACTGTGTAGTTATTTATCCCACTGTATATTTTGTGGGGATGTTTTCAAATCCCAAGTACCATTTGATAGATATAATAGATTTGCCTTGTCAGTTTTTTTCTTTTGGATGGGTGGAGTATCTGGGCCATACCTAGTGGTGTTCCGGGGCCACTCCTAGTTCTATGCTGAAGTGACCCCGGCATTCTTCTGGGGATCACATGTACTGGACATTCTAACCAGGGTTGCAGCTGCTATCTGCAAGATGAGTCCCTTACCTCTTATACTTTCTCTCTCTTTCTGGCCCTCTGACTGACTTTCCTTTATTATTATTCTTCTTTTTACTTTGTGTAAATAGGCTCTTGGTATGAGGAGATGATCAACAACAGAAATAAGTCAGTGGTTCGGAGTATGAGCTGGAATGCGGATGGGCAGAAGATCTGCATCGTCTATGAGGACGGGGCTGTGATAGTCGGCTCTGTCGATGGTAATGCGTCATTGCACACCGTGCTAAGAAAATCAGCTAACATTCATTTCTTATTATTTTGGGGCCTTTGGGCCACACCTTGTGGCCACACTTAATTTAATCTTTATAAAGTTGTTTACAATCTTTGATTATGTTTAATATTTGAACACCGGGCTGGAGCGATAGCACAGCGGTAGGGCGTTTGCCTTGCACGCAGCCAACATGGCCGACCCAAGTTCGATTCCTCCGCCCCTCTCGGAGAGCCCGGCAAGCTACCGAGAGTATCGAGCCCGCATGGCAGAGCCTGGCAAGCTCCCCGTGACGTATTCGATATGCCAGACACAGTAACAACAAAGTCTCCAATGGAGACGTTACTGGGCCTGCTCGAGCAAAATCGACGAACAACGGGAGGGCCTTTGAACACCAAATCTCACCACCATTATACCTTCCCACCACCATATTTTGGATGTTTCTATCCCAAACCCCAACCCCTACCCCAAAACAGAACAGAAATAATTTATTGTGTATTGTTTGTTATGAATAAACCGCTGAGTGCTCTTTTTAGAGGAAAGAATGCGAAGATTGTTGTATTTCACCCAAGGACCATTAAACCCTTCTATAAGAGATTTCTAATCTTGTTAAAGTTGAGCCTTGTATGCTTATACACACACACACACACACACACACACACACACACACATCTGTAAAAATATATTCCCCTCTAAGATTGGTTACCTTCTACTTTAAACCCCATCAAATGTGATGTGCTACCCTTTGGAATATGAGTGGTGTGAGGTATGAGATATCACATGGCCTTGGAGCTTCAGTTATAGAGATTTTTGGCTACCGGGGCTGAGTTCTAGGGGCAGGGAGGGGCCTCACCCGTCCTCTTCTGGGGTGCCCTGAATGAAACAGCCCGATGCAGGGTCTGGCGGCATGCCTATGGCAAATCATGCTTTCTTCTGAGAGATTTATGATGAGTCTCTGGATCATGTCCATTGATGAGATTATCTGGTGTCAGAGGTGACTTGTGGGCATGACTGCCAAGTTTGCTGGATATAGGGAGAAATGGGGGTGGTCACCCATTCGGGGTTCCAGTGAACCTGGAATTTCTAGTCTCAAGTTCAAAGGCTCCTTCTGTGGCTGTCTGCCAGCATTATGTGGCCCATGAATGATGTCATACATATCTAAATGGCTTGTGGCAGAAAAAATGTTCCCCAGTCTCTTGGTAAACATATTTTTTGCAGCGCAGAAAATCTGTACTGAAGGCATAATTAGGGGGAATGACTAACTTATAGATGGTAATTTAAATAATTGGAATAGGTAAAGAACCAAAGGGCCCTCTGTGAAATAAGTGCTTCATTTAAGGGCTAGACAGAAGAAGAGAATTCCATAAAGTATTCTGAAAAGTTGAAGCCTGGAAGTGTTGTATTTATAGACATCCAGAAAAAAGGGATATGGTTTAAAAATTGTATTTGTTGGATTTTGCAGCAGCAGGCTTTAGGCATTTTTTCTCTCAGTTGACCTCTCTGGGTGGTGTCAGTGGAATCCAGTCAGATTGGGTTGAATTGAGGGTCCATTAGAGGCTGGGGAGGTGGGCGCCTGGTGTGTGTGGAGAACTCTGTCAGGAAGTTTGGCTGGGAAGGGAATGGTTGAAACAAAGTGGCTGGTGGAGGACTTCAGGCTGAGGGAAGGGCTTTCTGTTTTGTTTTTATTTGAGGCGAGAGTTTTAGAGAGGAATAGATCTGAGTATGTTTCATACTTAAAAGGTCTAGAGAGAAGAATTTAAAGAGAAAGGAAATGAGAATAGTTAACGAGAGGGATTTTTGCCAAAGTGAAAAAAAGGAAAGGGCTCAGGTCAGTGAAGCATCCCAGGGATTAGGTGAAGGTGGGTGTTGGGTGCCTGGCTGGGGACGAGCCTCTTCCTTTACACTGAGAACAGCAGAGTGTCCATGTGGTGATTCACTTCTGTTCTGAATGTTTGAAAATAGGAATGAAGAATTTCTTCTCTGAAAGTTTTGTTTTCTTTCCAAGTCTGAAGATGCATGCATTTGCCAATTGGGAGATCAGAAAATAGAAGAGAAGGGAGAAAGTTGGTAATGGTGATAGTTAGTAAGGTGTTGGGCATGTAGTAGCCTACATTCCTGAATAAATCTTTATGGACTGAATAAAGGGACCAATTGCAAGAGTATGAGAACTCTTTAAGACGTGAAGGCTTTTTAGGACAGTTGCTGGAAAATCATGACCTTGAACTTATAACAAAATCATTATGTTTTATGTCTTGCTTTAGGTAACCGCATTTGGGGAAAAGATCTGAAGGGGATCCAGTTATGCCATGTAGCATGGTCTGCAGACAGTAAAGTCTTACTTTTTGGAATGGCAAATGGGGAAATACACATTTATGATAACCAAGGGAATTTTATAGTAAGTAAGATATATATTCTTTAATTTAGCTATATATGTCAGATTATTTATATACCATTTTTACAAAGGTTTGTATTTATTCAGTTATGATGGTTTGTATAATCAAGACAACCTTCAACAGTTTAGGCATTTTTTTTCCCAATTGCCTAATGGTTTTTCATGGAAAAGCTTTTTGGATTGCTTCACCTTAAATTAATACAGTATGTTAAAGCTTTCCCCAGTTTTCTAATCACTGGAAGGGATAAGATTTCAGAGAATTGAAGATGAGAGTTAGTGAGTAGGATGAAGTTCCATTTACTCTTTGTGCCTTCTGATGCCCAAAGTTTAAACAAGATGTCAGATATTTTTTTTCTTGTTTTTTTTGGGGGGGACCACACATGACTGTACTCATGAATGACTCTTTGCCGTGTTCAGGGGACTATATGTGGTACTGGCATCAAACCTGGATGTGTAAGACAAGCACCTTCACCCCGGAACTATCTCTCCAGACTCAGAGATTTATTTAAAGCTTTATCTGACCCCTCCTGCCACCTTCCCTCTACTGATATTTTTATCATGATAACCCATCATTATTTCAATGAGTAAAGGAAATAATGGAAATAATGACAGGAAGGTGCTCCCGGGGATGGTGCAGGTGTGCGGGTCAGGCCCCGGCGGTTTCACGGGGCCTCGTGTGGGGTCTGCAGAGCTGGGAATGCTACACCCCATCTCTCCTGCCAGAGGGTGGGTCAGTGTTACTGGGCCCCCTTGTCACCCAGAGCCTGTTCCTGGGACTAGTCCCTTGAGTCTCTCCCAGCTTAACCCTGATGGCTTCGAGAAGGCGCCTGTCCTCCGCTCCCATCTGGAGCTGGCCTTGTCTGGGGCCAGAAGGCCACCTGGCGGGTCGGGGCAGGACTGAGCTCAGCAGGAGGGAGGTGGGGGTCTTTGCCTCCTTGATGTCAGGCTCCCTGACTGGTCCTGGGTTTGATTCCCAGCATCCCATAGGGTCCCCTGAGCTGAGCATCCTCCACCCAGATCCTCCAAATTCCAGTAGGCGGGGGTCACACCCACCAACTGACCCCCTGGCGCCGTGTAATCCCATCAATGGCCAAGACTCAGAGACTATAAAACCCAGCTCCCAGAAGCGCGCGGCCGCAAATGTGGCCGCGCGACATCTTATCATCTCATTCCTACTTTGGACAAACTGGCAGGCTACCGAATGTAACCTGCCCACACGGCACAGTCTGGCAAACTCCCCATGGCGTACCCAATATGCCAAAAACCAGTAACAATGAAGGGTCTCATTCTCCTAACTCTGAAAGAGCCTTGAATATGGCACTTTTTAAAAAAAATCTCAGGGCTAGGACGAAGGAGACGTTACTGGGGCCTGCTCGAGGCAATCGACGAATAACAGGATGGTTGTGATTGATTGATTGTGATTGAACCCATCATTGGTGGGAGCAGTAATGACCAGCTGTGTCTGACTCTGCTCCTCTCATAGTACTTTAACTCCCATCACTTGATTCTCGTTTAGCTATTATATATATCCTCGTTTTGCAAGTGAGGTAAAGTAAAGCTTTGTCAAAGTGATTTGTCCAGGATTAATAAATCCGTGACCAACAGAGCCTGCACTTCAAACAAGATTTCTACATCCTGTTTTTCATGTTCCTTCTTCAATACTCTGTTTAAACTTGTCTGTTTTAAAATATAGACTATTAGGAGCCAGGGAGATAGCCCAGCAATAGAACAATTACCTTGTTCGCAGAAGGTGCTGGGTTGATCCTGGGCACCCCAAGGGAAAAATGCAATCACTCAATATAAGATATTAATGAACTTGATTTTATTTAGATGAAAATGAAGCTGAATTGTTTGGTGAACGTCACCGGGGCCATCAGCATCGCTGGAATTCACTGGTACCACGGCGCGGAAGGTTACGTGGAGCCAGACTGCCCCTGTCTTGCCATTTGTTTCGACAATGGGAGATGCCAGATAATGAGACACGAGAACGACCAAAGTATGTCATTCTTTCTTTGTCTTTAATGCAGAGAACACACAAAAAATGGTTCATCACAAACCTTTTTTTTTTTCCCAACCACAATAAACTCCTGGTTTTCATGTTCTGATTTCATGAATATGTGTCTTTGTGACTAGACCCGGTTCTGGTGGACACTGGCATGTATGTGGTGAGCATCCAGTGGAACCACACGGGCAGCGTCTTAGCGGTGGCCGGCTCCCAGAGGACCACCAGTCAGGACAAAGATATCAACATGGTGCAGTTTTTCACCCCCTTTGGCGAGGTAAACACAGTCATGGTCTTACCTTTCCACTGAAATAAGTCACAACTCAGGTAGGGGAAGAGAAGGGAGGAAAGGTCTCTGGCAAATTTTCTTGTGGATATATATCTTTGAGTAACACCTTCAGATGATAAGCCTTCAGAGTTGTATTTTATTGCGAAACTTATTTTATACCCTGTATATTTGGAAGATGAGATATTTCACATCAAGAATCACCATGGAATATATATGAAATAATTTCCCTGTGATATTAATGTGTGTCAGTTTTCTTAGAGGATTTTGAGCTGGTTTTAGTGTAATTTAGTTTCCAATTAATTTTTCTTATAAATGTGATATGTCAAATGTGTATAGGATATTAAATATATTTATTACATGTGTCTGTTTTTAACTTTATTTAGAGGTTTTTTTTTTTTTTTGCATTTTGGGTCACACCCAGCGATGCTCAGGGATTACTCCTGGCTCTGCATTCAGGAATTACTCCTGGCGGTTCTTGGGGGACCATATGGGATGCCAGGGATCGAACCTGGGTTGGCCACAAACGCCCTACCCACCGTGCTATCACTCCAGCCCCTAGAGTTATTTTAAGAAAATCTATTTTAATAATCTTTGGTGATGCTACATTAAAATACATTATTTTTGTAAGAGCAGGGTTTTTTTTTCCAATAATAAATATTGTTAATTTAATTTTTAGAGACTTTTTTTGGAATGGCAATAGAAGTAGGAAAATTAGTAGATTCTGTATTTTAAAGAATTAAAAAATAATAACAGTCATTATTCACAAAAGGTTAAAATATCAATAAAAGGCTAATCCCATAATTTATTTGAGAATCAAGAATCTATTTGGTGGAATAGAAAGCTGTCAGAACAGTGTTACTTAGTGGCTGTGGAGATGACAGTGATTACAGATTGAATTTCTACTAAAATAATTCAATTCTAAGATCCCTCTAAAAAAATAAAATAAAATTGGGATGCATCCTATAATCACAGTCATCCAGTTTCAATTAGCCATTCTGTTCCCCGTAATTGAACATAAAAATAAAGAAGCATAGTTAAATATCTTGCTTTTAAGAGCTGATGAAATTTACTTCTGAATTATTTGGCTGTAGCTCTCAAACTTCTGCCATATTTATGTTTTTTTTTTAACTAAAAATTCAAGGAAAATGATGTTGAAGTGAATATCAGCCTTATACCTCTTTTGATCTCTGGAACTGATTGGTGGCAATTTGTATTTGATATACTTGTGATATTTAAGGTATGATTATTTATTCAGCATCTAGGTGTTCTGAAGGTTCCTGGAAAGCAATTGACTGCACTTTCTTGGGAAGGAGGTGGATTGAAAATTGCACTAGCTGTTGATTCTTTTATCTATTTTGCAAATATTCGACCTGATTATAAGGTGAGTATTATGAGCATATGTTAAAAAAAGAGAGAGCGAGAGAGAATCAGCTATTGTTTAAAAAGGAATAATTTTGGTACAGCTCAAAGTGTAATACTTATTTTAAAAATCTGGGCACAGGCAGGGTATACTTTTCTCGACTGCTTTGTCTTAGAGTCCAGTGAAAGGAAACTTATGATGTGCAGTCCTTAGAACCAGTAAATTTTTCTATAGTAAAGTTCCTTCAGTGCTCAGGGTCCCAGTGGGGAAGGTTAAGGGGATCTGCAAGGGTGAGAGCAAACTTTCAAGGGACAGAAGTGTTGTTCCTGCTCCCATAAGAGCTGTGACTTTTCAGGAGGGGTAGCCTATGGGAGCAGGGTTCTTTCTGGTCGGTCAGACAGAGAGAGATTGAGAGAATAAATATTTCAACCCATCTCTCCAGATTCTGGTGCCTTCTGTTCGCCAGACCCAGCTGGAAACTGGGAGGCCAGGCAGACCAGGCAACGGAGTTCATAAAGGTCAGCTCCAGGGCACAGGGCAGAGTCGAGAAGGGCAAAGAATGGATCAGACAGGAAAAAGAACGTGCAACATAATGACTAGTCAGTTTTTACCTAAAGTTTAACATTTGATCTAAAATAAGCTTCAAGTGTGAGATTGATTTGGTAAACTACCGAGAATATTTGCTATTAAAAACTTGCATGTTTGGCTTTTGAAGTGCAATGTTCCTTAGAGAAATGACTGTTTCTAGGGTTGGGGTGGGGAAGTAGAAGAAAACATCTTATAGCTCTAGAAAGTAGGCATGTGTGAGAGAAATGAACGGATGGGAGCAGGCCCAGGAGATGGACGTGGGGAGCCTTCTTGAAGGGACTCCCAGTGGCTGACATGGGAATGACTAGAGCAACACAATTAATGGCCACGAACACACAGAGATGTGAACGAGCTGTTTGAACAAATGAGTCGGGGAGAGGAAGCACAAGCTTCCTTACTGGAGTCTTCTGATTAATTAGACACCACCTTCCCTGGAAATATAGTCCCTGCCTCCGTCACCTTGAGTGTGGCCTGCAAGTGACTGACTTCCAGAGGGTTGAGTAGAGAGAGGGGGAGAAAGCAAAGTGACCGTTCAGAGGCTGTGCCCTGGCCAACCTACCCTGCTGCAGGTCAGACCCAGCAGCAGCAGCAATGACACAAGGGTTATCATGTGATCTCGGAGGTGCCGTGATGATGAGAGATAAGGAAGACCTCATCGTGTCACAGAGAATCCAAGTTTAAGCATGAACAAACCCAAATTAAAGCATTAGACGAACCCAAGTTGAGGGACATTCCACAGCACACCAGACCAGGATTCATCAATCCCATCTATGTCACCAGAACCAAGGCAGGATTGGGGAACCATCCCGACCCAGAGAAGGCTGAGCAGACTCGTGTGATGACTGTATGATGGATCCCAAATGGGATTCGGGAATAGGAAAAGGGCATTAGGGAAAAAGCGATGAAATCCAAGTAAAGCATGCAGCTTAATCAGTTTTGAGTAAATGCAAATAAAGTTAATTGACATCAAGAATCTAAGCATTGGTGTTGATTTCTCAGTTGTGATGGAAATGGCACTATTAACCCCACCAGGTTGACAATAATGGCAAATAGGAAAATATAGGAAACTCTATGATCTTTATAACATTTCTATCAATCTGAGGGTTTCTTTTTTTTTTTTTTTTGCCACACCCGGCTGTACTCAGGTGCTCAGGGCTTACTGCTGGCCCTGCATTCAGGTTTCACTCCTGGTGGTGCTCAGGGGACCGAATGGATACTGGGGATGGAACCTTGGTTGGCTGCGTACAAGGCAAATACCCTGTCTGCTGTACTATGACTCTGGACCTCAATCTGAAGCTATTTTAAAGTAAAAAGTTTATTTTAAAAAAGCCACATGGTGGACCAGAGAAATAGTATAGCTTTCCTGGCATATAACCAAGCTGGGTTTGATCCCAGTACTGAATATGGTCCTTAGACTACCACCAGAGTCATCCCTGAGTACAAATCAGGAGTGAATCCTGAGCACAGACAGGTGTAGCTCACAAACAAAACAAAACAAACCAAACCAGTACCATGGGATTTTAAAGTAGCATAACTTAGTTTTGAGTCATAAACACAGTCATATTAATGGTGATGCTGAATATTGATTTTTCAAAATTGTACATATATATCGGGAATGACTCTTAACGTTCTATAATCAGTATGCTTGTGATCAATATATTTGATCTTAAATAGCTCATTTTATTTTTGTCTCAAGCCATTTACAATTATTTGATGATAAATTATGAACACACATTATTTAAAATTATTTGATGATAAACTATGAACAAACGTTATTCTCATAAAAAATGTGGGTGGTAGAAAAAGAGATTGAAAACTGTTTTTTTTTTTTTGGTTTTTGGGTCACACCTGGTGATGCTCAAGGGTTACTTCTGGCTCTGCACTCAGGAATCACCTCTGGGGTGCTCGGGGGACCTTATGGGATGCTAGGAATTGAACCCGTGTTGGCTACATGCAAGGCAAATGCCCTACCCGCTGTGCTATTGCTCCAGCCCCTGAACAACTGTTTTTGCAGTTCATGTTGAGGGCCCCAAATTTAAACTTTGAATGAACTTGCTTTTCCTGATGTCCCCTAAGCTGCTGTTAGTGACTGAAAAATCTGGAATGTCACCACTGAAATTTAATACATATCAAAATAAGGAAAGTCAAAATACTATTTATTTTTGCAGTAATTGTTTTCTAGCTATCTTTATTGCTCTTAGTTTTTTTTGTGAGAAAAGATACTAAAGTGGGTGTTTAATCCTTCTGTTTTGGAAGAATATATTTTGTCAGACATAATAGAATGTCTACAAAAATTTCTAGAGTAATAATATGATAACGTAGTGCCAGAGTGATAATATAGTGGGTAAGGTGCTTGCTTGCCTTGCATGTTGTTGGGTTTGGTCCCTGACAAACCAGTCTCCTGAGCCCCGCCAGGAGTGATTCCTGAGCACAGAACTAGAAGTAAGCCTTGAACACTGCTGAGTGTGGCCCCCAAACGAACAAAAATGTATGATAATGTTATTTTTTATTTTCCACTGTTAAATATACTGTTTATGTTTCTCTTTCTCTCCTTTTTCTTCTCCATTTTTTCCCCTAGTGGGGGTACTGCTCAAATACTGTTGTCTATGCGTATACCAGACCTGATCGTCCAGAGTATTGTGTCATCTTTTGGGATACAAAAAATAATGAGAAATATGTCAAATATGTGAAGAGTCTCATTTCTATTACTACTTGTGGAGATTTCTGCATCTTGGCTACAAAAGCAGATGAAAATCATCCTCAGGTCAGTTTGGTACCTTTCAACTTGGGGGTGGGTGATTGACTGGGCTCCAATTATCTCCCTTCTCAGCCTGTTTTCTAAACTGGCAGACACAGGGAAGTATTGGGTCTGTTGGCCACATCTGTCTACTCCTCTGCGTTAGAAAGCTCTGCGATTTTATTGGTTCTGTGTCTTGTTCCAGTCAGTCAATTTGCTGGGCAGTTCCTATTGACCAGTCCTGAAACCTTTAATCTCTGCAACATATTAAAAGTACCATAATTCATTTCCAAGTTAAATTCCATAAGCCAGAATGAATAGTTAATATTTACTCTAAGTGTTTAAGAAATTGCTTAACAGTAACCATTTTAAAAACAGTGCTAGCTGTTGACATTCAGAAATGTGCTCCTATTTGGAGTTAGATTACTTGAAAAGTCAGTCTCAGTGTAAGATAAATAATACAAGCAATGCCCTTTTTAAAAAGCGTGCTAGTAACTTTGATATTTGCAGAAGGATTTCTAGTTTTCAAAAAAGGTCTACCCGTGCTTTTATCTTAAAAAATATTTTATCCATTAAAAAGTATAGAGATTCACAGACAGCCGTTTTTGAACAGCCACGTTCAACTCTGTTCTCCTGGACCTGGTTAAAACAACACTAAAGATGTCCTTGAAAGCCAAAAGTCAACAGGAACCAGAAAGCGAGAAGAAACAGCACTGTTGTTTTGGAGGTTAGGAGCAAATCTGAAGTTTTCAGTAAAGCATCGCAGTGGCCAGTGTACATTACTGAACCCCCAAAATTCAGGAGAATTCACGATAGGAGGAAGAAAGAAACTGACAGAAAAGCTCTTAGGAATAACCAATGATTATTCAGGAAGGAGATTTAAAAAGTCATATAAAGACAGAGAGTTCCAGATATTCTCCCCTCTACTGGTACAGAGACCTCTGCCCTTTGACCCCCCGGGGAAGCTAGTGGAGAAGAGAGTTTCTGTCCTGGAGGCCTTCGGTCCCCGGTGAACAGGGCAAAACTGCTGAGAAGCTCAAGAATTTGGGCGGCTACCCAGGGCTCCCAGGGTTCTTTCCTCATCTGGTTCCGGAGCATGGGCTCTGAAGTAGATAGAACTTTCCAGTAGGAGATGGGAGATATCCTCTCCTGAGATGCTGAGCAGGTTAAGGGGGACTAAAAGACCCCAAATAGATTGATATTGGGAATCATGCAGAAAATATCCTTGCCAAGTCTCTTTAGTACAAGGCCCACATGAACAAATAGGATTCCAGTAGCTATTTAGGACCACACTCTTAAATATGAGGAAATAGAAATGGGCTATTGGATATTCAAGGACACCATTGATGTAACAAACACCAGAAATAAATAGAAGAAGAAAAGAACTGAGAGGACCCTGCAGAGGCTGTCCATGAAGAGTCTTAGTTTCAGAAGAACTGTTGGTGTCTTCTGAGGGCTAAATTAATACATCCACAGGCAAGGAAAGGCCACTATAGAAAGGGAAGTTTTTACAAATTACAAGTGAGATAACAGCAATGATAAATTTCGCAGAAGAATTAGTCTGTAGCACTGTCCTCCCATTGCTCATCGATTTGCTCGAGTGGGCACCAGTAACATCTCCATTGCGAGAGTTGTTACTGTTTTTGGCATATTGAATATGTAACGGGTAGCTTGCTAAGCTTTGCCATGCGTGTGGGATACTCTTGGTAGCCTGCCGGGCTCTCTGAGAGGGACGGAGGAATTGAACCTGGGTCACTCCTGTGCAAGGCAAACTCCCTACCTGCTGTGCTATTGCTTAGGCAGAAGAATTACAAGATGAAATAAAACTATAGGGGAGCAAAAACGCCAAGAAAATGGTGATGAGAAGAGGCTTAGCCCTAAAAGTTCAGTATTTACATGATAATTCTTAAAAAACTGAGTAGGCAAAAAGGAGTAGTGATTCTGAAAAAAAAAATCAAGGAACTTTCTCTTTAGTTTCTAGATTAAAAGTACCTACCTCTATGAATAAAATGATTTTCAACATCAAGACACATCAGAACAACAAGGATTTAAAAAAAAGATCCTATAAGCTCTCAAAGAGGAAAAACAGATTTGTAGAATCAGGTGTCATGATGGCATTGGATTTGTCAGTCGGGAGATACTTTGGAGGATTCCTTTCACAATTCTGAGAGAAATGGTTTCCCATTTTGAATTCTACACAGTTAATGATTTATGGACATCACTAATTGAGTGTGAAAGTTGAATAAAGATGTTTGAATATACAAGGCTACTCCACGTGTTTATTCCAAGATTCCCTCTCTGAGGAAGTTACTTCAGTGTCTGACTCACCAAAAATGAAGACTTAAACCCAGAAAGAAGAAACAGGAACAGTTGACAACAGTGGTGAAGGGTGTGTCACAGTCACAGGGTGCTCTTGCCTGATGCCACCTGGCCAGAGCGGGTCACATACTCCGAAAGGGATTTAAGATAAAACGGAAAAAAAAAAAAGAAACTTACTGTGGTTGATTCTTCCAGAAGAGACATGCTTAGCTTACCTGGAGGATAATTGGGATAACTGGAAGGAAAATTTGAAGAATAATAAATACAGAGAAAACCGAAGAGAAAAATAAAGACTGTTGTTGACTAGAGGGGAAAGCAAAAAATGTTTTTAAAAGGGAAATAAGTCATGTTTAACTTGATGACTGAGATTTGAACAAACATTGAAGTAGTCAAAGTGATGTGCTCACTGTTTTTTTTCTTTTAATGAAAATATTCATTGAAGTAAAATGAACATTCAGTTCTTAATCAAGGCCTAACAAAAATGCAGGGTGAAGGAGGGAGGGATAGGAGTGTGCCTCTGTTTGATGGAGGCTGAGTGGGCCTGCAGGGGGGTGGGGTGAAGGTTCAACCATACAGCTCACTGGTGGTGGGAAAGCAGCCGTTAATTCCCTCATGGAAAGCAAACCAGAGTAAACTGGAAGAGCCTTCGGAACATGTTACTTGGATGTGCAGAGTTAAAGAAATCAGTTAAGTTGCTCAAAGGAATTATTTCAGGGCGCAGGACATGGGAAGTTGTCAGAAAACTTTTAAGTTAGAAACCTCATGGCACCCCTTTGAGTCTCTCAGCTAGGAGCCTGTAAATGAGAAGTAAATGGAAACATTGTATTTTGTGGCAGTAACTAAACTTATTTTAAGAAATAGAAAAGTAAAATCATGATCTTTTAAAAAAATTATTTATTCATTTGTTTACTGGCTTTTTGGGGTCACATCTAGCTCTGTGCTCAGGATTTACTCCTGATGGTACTCAGGGGTCCACATGGAATGTCGGGGATTCAACCCCGGTTGGCCACGTGCAAGTGAAAACGCCCTAATCACTGTACTATCACTTTAGCCCTCTTATGTATGATTTTTATTGCTTATGAAATTAAGCGAGTTTTAGTTGAGATGCTAAGAAAAGAAAATGCTTATATGTAAGTAGTATATAGAGAATTGGTTTATATGAAATGATCATTCCAGGAAAGCACCTAAGTAATTCTTGTTATTATTTTGTTTTGTTTTGTTTTGGCCACACCTTGTGATGCTCAGGGTTACTCTGCACTCAGGAATCACTTCTCGCAGTGCTTGGGGGACCATTTGGGATGCCAGGGATCGAACCCAGGTTGGCCATGTGCAAGGCAAACACCTTGCTGTACTATCACTCTGACCCCAAGATTGTATTCTTAATACAAGTTATACCACTGCCAGTTATTAAAGATGACTGGCAGAATGTGGAAATGATCAGTTTAGAATAATATGTGCATTATTTTTTACTAATAGTAATCATGACAAGTATTTGTATATGCTTTAAAATTAACTTAATATTTAAAAGTCATTTTTTTACTAAATTGGATTATATATTTTCTGAATTAACGGCATTTTTTTCATGTCATTTATTTATTGCTTCAAAGGACGAGAGTGAGATGGAAACATTTGGTGCAACGGTAAAAAATTAAACTAGCTTTTCTATAGTTGGTTAGAAGATAAAAATGAGTTTTGATTTGAAGGATGAGCAGGAATTTTAGAAGAAAAACAGTGAAAAGTAGCTAGCATACTTATGTTTCTTAAGTAGCCTCTTAGGTCGCAGTCTTTCATTATATTGAGAAATCAGCTTGCTTGAATTTTGATTGAGATTTATGTTTCATCTAGGTCGTTTACTGTTCTTCGCACTTAACAATTTTATTAGTTATTTTCCAGTTAGTAATACCTTAAAAAGAAGCATGCTGTGTGAAGCATTATTTAAAAAATTATACTTAAATAGGAATCCTGATTTTTTTCTTGTCTCTTCACAGTATGTGCTAGTTCTTTGTAATTCTATTGGCACACCCTTGGATCCTAAATACATTGATATTGGTAAGAAATGCTACTGTTTTTTTCTATCTTTAATTAAGTTTTATCTGTAAGATGAATGGCAGAAAGCCTAACAATCATATCATTAATTTTTGCATATTGATATGTTTGTTTGTTGTGGGGCCTGGTAGTGTTGGGGTGCTGTGGGGCTACACCCAGCAGTGCTCCGAGAGCCATGTGGTGCTGGGGTTGAGTCTATCACTTCACATATGCAAGGCATATACTCTGCCACTGGAGCCGTATCCCTTATGCCCAGAATACAAATTCGTTAGAACAAAGGTGACTGTAGTTCTTGGTTTGCCAGTTCCAGTTTGTAACTATTATGATGAAATTATTAATAATCTTTTGTTTCACTCATAAGTATGCAGATTAATAAAATAAATTCTAAAGCGACTAAAATCCACAGTAATCTCACAACTGTGATATTGCCATGATTTGTTTGAAATTGAAAATGTAATTACCTAGAAGTGAGTATGCAAGCATAAAGATTAGTTAGTAATAACTGAGGGTTGTAGGAGGTATTTTGCCACTAAACTATGTTTTTTTCATAATAAACTGCTTGTAAATACCTTTCTTCTATAAAAACACCCTAGCTGCTTGTAAAAGTGAGTTTTGCCTCTTCCAGATTGTTCTAATGAATTCAGTCGATTAATGGGGACGAATTAAAAAAATTTCTGACATTTTTGTTTTCAGAAAGACATTTATTACTTTAGACTTACCATTCATTCTACCCAAAAGCTATGAAAGTAACCATAAAAAATTGCAAATCTTATTTTATTAAAAATATTTATTAAAATATTTATTAAAAGTATTTTATTAAAAATAATAACAATTTGTCATTTCACTGTAGTTTACAAAGTAATGATTTTGTTTTAAAACATGTGCTAGATTGTTGAATATAGTTTTGAAAGATTTTAGCACTTTCACAGTCCTCCCGTTATACATCAATTTGCTTGAGCGGACCCAGTAACGTCTCCATTGTGAGACTTGTTGTTACTGTTTTTGGCATATTGAATATGTCATGGGTAGCTCTCCGAGAGGGGCTGAGGACTCGAACCTGGGCTGACCAGCAAGGGAAATGCCCTACCTGCTGTGCTATCGCCCCACCCCTTTGAAAGATTATTAGATTAAAAACTTTGAAAATCAGGAATATAGCTCAGTGGTAGAGCACATGCTTTTTATGTATGAGGCCCAAGGTTTGATTTCTAGCAACACACACACACAGACATACATAGACACACGCACAGACACAGACACACACACACACAGACACCCCTCCCCTACACACACAGTTGGAAAGTCATTGAGTTGTTTCCTGAATCTAAGAATTAGGGTCATTTTGGGGTCTAAATGTTTATATTTTGCTAAGCTCTTTGCTAAGCATCTTTCATATGCAAGAAAATGTGAGAAATACTAGCCAACCCCAGTGATTTTACTCTATGTTTTCAGTTATACTTTATGTTTATACTTGGTTATACTCATATATACCCTATGTATGCAGTTATTACTCTATGGTCTTGGTTAATTCACTTTTATATGTATAAAAACTTCCTGTTAGTCAGTCAGAAGAAGATCAGGCACTTATATGTGGTATATAGCATAATGAGATGATCCAAGGTAATTAAAAGGGGGGCTACCTAGACTACCATTGGCCCCAGAGTATAGGAAGGAGAAAGATAGGGAATGAAAGACATTGAGGAGGAGGAGTAAAAGGAAGTGGACAGGAAGTAATGGGAGGTGGGGGGTAAGGGCCAAGGGTCTCAGATATGTCAATGGTGTAGGAGGGTGGTATATATGTAGATGTAGATATTTATACACACACACACACACACACACACACACATACATGCACACATATCCAAAGCACACAGTCAACAACACTTAAGCAGGAGATCCAAACGACAACAAACTTAAAAATGTACCTGTCAAGGAAGCAGACAGTGGGGTAGAGGGACCTTGGAACAGTAGTGGAGAGAAGTTGACTCTGCTGATGGGATTGGTATCTTCATAAAAAGATGAATAAACAAAACAAAACTTTTCAATTCATGCCATGTATTCATTGTTATTTAGGTATCATTACATGAGTTTGTGTGCATACAGACTCACATGTTAGTATTTCTTGCTAAAATGTATCTCTTAAAATTAGATTTTTCTCATGAGTATCTTCTATTTATTAGATACTTCTCTGTCAAATTCATTCAGTAGTGAATGCTGTCAATTTTCAGATAATACGCTTTTTTATATCAATGAAATTTAATGTAGAATCATTGTGATGATAGTTTATCCTGAAAGTAATTTTGATCACAGGCAATCATTTCTTTAATAAGGCCAGATGGAAGTCCTTCACCTTCATAAAGTAGCAAATCCTCAAGGGCATGATTATTTGTGTTTTTGAATCACAGAATTTTTTTCTTGCAGTCTTGATGGCTGGAATTTTATCAAAAGGTTCTTTCATTGATTTCCTGTAAACTCAGCCAAGGACTCAACATTTGTTTCATACATATCCTGTAAAATTCCTTTTTAAGAGTCTGACTAATTTTCATGAGAACTGAAGCCTAACCAAAAGAGTATGTAATGGATATTGTTCTGCAAGCTGCAATTTTTGTTTTGCTACCTACTCTTTCTCCTGACAATCTCTGTGAGAATTTTTACAAAGACCCTTATGTATTGCAGAAGTTTAGTTTGTGGTTCTCTGTTCTACTGTGTATGAAGATGTTAGGTTCCTCTCACGGTGCTGTTTCTTGGAGTCCTCAAAAATCCTTTTAATTTTTATTTTTAAATTAAAATTCTATCCAAACTTTATCTTCCCTAGCAGGTCTGCAAGATTTTTTTGGTCTTTGGGCCACACTCTGTCGTGCTCAGAACTCTGGCTCTGCACTCAGGAATCACTCCTAGTGGCTCGGGGGAGCATATGGGATGTTGAGGATCAGTCCTGGGTCAGCTGTATGCAAGGCAGGCCTCCCTAACCCCTGTACTATTTCTCCAACTCCAAGATCCTAGGTTTTTTTTTTTTAAAGACATGTATCTTTATCCATTTCTGTACCTTCACTTCCTAATCTCTAACAGTGTTAGGTATTTGCCCTATAACAAACATTTATGAAAATACTTAATTTTTCTATTCTACCATTCATTTAGGTCTGGAGCGATAGCACAGCGAGTAGGGCATTTGCATTGCACGCAGCCGACCCAGTTGACCCGAGTTCGATTCCTCCACCCCTCTCGGAGAGCCCGGCAAGCTAACGAGAGTATCTTGCCCACATGGCAAAAACTGGCAAGCTACCTGTGATGTATTCGATATGCCAAACACAGTAACAACAAGTCTCACAATGTTACTGGGCCCACTCCAGCAAATCGATGAACAATGGGAGGACAGTGACAGTGACAGTGACCATTCATTAAGTATCAAACCATCAATGAGTACAGACTGTTTCAGAAACGGTCTTGAGCAGAAGGGTTGATGAAAGTATCTTGTTCGCATTTCCCATGGGATGTTTAAATGGATAATTAAAATAGAGTTCATCCAAAAAACAGCGGCTGTTGCTCCCCTGCTGCACGCCAGTGTGGAAGTGCTGGAGAGGTAACATTGGCACAGAGGACCTACTCCAGGGACATTTTTTCCTGCCTCATGGTTTTGTTTGAACTGAGATTGGAAGAAAAGTATTCCCGAAGGTGGTGCTTTATGGGGAGTAAGGGGCATTTGCTGAGGAATGGAGGATAAAAAGTAGCTGGAACCTACTAGTGCCTGTTCTGCATCTCTTTTGGTGGGAGCCTGGGGGGAGGGACGGTGGTGGAGGGGCTTCCTAACATCTAGTCTTCTGCTTATACCAAGAGAGGAGATTGGATGGAAAAATTTTGGTGCAATTTACGTGCTCTTTAAAGAGCTGAGACATGAGTAAGTCTGAAAGTGGGGGAACATTAAAGATATGAACATTTATTTCAGGTTTCAGCAGTAAAATATTGTAAGCAGGTTGTACTCATACAGAATTCCTGGATTGTTTTAACTTACTTTACGTTATTGCTTGGCTAGTAACTACTGCCTATTAGCATTACCAGGTTCAGTTATTGGAGGCATGATTATTTTCCATAACAATATGTTTCCAATAATGTTTCTAAATCTTTACATTTGTTTCTTTGTTTTTGTCTTGATTTGGGTCCACACCCGGCAGTGCTATTCCTGGCTATGCTCAGGGATCACTCCCTCCTGGTAGGCTTGGGAGGACCTTATGGGGTGCTGTGGATTGCACCGTGGTCAACCACATACAAAGCAAATGTCTTACCTGCTGTACAATCTCTCTGGCCCCATAAGTATTTAAAAGTTTTCTTTCCAGGTATTGGATAATTTAGAAGTGTGTAGAGTGCTTTTATCCTGATGTGTTCTTTTCTTCAAACAATGTTAAAATTTGGTATTCTAACTTCTTAGAGACTTAGCTCTAAGAAACTAAGAATTAAATCACTTGGATAGGATGAATCTCTCTCTTTCATTTTTTGTGGGGACACACCTGGTGTGTGTACTCTTGTCTCTGTGCTTAGGGATCACTCCTGGATGTGCTCAGGGGACCATATGGGGTGCTTGGGATAGAACAGAGGTCAGTTGTGTGCAAGGCAAGCACCCTTGCTGCTGTACTATTGACTTAGCCCTTGGTCTTTTGGTTTTTTAAATACTTTGTAAGATTTATGTCACCATGAGTATTTAAATGATAATGCTAAAATTATTACCACATGATCTAGAAGAAAGGTTCAGATATTTGCATTTGCTTTTTGTATTGACTCACTTTTATATACAAATTTATTATACAAACGTATGTATGTAATGAAAACAAAACCAATAGCAATAACTAGATTGCATATTTTACTTGAATTAGAGATAGAAGGACATAGGAATTAAGAGGAAAGATTTAGAGCTGGGTAGGTTGAGTTTATAGCCCAACTTCTGCTCCTTGTTAGTCGTGCAAGTTCAGCAAATTATTTAATCATTAATCCTTCAGTTTTTCATCTGTTAAATGGGGAAAATAATGTTGTTTGCCTGTTATTTAACACATGCTTTACATGTATGTAATTGTATACTAGACTATATTTTAGTTATCACTAAAATATGTCAGACATTGAAAAGGTTTAATAAATAATGGCTTCAAGATTACTATTAAGCACTTATTCAGTGTCAGGTATGGAACTCTATATATCTGTTATCTCTTTTAACTGTTACAGCGGCTATATAAAGTTGATATTGTTATCATCTTCAACTTTCAGCTAGTAAACTGAGGTTCAGAGAATAATTAATTTATCTAAGGCCTTGGGATTAATAAGTGCCTAGTCACAGACTCTGACTTTAACTTTAAACCACTCAGATTTTAATTTTGAGTTAATATGGTTATGGATAATTCTTTGTGAAGATTTGGAATCTATAAACAAGAAAATAATATGAATGCACTATATAATAAAGGTAAACCTTGCTTAGGAAACTGCTTGGGAAAAAATTGTATTTCATTAGGAAGCAGTTTTGTTGACGTCACACCCCATTAAGGCATAAAGTTATCAGTTTCAGCTGATCTGTGGTACAGTTCACTAATTATTTGGCAAATGTCTTACAATCTGGTGACAATGGGGAGAAACTCTGAAAGCTACACAAAGCCTGGGCCTGGAGAGCTCATTCATCCTGTTCATCCTGCGTTGGAGCTGACCACCTTTCTTCCCCCTGGTGGCGATGCATTGTTCCAACCAGAAGGCCTCTGGCTCCCTCTAGAGTTCAGTTTTGTACATGATTTGGCAAAATCTTAATTGCCATAAGTTTTCGTTGTGCATCAGCTATAATATACTAAGCATGAAAAAAATTCTTGAACGAGATACAGCTTTGTAGTGGAGCTCCTACCTTGTATGAGTTTGGTCATAGGTTCAAACCCCAGAACCAGCAAAAAAAACTCTACACCATTTTTTCATATAAATTAACCATCTTAGGAGCCGAAGAGATAGTACAGTGGGTTAGGTGCTTGCCTTGCACGTGGCTAACCAGCGTTCAAACCCCAGCATCCCAAATGCCCCCTCACCCCCTTGCAATTCAGGGAGTAACTCTTGACTCATGACCCAGCAGTAACTCCTGAGCAAGCCAGGTGTGGCCCCAAACAAAAAATAAAAACCAGGAAAGTAAAAAGTTCTTGAATTTGAATTTCTTGAGTTGCTAATCCACTCATGTTGACCTGTTAATGTCAGCTTGGTTTTAAATGACTGGCTAAGTTTCCTAGGTGCATGATGCTTTAGAGGTCTTTTTCTTGGCCTTTGGAAACAGTGCTGCAAAAGGTAACTTATCCATGCCATTTCTTTGTTCTGGCTATGTCAGTTATTACTGTGCACAGAATTTATGAGTTGAAATTAAGAATTAAGTTTTGCACCATTTCAGTTATTCATGGATTTAGAGAAAAGATAGGCACTAAAATATTTTACAAAAAAGAATCTTATTTTTTATATATTGTGTGTGACTGTGCTCATTTTGCCTTTTAAAATTTTTTTTGGTTTGGGCTAGTTCACTGTATCACTGTCATCTCGTTGTTCATCAGTTTCCTCAAGCAGGCACCAGTAATGTCTCCATTCATCCTAACCCTGAGATTTTAGCAAGTGCCACATTGGAGGCTCTTTCAGGGTCAGGGGAATGAGACCCATCATTGTTACTAGGTTTTGGCATATTGAATACGCCAGGGGGAGCTTGCCAGACTGACGTGTGGGCAGGATACTCTTGGTAGCCTGCCAGGTTCTCCGAGAGTGAGAGGGCCAGTTATTTTATTTAATCCTTACCTTTAAGGTATTTTTCATGTAGCTATTTTTTAAATTTTTAAATTTTTTCAATTTAATTTTCATAAAGTTGTTCACAATAATTGATTACATTCAATATTTCAACACCAATCCCACCACCATTATGCCTTCCCACCACTTCAATCCTGTCCCACAGGCAGATGCTAATTAATTTATTTTGTATTGCTTCTTATGAATAGTATGAGGTGTTGTGTGGCCGCAAAAGGAGCTGCGTGCTCCTGGAATTCTAAAATTTTAAATAATTGGGGTCTGGAGACATATCTGCAGCATGCTGCTCTCTTCTGAGATTCATTTGTGAGTCTTTGGATCATGGACATTATTGAACTTAAATGGCACCCAGAGGCAGTTGGTGGGCGTGACTGCCAGGAAACCAGAAGGGTGATGAGATGAGGGGAGGTCGCCCTGGAGTTTTCAGTCACAGTTCCCGCATACTTCGGTTTTTCAGCACATTTTTTCTCACGTCTGAGGAGTTCAGGATGAGCCTGTGAAGATCAGCCATGAGCATGGCAGAATTCGGTTCTGATGATCTTACTCTTTTATAAGAAGGTACATAAGATAAGCATAATTCAGTATTCTTTGAGAAACAAAACAGATGAAAAAGTTCTCTGGGAAAATATATTTGAACTTTACTTAGGAAGAACTTTTCAGAATTTTATTTTCGAAATTAATGAGAAGCTAGTTGATTTTTTTGTCGGTGCATATCAGCTCTGCTCGGGGCTTAATTCCTGGCTCTATGCTCAGGGATCACTATTTGATAGCATTTTGTATGAGTTCTTGTGTGGACATTTGTTTTTATTTGTCTTGGGTGGAAACCTAGGAGTGGGATTGCTGGGACATAGAATTCTGTTTAACATTTTGAGGCACTGTCCCATTTTTCAAAGTGGATCTTCCTCTTTGTTATCCTACCTTTCCCACATTTTTGCTGACAATCATTTTTGCCCATCTTCTGATTCCAGACATTAGAGTGGGGATGAAATCATTGTGATTTTGATTTGCATTTTCATGACGACATTATATTAAGCATCTTTTCACGTACTAAGTTGGTCATTTGTATATATTAATTGGAGAAATATTTGTTCCAGTTCTTTGCTCATAATTCAGGGGATTATTATTATTAAAAGTAAAAAGTAAAGGCCCTCCCGTTGATCATCGATTTGCTCGAGCGGGCCCAGTAATGTCTCCATTGGAGACTTTGTTGTTACTGTGTTTGGCATATCGAATATGTCACGGGGAGCTTGCCAGGCTCTGCCGTGCGGGCAAGATACTCTCGGTAGCTTGCCGGGCTCTCCGAGAGGGGCGGAGGAATCGAACTCGGGTAGGCCATGTTGGCTGCATGCAAGGCAAACGCCCTACCGCTGTGCTATATCTCCAGCCCATTATTATTATTATTATTATTATTGAGTTCTAAGAGCCCTTTACTTTGTTTGGATACAATTCTTTGCCCACATACTGTCACTGTCACTGTCACTGTCTTCCCGTTGTTCATCGATTTGCTTGAGCGGGTCCAGTAACGTCTCCATTGTGAGACTTTGTTGTTACTGTGTTTGGCATATCGAATACGTCATGGGGAGCTTGCCAGGCTCTGCTGTGCGGGCGAGATACTCTCGGTAGCTTGCCGGGCTCTCCGAGAGGGGCGGAGGAATCATTTTCTCTCTTTTATGAGTTGTTTTTTTGCTTTTCTTTTGTTTTGGGGTCACACCTGGCAGTTCTCAGCCTTACTCCTGGTTTTGTGCTCAGGGATCACGCCTGCAGACTCAGAGGACCATATGGGGATCAAGTCTGGGTTGACTGTGTGCAGAACAAGTGCCTTACCTGTCGTCTCTTGAGCCCCATCTTTTTACTGCATTAATACACAAATATTTTAATTTTGATGTTCAATTTATTTATCTTTTATTTTGTAGCTTGTGCTTTGTATCTAAGAAATCACAGCCCAAAGGCCTGTGATGACAGAGATTTACTTTTCTTCTAGGATTTCTGTAGTTTTTGTTCTTATTTTTCGGTTCATTTTATGCTGTTGTTTATTATTTTTTTTGCTTTTTTGGGTCACACCCGGCGATGTACAGGGGTTACTCCTGGCTCATGCACTCAGGAATTACTCCTGGCGGTGCTCAGGGGACCATATGGGATGCCGGGAATCAAACCCAGGTTGGCTGCATGCAAGGCAAACGCCCTACGTGCTGTGCTATTGCTCCAGCCCCTGTTTAGGTTTATTTTGAGTTAATATTTTACATAGTCCTACAAGCTTTTTCATTTTTTCCCTCAAAATGTAGAGACTGGATATATGGTTTATTGTCTATGAAATGTGGATATATGGTTTACTGTCTATGAAATGACGCAGTGAGTGATCTCTGATGCATTCTGTGGTTCTGTGTAAATGTAATCTGACTGTTGTGATATTCTTTTCAATAGTACCATTATTTGTTACAATGACAAAAACCCACGTGATCGCAGCTTCTAAAGAAGCATTTTATACCTGGCAATATCGTGTGGCAAAGAAACTCACAGCACTGGAAATTAATCAGATCATGCGATCTCGAAAAGAAGGCAGAGAAAGGTATATCTTTATTTATTTAATTATTTGTTTTTTAATTTAGTGAAACACCATGAGGTACAGTTGTAGACTTACAGATTTTTGTGCTTGGGTTTCGATTATGCAATGATTGAGTACCCATTCCTCCACCAGTGCCCACTTTCTACCACCACTGATTCCAGTATCCCTTCCACCCCCATCCCCCCCATTCCACCCTGCCTTTGTGGCAGGGCACTCCCCTTTGTTCTCTCTCTCTCTCCTTTTGGGTACCACGGCTTGCATTCAGTGGCAATCATGTTTGGTCTCTAGTCCACTTTCAGCATGCATCTCCCATCCTGGGAGGATCCTCCCAACAAGAAAGGTATATCTTGATGCATTGTTTTAGTTTATAAATCATCATGTTTGAGAGCTAGAAATTGTTTTGACATAAAGAAATAATATTTTTACATTAATTTGAGTGATGAAAGTAAACACTTAGGGAAAAGCCTTGAAACCTGTATGTTCATGTGTTTTTTTTTAAATAAGTAAATGGTTATTCTCATCCATTACCATCACTGTAACAGGGTTACATTAGATCTATGTATCGCTAAGGTTGAATATTTAGCCAAAGCTTCCCTCCACAGTTAGTGGAACATGCCTTTCTTTCCAGTATGGGTCACTGTGGAAGAGGCAGACCTCTGTAGGTATGGTGGGCTACTTTTTCTTGACATGGATGCCAGGAAGTCTGGGATGGAATTATTTCTGGTTAGTGGTGGTGAAGAGTTGCGCCACATAGAGTGGAAGGAGAAGGATGGAGGGTTTCTCAAGGTTTAGGAAAATCACAAGGTACAGGTGCTATTGTGGTGCTTTGGTAAGTTACATTGCGTGTACTAGCAATATTCTAGGTTTGTTATTCTCTTGTTGTTTTCTCATGATTCTCCTTGAGAACATAGGCCTGCCTTGGTGGGGCTGGGCAGTAGGGACTCATGCCAGAAACTCCAGGTTGGTTTTTCAGATCATCTTCACATTCACATTGATATTTTTATTTATTTATTTTTGGACCACACCCACCTGTGCTCAGGGCTCACTTCTGGTTCTGTGCTCAAGAATCACTCCTGGCAGGACTCAGGAGACCATATCAGGTGCCTGGGATCAAATGTGGATCAGTTTGCCATATGCAAGGCAAGTGCCCTACCCACTGTATTATCACTCTGACGCCCCTGCCCTTCTTTTTATTTTTTATTTATTTTTTTATCATTTTTTTATTAGTGAAACACCATGAAGTACACTTATAGACTTATAAATTTTTGTGCTTGGGTTTCAGTTATACAATGATCAAGTACCCATCCCTCCACCAGTGCCCATCCTCCCCCACCACGGGTCCTAGCATCCCTCCCACCCCCCATCCTCCCCCCCACCCCCCCGTCCCACCCTGCCACAGTGGCAGCCCTGCCCTTCTTTTTAAAGTTCACTCATAAACTAAGATAGAAGATAGGTCCTAAGTAAAAGTGTTTTGGTTTTGCAAATTCATGGGAAGAGGAAAGTAAAAACAGCTGAATAGAATCCAGAGCGGTAGTATAGGGGTTAAGGTGCTCGCCTTGCGTATGGAGTCTCAGGGATCCGCCTTCCAAAAATAGAGCTCTTTTAAGAATTCTTCTTAAATAATAAGGATATTCATATTGGGTAATAGTGTTTTGGGGGTTATCATCCAATCTTTAAATCAAACTAGAGATCATAAAGTACTAGAATCCTTACATGCACTTTAAAAAAATTTTTTTTTCTTTCAGAATTTATCATGTCGATGATACTCCTTCTGGATCAGGGGATGGTGCGCTTGACTACAGTAAAGCCATCCAAGTAGGTGCTTTTGTTTCTACCAGCAAATGCTACTATCTATAGATCTGGAAATACTTTCATTTAATGCTGAGAACTGAACAAAAACTTTTTCCCAATAAAGAATATATTCTAGTAATTCTTTAAACATCTTTATGTTCAGAAAGATGTTTCCTAGATCTGATTTTTTATCCTTTGTATTTAAAAAAATACATTATTTGGAAATAATTATAGGTGCGAAGGAAGTTTGAAAATAATACTATCCAGAACCTCCTCCTTACCCAGGTTCCTTCAATGGGGGCATCTTATGTAATTATGATACATAATGTCAAAATCAGGAAGTTGAGCCTGGTTGATCCTGGTACTAGACTGTTACCTAAACTACTACCTGATTCCTCATTGAGTTTTCATTGTTTTTTTTTTTCTGCATGTGTGTATGCGAATGTGTGTGTGTGTAGTTTTTATTTTCCAAATAGTATCAAAAAAAGAGATTTCCTCATGCTACTTACTTGTTTTCACACCCAACCCCCACTCCCCATCCCTGTCCCCTGGCAGCCCCAGTCTCTGTCTCTATAGTTTTGATCCTTTGAGAATGTTTCATGAAAGGAATGGTGTAGTATGTAACCTTTTGAGGTGCTTTCTCCCCTGCCTCCCCAGCCTAGTGCTCTTGGGATCCAATCAGATTATCAAAGATCCATGCCGCTTTGCTCTTCATTCTGGAACTCCTTGGTCCTTCTGCCATTTGTTCATCTCTTTTTCTTCCCAACAATTATTTAATTTTTATTAGTGAAACACCATGAGGTACAGTTGGAGACTTACAAATTTTTGTTCTTGGGTTTCAGTTATACAATGATCGAGTACCCATCCCTCCACCAGTGCCCATTCTCCACCACCAATGATCCCAGTAGCCCTCCCATCCCCCCATCCCCTCCATCCCAACCTGCCTCTGTGAAAGGGCATTCCCTTTTGTTCTCTCTCTCCTTTTGGGTGTCGTGGTTTGCAAAAGAGGTATTGAGTGGCAGTCATGGTCGGTTTATTGTCTACTTTCAGCATGCATCTCCCATCCTGGGAGGATCCTCCCAACACCCTTTACTTGGTGCTCCCTTCTCTATCTGAGCTGCCTTTTCCCCTAGCATGTGCGGCTGGCCTCCAATACATGGAGTGAACCTCCTGGTACTTATCTTGGCTACTCTTAGGTGTTAGTCTCCTATTTTGTTACTTTATATTCCCCAGATGAATGCAATCTTTCTATGTCTGTCCCTCTCTTTCTGACTCATTTCACTTAGCATGATACTTTCCATGTAGTACCACTTGTATGTAAATTTCATGACTTCATCTTTTCTAACAGCTGCATAGTACTCCATTGTGTAGATGTACCAAAGTTTCTTTAACCAGTCATCTGTTCTTGGGCACTCAGATTTTTTTTTCCAGATTTGGGCTATTGTGAACAGTGCAACAATGAACATAGAAGTGCAGATGTCATTTCGACTGTACTTTTTTGCCTCTCTGGGATATATTCCCAGGAGTGGTATTGCTGGGTCAAATGGGAGCTCAGTTTCTGATTTTTTGAGAATCGTCCATACTGTTTTCCAAAAGGGCTGTTGTTCATCTCTTTTGACTAAACTCAGATTCTTGCTTTCTTGCCCGTCATGGTATCTGTTAGAGACCAAAGTCTGTGCTCCTTCATCTGTGCTCCCCTAATTCCGGTGTGTCCCTCTGCTTCCATCAGACTTCACGGTAGCTTGGTGTCTACCTCCTTATCTTCCCCAGCAGACTGTCAAGTAACCCTTGAAGATAATCATCTGAATTATTTCAGTGCCTGGCACATAGTAGGGGCTCACTAAGTAAAAGTTTGTTGAACTCATAATTGTTAAAATATTCTTTTCAGTGACTTATACCAGCATAATCACTTAATAAATATTTGTTAAAGAGTGATTATTGATTTATTTTAGAGCACAAGGGATCCAATTTGTGCCATAACTGCATCTGATAAGACGCTGATTGTGGTAAGTAGTAATAAAAACTTATTTTATGTATCATCATTCATTAAATTAAAATACTAGGTCGGTACACTATGTTTTGGGTTTGAATATCATGTCGTGGGCACCAAGTTTTATTAAGTGCAATGTAAGAAATGAGAAAGGTTAGTACTAGCATTTGTCTTCCCCAGCTTTGATTTCCACCACTTCCTTGCGGCTTCAGTATCATGGGTTTAGCCTAAGCACCACCCCATCCTCGGACCCTGTCACTGAATCACATGGCCCATTGGCTGATTACTGCCAGAGCAGGCCTCCTAAGCAGAGGAGATCTCCCAACTTCCAACTTCCAGCCCCCTCTCCGCCCACCCCCACCCCCACTCACGATCACGATCACGACCATCCTGTTGTTCGTCGATTGCCTCAAGCAGGCCCCAGTAACGTCTCCTTTGTCCTAGCCCTGAGATTTTTTTTAAAAAAAGTGCCATATTCAAGGCTCTTTCAGGGTTAGGAGAATGAGAACCATCATTGTTACTGGTATTTGGCATATTGGGTACGCCATGGGGAGTTTGCCAGACTCTGCTGTGTGGGCAGGTTACATTCGGTAGCCTGCCAGGTTGTCCAAAGTAAGAATGAGATAATAAGATGTCTAGCTTCCGGGAGCTGGGTTTTATAGTCTCTGGGTCTTGGCCGTTGATGGGATTATACGGCGCCAGGGGGCCAGTTGGTGGGTGTGACCCCTGCCTACTGGAATTTGGAGAATCCGGGTGGAGGATGCTCAGCCCCAATCCGAGCAGGCTTGGAGATCTCAGCCCCAGGACCTGCATGCCTTTGTTCCTCTTCCAGTACCTTCATGCGTGTGGAGAGTGGTCTCAGCATGGTGGTGGCTGGTTCTGGAGGTCTTTGGCTACCGGAGCCCTGGTCGGGGTGGGGAGGGAAACTCAATCCACTCCCCTCCAAGGGGCCCCAGTGAGGACAGCCAGGCGTGGGGGCAGGAGACTCTGCGCTGTTCTCTTCCGGGAGCTGGGTTTTATAGTCTCTGGGTCTTGGCCATTGATGGGATTACACGAGTGCCAGGGGGCCAGTTGGTGGGTGTGACCCCTGCCTACTCGGAAGGTGGAGGATCTGGGTGGAGGATGCTCAGCCCCGATCTGAGCAGGCTTGGAGATGCCCACCCCCACTAAAAGGGAGAAAGTTTTAAAGACTGACTCAAGATTGTTAGTTGTTTGCAACATGGTAGTTTAATGAAAGTAGTAGATTTGGGGGCCTGCTAAGAGTGTGAGATTATTGGATTGAACAAATGCTATAGAGGGCTGGTATACAGGGGCCCGTAGATGTGTCTTAGAATATTTCCCTATCGTGTCTCGCTGTGGTTTGGTATTTTGTACTGGAGAAAATGCATTGGCGTAGCTCCATTCATAATACTTAGAATGAAGAGGTGGTATATCTGCTAGCCAATCATTTAAAGCAGTCCATGGCAATTTTTTGCTGAATTTTTGAAATTAATGTTACTGTATATTTTTAGCACTGGCATTTGAAAATCTGTTGGAATGTCAAATAAATGTTTACTATAGTAATACTGCTAGAGTTACTGAATTTCAGTTATGTAAACAGAGCCTCATATAATGGGTATTTCTAGTTTTGGTTACATTCTTTAATCATTAGCTAATGTTATGAAGAAAATTCTTTTAAGAACATAGTATTCATTTTTCTTCCCCAGACGGATTTCAACAATTTGTCTTATTGTCAAGACTGTGAGTTTCTTGTTTTCTTTTTATAGTCTTGATATATGGCAATTAAAAAAAAAGTTGCTGGTGTATTTTTGTGTTTCTGACACTTACAGAAAAAATAGCATGCATCTCGCATCAGCCACAAAAATGGACCAAATTCCCTAAGTGACAAGTTCTACCTATAAGAAACATACTCAAAGAGTTTGAATGCCAACCAAAACTTATAATGGAAAAGATAATTCCCACGTTTAAAACTGCTTTCCACTGTTGAGATGTAAGCAGTTTTTAGAACCATGACTTTTTCAAACACTCTGAGCCAAGCTTTTGGCTTTAAAAACATTTTCATTTTTAAAACCAGATTTTTTGGTATCCTAATGCTTAAATTTTTTATAATCTGATAGCACAGCGGTTAGGCGTTTGCTTGCATGCAGCCCACATGGCCGACCCGAGTTCGATTCCCCTTTCGGAGAGTCCGGCAAGCTACCGAGAGTATCTCACCCGCACGGCAGAGCCTGGCAAGCTCCCCGTGACATATTCGATATGCCAAACACAGTAACAACAAAATCTCCAATGGAGACGTTACTGGGCCCGCTCGAGCAAATCGACGAACAACGGGAGGACAATGCCAGTGCCTTCTTATACATGGAACCCTTATGTCCTTGTTCTTCCTCCTGGTTTCAGCCTTTTTCATAGGCTTCTCCAGAGAATCATCTGCAAAAGCATTGCTGCTTTGGTTAAAAACAGAAGAGGGAAGGGTTGGCTTCTGGAACCTTCCACTGTGCCCCATTGCCAGCCTGGGAATCAGAAAGCTCGAAAACTGCTGCTCTTTCTTACCGGAGCTATTGTTTTCTTAGCCTGAAGGCCATTCAGAGTTACATAGAAACTTAAAATCTTTCTTCATCTTAAAGGCACAATTGAACTAATACTCAACATATTTCTGCTTTCTGATTATATTTTCCCTTTGCCAAAAGCTAGTATGGGATTCAGAGATAGAAATAGATTTTTTATTTTTTATTTTTTTCCTTAAGCATGTAAAGGTAAAAAGGTAAAGGCCCTCCCGTTGTTCGTCGATTTGCTCGAGCGGGTCCAGTAACGTCTCCATTGGAGATTTTGTTGTTACTGTGTTTGGCATATCGAATATGTCACGGGGAGCTTGCCAGGCTCTGCCGTGCGGGCGAGATACTCTCGGTAGCTTGCCGGGCTCTCCGAGAGGGGCAGAGGAATCGAACTCGGGTCGGCCATGTGGGCTGCGTGCAAGGCAAACGCCCTATTTATTTTTATGTAGGAGTACTGCTATTTATTCAGCCAAGAAATAGATTTTTAGTAGCAACTACCTAATATGGTCATCTTATATTTATTTGTCATATGTATAAAATTTACCTTAGGAAGACCTTTATATCCTAAATTTTAAATAACCCTGAATATTAACTCAGACAGCTATAAAGTAACCTTAGATATTTCTCCCTTGTGGTGTAAGGATGTGTATAATATTAAAAGGTTAGTTTTTTTTAATATAAAAAAAACTTTTCTTGATGATACATAAAAAAGTAGATTACCTTTAGCGACTTTTGGTGGTTTGTGTTGTTGTTTGTTTGTTTATTTTTTGGTGATCATATCTAGTGATGCTCGGGGATTACTCCTGGCTCTGCACTCAGGAATTACTCCTGGTGGTGCTCGGGGGACCATATGGGATGTTGGGGATTGAACCCCAGTCAGCTGTGTGCAAGGCAGATGCCCTGCCGGTTGTGCCATCACTCCAGCCCCGCCTTTAGCTACTTTTAAGAAAAGTTTATCTGGAAAGATAGAAAGGGGTAAAGGAGCTTGTCTTGCATGTAACTGATTCTGATTCAATCCCTGGCATCACATAGTCCCCTGAGCACTGTTAGGGGTAAGCCTGGGCAATCCTTAGCACTGCAGGGCCAGAGAAGTGCCACATCGTCAGGCATTAGGATTGACCTCTGGGCCTACTTGGCTAAGAAGGCACTCCTTCTCCAAAATGATTAAAAAGTTTTAATTCATGGGGGGGACCAATGAGCTAGTACCATGGGTATGGTGACCTGAGTTCTCTACCCCCCATCCTGTATAGTTCCCTGAGCACTGCCAGGAGTGAGCCCTGAGTGCAGAGGAAGGGGTAAGCTCTGAGCCCCACCAGGTGTGGCCCCCAAACAACCAACCAACCAAAACATAAAAGAAAGTTTGAATTAAATTAGTAAATAAATATATGCTCAGTAATATGACTCAGTATCAGAGGTGGGATTTCAACTATGACATCCTCCCTTTGTTTTTGAAATGAATGTTCACACATAAAATGCCTAGTGTTAGAACTTTATATTATTATAATAAATATGCATTCATAATGAAAATTTCCATAGGGTCGTGAATCTGGCACCATTCAGAGATACAGTCTTCCTAATGTTGGTTTTATTCAAAGATACTCCCTTAATTGTCGAGCCTACCAGCTCTCCTTGAATTGCAACTCTAGGTAAGTCTGAAAATTTGCCTCATGTGAATATTAGATTTAAAGTTCACCACTGGGACTCTTGGATGTACGTAGGAAGTGCGAAGATGTGTATTAGTTTTAAACTCGTCCTAAAGCTAGGAGTAGTTTCACTGTATTGTATCTGTATTAAAATACTTATGTTTCTGGGGACTTGGAGACACAGTGCAGCAGGTTAGGAGCTTACCTGGCACACGGCTGACCTAGATTTGATCGCCAGCACCCAATATAGTCTTCAAATCAGTCAAGAATAATCCATGACAACAGAGAAATAAGCCCTGAGCACGCCAAGGATGGTCCAAAACCAACCAAACAAAACCCACAGAAAAAGTTTACGTTTTCTGTACTGTATTTGATTTAAATGGCTTTCTTTAATTGGCAAAGCAGGAATTTTAGGGTAGTATATCGTCATTTGCCCACTGGTTTCTCTAATTCCTTTGGAGACCTTTTCCTCACATGGAAGCAAGTTGGAGAGTAGAAGCTCATATCTTCTACCAAATTTGTTTAAAGCCATTTCTGTCTTTTCCTCCATATCTGGTAAACTGATTTAAAGAAGGAGGTGGTTAGGGGGCTGGAGTGATCGATAGTACAGAGGGTGCTGTGCTTATGTTACACACCGCCAACCCAGGTTTCATCCCCAGCATCCCACATCTCACAGTGCCAGGAGCTGAGCACTGTGCTGGGTGTGGCCTCCAAACCTAAATCCTCCAAAATAATAATAATAAAAGAAGGGGGGAATGTTAGGGGCCGGGGCGATAATATAGTGACTAAGGCATTTGCCTTGTAAGCGGCTGACCAGAGTTCAATCCCTGGCACCTGATAGTCTACCTATTGGCTCACTAGGAGTGATTCCTAAGTGTGGAGCCAGGAGTAAGCCCTGTACAGTGCCGGGTGTGGCCCCCAAACCAAAAAATAAAATAAGGAATGTCATTGTCACTGTCCTCCCGTTGGTCATCGATTTGCTCGAGCGGGCCCAGTAACATTGTGAGATTTGTTGTTACTGTGTTTGGCATATTGAATATGCCATGGGGAGCTTGCAAGGCTCTGCCCTGTGGGCCAGATAGTTTGCTGGGCTCTCTGAGAGGGGCGGAGGAATCGAGCTCAGGTCGGCCAGGTTGGCCACATGCAAGGCAAACGTCCTACCTGCTGTGCTATAAATTGTATTCATGATCACCGTTAGTGATTTTCAGCTCTTTCCCCTTCTTCGTTGTCATTGTTTACAGCCGTCTGGCTATCATAGACATCTCTGGAGTCCTCACCTTCTTCGACCTGGATGCTCGGGTAACAGACAGTACAGGACAGCAGGTGACAGGCGAATTGCAAAAACTGGAGAGAAAAGATGTCTGGGACATGAAGTGGGCGAAAGATAATCCTGATTTGTTTGCAATGATGGAGAAGACCAGAATGTATGTTTTCAGGAACTTGGACCCAGAGGTAAAGATACAGAATAATCTTTTAACTTTATAAATAATCAAATTTAAAAATCTGCATATTCCTCCTTTGTTGCTGTAACAAAGAAAAATGTGTTGATCTTGTGAATCTCTGGAAATACGTTGGAGTTTTAAAATGTTTTAAAATATTTACAACATTTAAAAATATTTAAGTGGGAATGGTACTCATCCTGGAAACATTCTCTGCTTCCTCTGAAAGGCATAGTTTAGGCATTTATTTATTTGTGCATTTATTTAAGATGGAACTATACACTATCTTTTCTTTTAAACCAAAAGAAAATTTGGGTTTAAAATTACTTTTAAACCCAAAGTACTTAAAAAAAAAAAACCTCACCAAAAGAAATGTGCTTTTGAATTTGCCTCCTTTTTCTTTCATTTTCTTTCGCCTGTCTGATTCTGGGTTTATCTTATTTGTATCTAATGATATCTCTCACGCTCTTTCTCACCAATAATCCTACAAATATGCAAGTATGGACTGTGACTGATCTGCTCTCTCTGGGATAGCAGGAAGCTCTCATTACTTTAAAAAGGTTCCACTGGAGTTTTGAAATATTTGTATTTTGATTTTCTGCTTCTGACTCACATTAGCTAATGTTCTGAATTTCCCTGCCACTTAATCTTATCTAGATCAATTGTGCACTGCTGTGTTTAGAATTTGAATGCTAGCCTAATGAAGACATCATTAAGAAAATAAATCCACTCATGTAAATTAGATAAGAATAACTAATACTTTATGTTATTAACTGGTTTGTTTGGCTCAACTCTTTCCTCCTTGGGAAGAAGCTGTGTGTTTGGTTTCCTGAGCTATTGACGATATCCTGGACTAATTTATATAGTGTTAAACTCTTTATTCCTTTAATATCTTATTTTCTTTTTTTCCCGCATCTGAGCCCTATACAGGATCTATTAGTTAGTTCCTAAAGGATCTGATACCAGTTGCTCTCAAAGGGCTTGTTAAAGTTTTAGGGAGTCTTGTGGATGTTAGATGCTTTTAGAAAGTCAATATTGATTGCATGGTAATTAGTTTTACAGTATTGCATATAATAATTACTTTTTTTGCTAATAGTAATGTCTCTCTCTAGGAGAAATTCCTTATCTTTTAGAGATAGGTACTGCAATATTTAGGGGTGAGAATCTGTGGCTTACTTATAGGTATCATTTAAAAATACTTCAGCCAGAAGCTGGAGATGTAGCTCAGTGATGAAGACCATGTTTCATATACATGAGACCCCGGGTTTGTTTCCTGGCTCTTCCCCTTCAAAACAAAACTCAAATCTTTCGGTCAAAAATATTGTCTGAAGAGAAACCTCCCAGGATGGAAGAAGCATGCTTAAAGTAGACTATAGAGCAAACATGATTGTCACCCATTACCTCTTTTGCAAACCACAACACCCAAAAGGAGAGAGAGAACAAAAGGGAATGCCCTGCCACAGAGGCAGGGTGGGATGGGGGATGGGGGGTGGGAGGGATACTGGGATCCGTGGTGGTGGGAAATGGGCACTGGTGGAGGGATGGGTATTTGATCATTGTATAATTGAAACCAAAAAATAAATAAATAAATAAATAAAAAATATTGTCTGAGGCATAGTTAGCAAAACTTAAAGTTCAGATGATGCGTATATCGGTGTTGATATTCTCACTTTTCAGCTGATTGGAAATTTTTATAATAAAATGGAAAGCCCTATATATTAAAGGAAGAAAAAATGTGGTACAATGAAACATAACCTTTATTTTTTGTCTTTAAAGGAACCCATTCAGACTTCTGGATATATTTGTAACTTCGAGGACTTAGAAATTAAATCTGTTCTTTTGGATGAGATCTTAAAGGTAATTCTTAAAAGAGAGCCTCTCTGAGTTGTGGCCTAGACTGGGATTCAGTTTTGCATCACGAGTGTGTGTTCCAGCAAGGAGTGTGGAGTCTTGACCTGGAACTTCTGACTCTCTTTTCTCTCACTGTCAGGCCTTTAGTAACATCCTGCATCTTTATGACCTTCACTTTCCTTTACCATTTAAGATCCTCAATTTTTACATTCAGAAAATAATGGGCAATAATATTATTTATCTTGGAGGGTTGTTCATATGTTACTAACAAAGGGCTTAATGCATTGTAAGGACCTAGAATTCAAAACAACGTAGCAAGTTGTCATGGTTTTTAAATTTTCAACTGAAGAAATGATTGGCAACATTTTTTTCCCTTTCTTTTCTTTTTAAACCTTGTTATTATAGATCATTTCAAACACACATACAAATTAAAGAACATAAGGAATAAAATACCCAACAATAACCAGCTGCACCAATGATCAGCCAAGGCCACTTTGACAAATCCGAAGTCCCCTCCAGATGTGGCTTATTGTAAGCTGGCTAGTTCCATGCCAGTTATGGAACTTAATTTAGTCTTTTTTTCTGCATCTAGGATACTTAATACTAGGATACTCCTAGTAACTTATTTTTTTTTTTTTGGTTAACACCCATTCTTGTCCATTTGCCCTCCCCCCAGATGTTATTAAGTAAAAAATTTCAGATTCCAGATGTTTTTGAAACCACCCCTCCCTTGACTTCTATTGACCAACATCCTTTGAGAAATTGTTTTTTTTTTTCGCTAAGAATATAGTGAGAGCAGTTTTATTTATGTTTTGTTCTGATTTTGGCCTTTGGGCCATCCCCGCTGTGCTCAGAGATTGCTCCTGGTGGAGCTCTGTGGACCATATGTGGTACCAGGGATCCCACCCAGGTTGGCTGCGTGCAAGGCAATTGCCCTACCTGCTGTACTATTTCTATGGCGTCTGGGGCAGTTTTATTTTAATTTTATACAAAATAAATGTATGTGTTCAGAGTTGGTATGTGTAATTAGGAGCACTGGCAGAAATGAAGCTGGGGCGAGTCCTTAGAGGAGGAGATCTAGGCCATAGGGGACCATATACCTTGATGTATGGTTTGGACTTCATCCTGGACTTAGTTAGGAGATGGGAGGATGGATCAAAGTTGGGTTGATGGATCAAAGCATCAGTTGGGTTGATGTTTTGAGAAGATGGCCCTGACTTGCAAGGAAGACAAGAAGTGGGGAGAATAGATTCTAGAAAGTTATCATGTAGCCAGTCAGGGATGGAACCTGGGTTTGAGCTTAGATCTGTTTGAATCCGAATGTTCTGCTGCTTCCATACTGCCATACTTGATACTTAGAGCCCCTCCTGAGGACCAGGACAGTGGTCAGGCTGCAGGGTGAGGAGGACTAAGTGGCACGTGAGTTCCAGTCAGTCTGATAGCTCTCATATCCAGGAGCTATTGCTGTTCGGCACCTAGGGTTCTAATTCCTTGAATGCTTCACTTTATTTTTATTACAAGCAAAGTGTAGAAATTAAGGGGAGGGTAATTATGTTTATTTTCTTTCTTTGCCCCTTATCTCACTGTTTCCTATAACGATGGCCTTCAAAATTTTGTTTTATTTTTGTCAGCCCAACATGCTTCTTTATCCTTTAATTCACAATATGATGCATTTATTTTTTGAAAAATTGTAATACTTAAACACAAACTCTAACGACACTTATCTGAATTCCTTTGTTCTTATCCTTATTTTTAGAATCCAGAACACCCGAGCAAGGTGTATGTAATTAACTTTGAGATTCGATCGCTGCGAGATAGTCGAGCATTGATTGAGAAGGTTGGAATTGAAGATGCATCTCAGTTCATAGAGGACAATCCACACCCCCGACTTTGGTACTTAAAATGACCCCCCCCCCACACCCCTCAAATGTTCTAAGTATGTTCTAAGGTTTTAGCCCTGGCATTCTTGCCTTCAGAGGGGACATTGGGAATAGACTTTGGTTCTTGCTCTTCTTTGTCAAATATAGAATTCATTACAGATTTGGAAGAACTCAGCATAAGAATAATATTACATGGACAGTGTTTAAGTGCGTTACATGTTGCTTTTCTTCCTCTTCTTCCTCTTCCTCCTCTTCCTTTTTCATAAAGGCGCTTGCTGGCCGAAGCGGCTCTTCAGAAACTCGATTTGCACACTGCAGAGCAAGCATTTGTGCGCTGCAAGGACTACCAAGGCATTAAGTTTGTCAAGTCCCTGGGCAATCTGCAGACTGAGTCTATGAAGCAGGCTGAAGTCGCTGCCTACTTTGGCAGGTTCGAAGAAGCTGAGCGAATGTACCTTGACATGGACAGAAGGTCAGTAGGGAATGGGCCAGCACCTGGGAGGACACAAGCGCCCGAGTGTCTTACAAACGGGGCCTGTCAACTAGACTCCAGGTGTCAGGCTTTTCTTCTGAAACTTGCTTCCTTGGATTATAGCCTTCATCTCCCACGGACCCCTCATTAGTTTATGTTATAAAGTGGAGGCAATATTTTTCCTGCTTTTCTTTTCTTTTTTTTTTTTTTAGTGAAACATCATGTGGTACAGTTGTAGACTTACAAACTTTTGTGCATGGGTTTCAGTCATACAATGATCGAGTACCCATCCCTCCACCAGTGTCCATTCTCCACCACTGATGATCCCAGTAGCCCTCCCACCCCCCTACCACTCCCCCACCCCACCCCGCCCCGCCTTTGTGGCAGGGCATTCCCTTTTGTTCTCTCTTTCCTTTAGGGTATTGAGTGGCCATCGTGTTCAGTCTTTAGTCTACTTTCAGCATGCATCTCACATGCCAAGCGAATCCTCCAAAACTTCTTCCTGCTTTTATGGTTATTCATGGCAGGTCATAGAGCTTTTCACCTGGAAAAAAAATTACATAACAGTGGATCCTGAGGCCCTTTATCTCAGCTTATTCATTAAGTTTTCTCTTTTGTGTTGGGCCATTGTTTAACTTTCTGTTACCAAGGAGCATGAAATAAAAATAAGAGGCATTGAGGGATTGAGTTTCATTCTTTATCCAGTTTTGATTTACACAAAATAACAAAAGGTATGATTGAATGTTATGAATATTATTTTTATTCCCAGGAGACTACAAATATAATTTCATTCCTAAAAAGAGTTCGAACCAAGTATGCATTTGATTTTGAAATAAGACTGATCATCTCTTAGAAATTGTCGAAAAGAAGTCATTACCATTTAGATAATTATCTTGCCAAAAATTAGAAGTCCAGGAAAATAAAAGGTGGAAAATTATTTATTATTTTACTGTTCCAGGTTCTTCCTTTTCCTCTTGACCTAGTCAGGTTAGGTTTCTGAAACATTTGGAGAGTTACTTGATTAGTCTGCTCACTGCTTGTGTTCTCAGTACCCTAGAGTTGAACTTGGAATATAGTAGGCAATTGATAATTTTTTTTGAAAGAATGAATTAATGACTGAATGAATGACTGCCACTCTATGCAGAGATCTCGCTATTGGCCTCCGGCTGAAACTGGGAGATTGGTTTAGAGTCCTCCAACTCTTGAAAACTGGATCTGGTGATGCAGATGACAGCCTGCTTGAACAAGCCCACAATGCCATAGGAGACTACTTTGCTGACCGACAAAAATGGTAGGTGACCATCTGGATCACCTTCTCCATTCATGTAGCACTTCCGGGGTGTCTGCCTGAGTTCTTTGTAGCATCATGCCAGGGCAGTGATCCCCTGATGCCAACATTCAGGTAGCTCAAGATTTATACTTGAGCCAAGAACTTCAAAGTTGTTTTTGATTTGTATGCTAATTAGCATTTGTGTTTGGAACTATAGCTGTATGTATGATTTAAGCAATATTTCTTGGGTCTTAAGAACCTATTGCAGCTGACATATGCTTTAATAGTCTAGATCTTTTTCCCCCTCTCGTTTATATGAGTCAATATATCTTGTAACGAAAGTGATACAGTAATTCTAAAGAAGGTACATTTTTGGTAAAAGTGCCTGTTGATTAGGATATTTATATTAACTTTGGCATTTTTTTCTTCCCGTAGGCTAAATGCTGTGCAATATTATGTACAAGGCCGGAACCAGGAACGCTTAGCAGAGTGTTATTACATGTTAGAGGATTATGAAGGATTGGAAAATCTTGCCAATTCACTTCCAGAAAACCACAAGTTGCTTCCAGTAGGTATTACTAAACTTTCGCTTTTGGAGTTGTTAGTCGACTTCCTGGGGTTTTTGTATTATAGCTAGAAATAACCTCTGCAGGAGTAAATTAAAAATGAATCTCTAGATTTATAATGTTGCTTTCATTTGAATTGTGAAAGCACTACCTCAGCATTTCAGATGTGTGGGAATGGAAGGAGGACCGTTATTCATCCTCCTTCTCCTTCAAGTTGAGCACTGTCTGGTGTAGTCTCATCAGCTCTATAAAAATGGCTGTGAAAAGTTAGCTGAATGCATGAAATATTCACAGGTACAATAACATGTTGTTTGATATTTGTTTCAAACTAATCCAGTCTGTTCCAGGGAATTAGTGTATGTATGTTTGAAATTTGCCATACCAAAAGTTTAAAACATAGGTTGATTTTTTTATCAGTTTCTATTGACAATAAAGTGTTTAATGTTAAAAAAAAAAGAATACCCTAAAGCTAAATTTAGTGTTTAATGTAAAAAAAAAAAAAACACCCTAAAGCTAAAAGGAGACTTTCTGGAACTTTGTTTTGAATTTGGAGGGGTGGGTTTGGGCTCCCAGTGGATTCTGGGAGTATTCCCGGCTGTGTTTTGGAGTGACCCCTGGTGGGGCTTGAGGATTGAACATGTGTGCAGGCAAGCACCTTACTCATTGTACTCTCTCCCCAGTTCCTTTTTGAATATTTTTAAGCCTCTCTTAATTGTTAAGTAATACTAAGGATGTTTGTATTTTAATCTGTCTGGCCTACAGTGTCGTTAAACTCTATCAAAATTATCAAAATAGCAGTTTTTTTTTTCAGGGTCTGGCCATATATAGTGAGATTTGTCACAAAAACTTACTAGATGATGATAGCATTCTGCTAACTTTTTTTTTCTATTGTGAAAGAGAGCAGTGACCCCTGCAATCATAGTGTGTTCATGCACCCTGAATCTTAACTCTGTGAGTCTCTCCTTTTCTGCCTTTCCCATCCCTTTCCCTTTGTGGTTGATGCTATTGTTGCAGTGTGTGTGTGTGTTGGGGAGAGGGGGCAGGGCGAAACACTTGCTAGGTACCCTGGGGCTTGCTCATGTTCTGTAGTGGCACTGGGGATCACAGATGGCGGTGCTCTTGGCATGTGGGGTGGTGCCAAGAATTAAATTCTGGGAGCAATAAGATAGCTCATTGTTTTAATTTTTTTATTAACTTCTTTTTTCATATATCTGTTAGCAATCTGATGTCTTTGAGAAGGTTTCTGTTTATCATTCTCCCCATTTTTTTTGATGGGGTTGATTATTTCTTGTTAAGTTTTGTAAGTGCTTTATTTTATTTTATTTTTTTATTGAATCGCCATGAGATACAGTTACAAGCTTTCGTGTTTAAGTTACAATCATACAAATGATCAAACACCCATCCCTTCACTGGTACACATTCCCACCACCATAAGTGCTTTATATACCTCAGATATTAACCCTTTGTCAGATGAGTGGTGGGTAAATATTTTCTTCCAGTCTGTGGGTCTTTTTTTTCTTTTATTCTGGTCATCATTTCTTTTTTATTTTATTTTATTTTTTTTTTATTAGTGAAACACCATGAGGTACAGTTATAGACTTACAAATTTTTGTGCTTGGGTTTCAGTGTTACAATGATCAAGTACCCATCCCTTCACCAGTGCCCATCCTCCACCACCACGGGTCCCAGCATCTCTCCCACCCCCCATCCCCCCATCCCACCCTGCCTCTGTGGTAGGGCCTTCCCTTTTGTTCTCTCTCTCTCTCTCCTTTTGGGTCTTGTGTTTCGCAAGAGAGACATTGAGTGGCAATCATGTTTGGTCTATAGACTACTTTTAGCATGCTTCTCCCACCCTGGGAGGGTCCTCACAACACCCTTTATTTGGTGCTCTCTTCTCTATCTGAGCTTCCTTTTCACCCAGCACATGTGGCTGGCCTTCAAGTCATGGAACAAAATTTCTGTTACTAATCTCAGCCATTCCTGGGTGTTAGTCTCACTTTTTGTTGCTTTATGTTCCCCAGTGATCATCATTTCTTTTTCATGGCACAAACTTCTTAGTTTCATGTAATTCCATTTATTTATCCTTGCTTTTGTTTGCTTGGCCAGTGGCATTGAATCATCAAAAATATCTCTTAGATTCAATGTTAAAGAGTTCTGCCTTTTTATTTTCTCATATAAGTGTAGCTTATGGGTTCAGATCTTGTATAAAGGTTTTTTTTTTTTTATCTATTTTGAATTGACATTTTGCATGGTGTGAGAGAGAGGTCCGAGTTCACATTTTAACATGTGATCAACCAGTTTTCCTCTTTTCTTGAAGAGTCTTTCCTTGCTCCACTTCACACTTGTTGATCCTATGTCCAAGATTCGCTAGCTATTCATATACCTGAGAATTTGTGACTGGGTTCTCAATTAAACTCTGTTGTTCTGAGATTGTGTTTTTGGTTCCAGTATCACACACTCTTGATTGCTGTAGCTTAATGGTATAATTTAGTCAGGAGAAGAAAAGATGGGAGACTACTTTTCCTAGGATTGCCTTTGCTATTCTAGAGATGGGGAGCTGAGGGGTTAAGGCTGGGGAGTAGCTTATTGCTCCATATGTTTCAACAGCATTTGGTCTGTGTCTTTACAAAAAGTGTCATGGGTAATTTTAGAGGGATGACACTGAATTTGTATGTTCTTTGGGTTGGATTGTCATTTTGATAATTTTAATCCTTCTAATCCATGGATAGGGGTCGTGTTTCCATTTCCTTATGTATTTCTTTTATTATTGATTTATAGTTTTCTTTGTATGAGTCTTTCACTTTTGTTAAGCTGATTCCTGGGCACTTGGCTTTTTTTTTTTCTTTTTGTGTCACACCCAGTGATGCACAGGGGTTACTCCTGGTTCATGCACTCAGGAATTACTCCTGGCAGTGCTCAGGGGACCATATGGGATGCTGGGAATTGAACCCGGGTCGGTCGTGTACAAGGCAAACTCCCTACCTGCTGTGCTATTGCTCCAGCCCGTTGGCTTTTTTTTAATGGATGAATTTTTAAAAAAATTTTCTCTTTTCTGTTTCATTGTATGTAGAAATGCTGTGGATTTGTGGCTATTTTTATAGCCTACCACTGTACTGTACAAGTTTATTGTTTCTAGGAGCTTTTTTATAGAGTTGTTACTGTTATTCTAAGTTTTTGTCATCTGTAAATAGTGATAGTTTGATTTCTTCTTTTCCTATCTGGATGCCTTAATATATTTCCTTTGCCTAATTGCTATTAGCTAATCCTATTCCCAGTACTTTACTAAGTAATAGTTTGAGAGTGAGAAAATTTGTCTTGTATGTGATCTTAGAAGGAAGGCTTTCAATTCTTCACCACTGAATATGATGTTCTCTGTGGGTTAATGGTAAATGACTTTAACTATACTGAGGAAAGCTTCTACCATCATTTCAATGAGAGTTATTTAATCACAAATGGGTGTTGGGTCTTATCAAATACTTTCTCTGCATCTCCTAATATGATAATAACTTTAATTTTTTCGTGTCTTACACCTTTTTCAACCAAAGAATATTGATTACTTTATAATCAGAAAAATTTAAGCATTATTTTAACAAGACTAGTTTGATATAAAACATACCTTTATGCTGTTTAACCCAACAGTTATAGAGGTGAGGGTGGGGAGAAAAACTATGGCCTGTAAGGTGCTGCTAAAGGGAAAAGAAAGATATTTTTTGAAGTGGAGCATGTGGCTCATCACCCAGGTCTGATGGGTTTTTGCTATTGCCCCTTCCTGCTGAAACCTCCAAGGGAGCCAGGATTTGAGTCTAACTTTCTGGACCAGTGAAGGGTGAACTCTAGTGCCCAGGGCATTTCTCTGTAGAGGTATCTGAGAGTTCTGTGGATGTCTCTAATTAATCATTAACATTGAGGTAATCAATTGCTTTCAATTATTTTTGACCCACTAGACTAGTTTGGGGTTTGTTTTTAGAACTTGAAATTTCTGCAAACTAACTATAGAACTGAAGCTATGAAGGAGAACAGTATCTTTAGAATAGATTTTGGTTAAAAATCAGGTCCAAAGCATAAACCAGTGAAGCACCGATTTTATAGAAGGTGGTGATTTATTTATTATAATTTTGTTTTGTTTTGTTTTGGGGCCACACTGGGCACTGTCCAGGGTTTATTCCTGGAACTGTACTCAGAAATTACTCCTGTGGTGCTCGGGGGACCATTTGGGATTCCAGGGATAGGTTCTGTGTCAGCCACGTGCAAGGCAAGTGCCCACCCTGCTGTACTATTTCTCAGGCTTCACAGAAGGTGATGTTATAATGTCCTTTCTGGTTTGTAGGATCTGTCCAATACCTGTTTAGGAGAAAACCAACTGTAACCACCAGTAATTTCAATATTTTTCCCCCTACAAAGTGTTGAAAATTAAAATATAAGTGATGTCATTGGTCTGTGGAACCTGATAGAATTATTCTGTCCTTCCAGGAAATAGCACAAATGTTTGTGAGAGTTGGAATGTGTGAGCAAGCAGTGACTGCATTTTTGAAGTGTAGCCAACCGAAGGCAGCAGTAGACACCTGCGTGCATCTCAACCAAGTAAGGAACAGAAACCTTCAGGGGTCGTCCTTTAAAGACCCTTGCTGACATAAGGGTGGGAGGACTTGAGGATTTTGTGAAAAGGTGCCAAATAAGTAAAAGTATCTCACTTAGTTGAGCACCAAAGAAATGGTAGAGTTTACTCTTTCGTCTTGAAGTGCTACTGTTAGAGGTGACCCCCCCCTCCCCCCCCCCCATATAATTAACTCAAGATGGGAGCATGAATAGGCTGATGCTTTTTGTCTGGAAGTAATTTCACAATTTTCTGTACTTTATTAGTATTGGGTTTGTTTCCAGAGCAGGATCAGTTAATGGTCATTGCAAGAGGAAGGGATTGAGTTACTTTATCAATATTTATGTTGGCAAATCTATTTTCCTTTCCCTGTATAGAAAACGTGTATTAATAGTTGTAAGGTCTGGAATTCAAGAGAAATTAAAGGTCAGAATTATAGAAGTTTTTGACTATCAATGTGTTCTTTTTAATATTAACATGTCTTATATAACATTTCTATGTGTTTTGTAAAAATAGCTGTTAAATATGATACTCTTTCCATATGAAATTGTATAGCTTGCTTTGTTATAAACAGATATATCTTATTTTTCTCATAGTTTATGCAAAACTAGAATTATAAGATTAAGGTGACTGTAAACTTTGAAGCTTTCCTTTTCAGATGAACTTCTTAAATAAATCAAGTTCTGATATTTAATCATTTTGACACATGGTTAATTTATAAAAGCTAGAGTTGCCCTGATTTTAGGTGATTTTTAAAAACATGTACCAGTTTTTAATTTTGAGATATTATTATAGATTTAAAACTTTATTTTGTGATTTTTTTAATCACTTATTACTGTTTGGTATATTTTCTCTTAGTGGAATAAGGCTGTTGAATTGGCTAAAAGTCATAGTATGAAAGAAATTGGATCACTGTTAGCTAGATATGCATCTCATTTATTGGAAAAGAATAAAACTCTTGATGCTATAGAACTGTATCGGAAAGCCAATTACTTTTATGATGCCGCTAAACTGATGTTTAAGGTAATGTCATATTCTTGGTAAGTATTTGGTTTGGTCTAGTTGCCAGTATTTTCTAATATATAAAAGAAAGTTTTTAACTTTCTTTGGAAGCTAATATTTCTTTGTACTAAATTCGACTTTGTTATGACTCGAAATATGTGTTATAGCTAAGTAATGACTAGCATCTCATTGAGCCTAATTGTGTCTTAATACTGAAATTAACAAAGAACTACAGAATTTTCAGGGACCAGAAGGGGACTAAAAAAAAAGGAACTAAAAATAAAATAAGGAACTAAGAAAAACTAATAATAGAATTGTGAGTCCTTTTAAATGCACAGTTTTAAAGATATTATAATTTCATGTTTGGAGGGAAGATGACTACCAGGCTATAGTCTAATATGGTCTTTTTCTCTTTAATGACAAAGGAAGATGTACTTCAGAATGGTTTAAATAAATGTAAATTTCTAAAGAATATGCATGGTGAAGGGCAGAATCTCTGTGTATTTGAAACATTATTTTTAAAAATTTCTTTGATATAGAAAATACTTGCTTCCTTCATTTTCTATTTTTTTAATTAAAATTTTTTTGAATAGCTTATTTTTTAATTGAATCACTGTGAGATACTGTTATAAAGTTGTTCATGATTGGGTTTCAATCGTACTATATTACAATACCTGTCCCTTTCCCAGTGTACATTTCCTAATACTAGTGTCCTCAGTTTCCCTCTTGCCCCATCCCCCTCACCCCTGGCAGGCACTTCTCCTCCTGCTCCTCCTCTTCCTCCTCCTCCTTCTCCTGCTCTTCCTCCTCCTCTTCTTCTTTCTTCTTCCTTCTTATTCTCCCTCTCCCTCCTTCTCCACTCCCCCTTCTCTTATTCTCCTCCTCCTCCTCTTCTACCACCTTCTTCTTTTTCTTCTTCCTCTTCTTCTTCTTCTTCTTCTTCTTCTTCTTCTTCTTCTTCCTCCTCCTCCTCCTCCTCTTCCTCTCCCTCCCCTTCCCTCCTCTTCCTCCTCCCCCCTCCTCCCCCTCTTCCTCTTTCTCTTCCTCTTCTTCTTTCTTCCTCTCCCTCTCCCTCCCCCTTCCCTTCTTCTTTTCCTCCTCCTCCTCCTTTTCTTCCTCTTCTACTTTTCTCTTCTTCATCATCTCCCTCTCCCTCCCTCTCCCCTCCCCTTCTCTCCTCCCCCTCCTTTCTTCATCTTCCTCTCCCTACCTCTCCTCTTCCCTTCTTTCCTCCTCCTTCTCCTCCTCCTCCTCTTTCTCCTCCTCTTCTCCTCCTCCTTCTCCCCCTTCACCCTCTCTCCTCTACTCCTCTTCCTTATCCTCCTTCTTCCCCTTTTTCTTCTTCTTCTTCTCCCTCATTTCCCCTCCTTCCCCTTCCCCCTTGCCCTCTCCCCCCTCCTCTCCCCTCCTCCTTCCTCCTTTTTTTTCCTGTCCTTGGATAATAGTCTCATACTATGTTTTTTTATATAAACACAAATGAATGTTATATCCCACATATAAAATGTCAGTCTCTTGCATTCCTACTCATTTAATTCAGCATGATACTCTCCGTGTCCATCCATTTATAAGCAAATAATGAAATTTGATCTTCCTTCATTTTGACTTAGTTATTTGTTAGTATCTGTTTTTTTTTCTAATCTTGTTACAAATTCTAATCTATGACTTAAATATTAAGAAAATTAACCATGTACTAAGGAAGAGGAAATTGGGTTTTAAAACACCATAAATGGGTGGCATTTATATTCTGTTTTATTGATTTTCCTTTTGATTTAGAGATCCAGTTTCAGGAATGATTATATTTTTACAAATAACTAAGAAATGTCATCACCCTGATTCTTTAACTGTTTTAAGATTGCAGATGAAGAGGCAAAGAAAAGAACTAAACCTTTGCGTGTCAAGAAGCTCTATGTGCTGTCAGCTTTACTTATAGAGCAGTACCATGAACAAATGAAGAATGCCCAACGAGGAAAAGTTAAAGGAAAGAATTCTGAGGTAAGGCGCAACATTGAAAAACATGAAAATGTCTGAAAATTTAAGGATTTTAAAAAAATCATTCTTCTGTATGGACATGCCCTTTAATCTACTCCTTTGCTTTTATTTCTTTAAAATATGAGCAAAACAATGAGTGGAAACTTTTTCTTTTTCTTTTGGGGCCAGACCTGGCTATGCTCAGGGGTTACTCCTGGCTCTCCCCTCAGAAATATCCCTGACAGAACTCGGGATGCTGAGGATTGAACGCGGCTCAGTCGTGTGCAAGACAAATGCCCTACTCACTGTGCTGTCATTCTACCACTGCTATCATCCTGGCCCCGGTGAGCCCTTTCTAATCAGTGAGTTTTATAAACTTTCCTAATGGGGCCAGAGCAATAGTACAGCGATTATGGCATTTGCTTTGCATGCCACTGACCTAGGTTTGATCCCAGGCACCAAGTATGGTCCCAGGTTTGTTTGTCCAATGTCCCCAATTACCCTCCCACCCCACTCTCCCTGTTCTTTCATGCTGACACAAACACGGGCCCATTCTGCTTCTAGGCCACTTCCGCCTTGGCTGGATTGCTGGAAGAGGAAGTCCTGTCTACCAGTAGTCGGTTCACAGATAACCCTTGGAGAGGGGCTGAAGCTTACCACTTCTTTATCCTGGCCCAGAGGCAGCTCTATGAGGGAAACAGTGACACTGCATTGAAGACAGGTGGGCATATCCCAGAACTGATGTAGATTAGTTGACTGTGAAGGAATAGCTCCTATTGCTTTTATAGTAATTTCACTTTTACATTTATGTATATCATTATAATTTCACTTTCATATATATATTTTTATGGATTTATTTTGTTTGACATATGCTGCATATAATTAGTTCATAGAAAGATCCAAAATTTGAGATATAAAAAACCATTTATAGACTTCTCTATTAATTGGAAGATTTACTAGTCATAGTCTTTTCACATATGTGAACGTACAATGCAATGCATTTGTAGATATATTTTTATATAATATTGGGAGTACAACATTCCATGTACAGGTGTATTGTAAAAACAATAATATGATACAAAATATTTTTATATTAATAGATTTCTATAACATAGAAAAATTTAACATAGATTTCTGTAACATATTTCCTCTTTTAAAATGTAAAAATAACACTTATGGAACAATTTTGACTTCCTCCAAAATACAAAGAAAAATGAAATCAAAATACAAAGAAAAATTATCAGATAATTTATAAAATGATCACAGAATTCAGAGATCATGACTGCTAATTCAGTGACCTTCCTTGCGGAAATTTCTCTATGTATAAAATTATATGCATTAGCTTAATATTATGCAAGAGATGTGATCAGGAGCTTGATTTTCATCCTCATACTTTTCCCACATTGATATACACAGGTCTATGTCATAATTTTTAATACGCTGTATAATTTGCTGAGGTATATGCCATAATTTGTCGAATTTCTTTTTGCAGAAGGTTTTTATGTGTACTATCAAGATCTTCATTTCTGCATTGTACTCCAAAGGAGTATAATTATAAGTCAAAGCACATAAATGATATCATTAAAAGTCCTTTCAGATGGGCCTCGGAGGGGACCGAAGTGATTGCACAGCTGGTCGGGTGCCTGCCTTGCATGGAGCTGAAACTGGGTTTCATCCCCAGCATTGCATACAGTTCCTGGAGTCCACCAAGAGTGACTCCTGAGTGCCAAGCCAGGAGTAACCCCTGAGCCCTATGCTGTCCCACAGCACAGGTGTCCTGGAACCAGGAGCCAAATCCAATGCAGCCTGTGACTGACGATCACAGACACAGAGTACTGACTGATGGCCAATAGACAAGTTTATTCAAAGCATGCAACAATTAGGTAGAGGCAGAAGGAATGGAGGTCAGGTAGGACAAGGGCCTGTGGTAAGGGGAGGAGAAAGGGAAGGTTAATGGTCGCATGTCAAAATGCTGCTTTAGGCGGGCACGAGAGTCTCTAAGCCCCCCAAACAGAAACAAAGAAAGAAAGTCAGCTGAGGTATATGCCATAATTTGTCGAATTTCTTTTTGCAGAAGGTTTTTATGTGTACTATCAAGATCTTCATTTCTGCATTGTACTCCAAAGGAGTATAATTATAAGTCAAAGCACATAAATGATATCATTAAAAGTCCTTTCAGATGGGCCTCGGAGGGGACCGAAGTGATTGCACAGCTGGTCGGGTGCCTGCCTTGCATGGAGCTGAAACTGGGTTTCATCCCCAGCATTGCATACAGTTCCTGGAGTCCACCAAGAGTGACTCCTGAGTGCCAAGCCAGGAGTAACCCCTGAGCCCTATGCTGTCCCACAGCACAGGTGTCCTGGAACCAGGAGCCAAATCCAATGCAGCCTGTGACTGACGATCACAGACACAGAGTACTGACTGATGGCCAATAGACAAGTTTATTCAAAGCATGCAACAATTAGGTAGAGGCAGAAGGAATGGAGGTCAGGTAGGACAAGGGCCTGTGGTAAGGGGAGGAGAAAGGGAAGGTTAATGGTCGCATGTCAAAATGCTGCTTTAGGCGGGCACGAGAGTCTCTAAGCCCCCCAAACAGAAACAAAGCTTATTCTCCTTCAAGGTTTCTGCAGGCAGCCTGCATCCCCATACCCGGCCAATGGTCAGTCACGGTCACGGTCCTCCCGTTGTTCATTGATTTGCTCGAGCGGGCCCAGTAACGTCTCCATCATGAGACTTGTTGTTACTGTGTTTGGCATATGGAATACGTCATGGGGAGCTTGCCAGGCTCTGCCGTGCGGGCGAGATACTCTCGGTAGCTTGCCGGGCTCTCCGAGAGGGGTGGAGGAATCGAACTCGGGTCGGCCATGTTGGCCGCGTGCAAGGCAAATGCCCTACCGCTGTGCTATCGCTCTAGTCCTAATGGTCAGTCATCACTGTTAATCTCTACTTGTTCTCAGGGAAACATTAGGTACCCTGGCCTCAGTCCATTGCCGTTGTTTGAATTTGGCATTTGGAGCTTTCACCTTTATGATCCCCTGGAACGTTCTCACAGGTCATCCAGTCCAGGTGGCCGGGGAGCAGCGCCCACAGAGACTCCAAGGGCACCACCTGTGTGGCCCGCAAACAATCAGACGGGCCTTGGCAGTGCCACAGGCACTGTCATTATCCATCCCAGCCTTCCTGTCGCACAAGTCGGGTCACTGAAATTACCCCCTGAAATTACTCCTTACCGGTGTGCACCGTAAACCGAACACATGACCAATCTCCACTGTAATGGCATGGCCCTGCAGGCCTGGGGAGAGGGCCCAGCACCCTGAGCTTTTTTTTGCCTGTGGAGGTTATCACTGCTTGACCCCCTGAACACTGAGCAGAGTGACCCCTGAGCACCACTGGGTGTGGCCTAACACCCAAAAAAAAGTTTTGCAGAGAAATAGTTCTATTGGAGCGTTTCTAGAATGCCATTGGAATGATTTTTCTTTCTTTTCTTCTTTTAATAAGAGCTCTTTAAGGATTGCCTGATAAATCTCTCTGCCAATAGTTGTGGATTTTCTTGGCATTTCTATTTTATAGTCCCAGGGCCTTCCTGAGCATCAGCTTCTTTTGTGTCAAATGTGGGTTTAGAGTCTCCTTCATAGGGTTGCTTTCAGAATTCATCGAGAAATTTGTGAAAAGAAAATATATGGATTAGGATGCTTGAACACTGTGAACCCTCCAGAAATGGGACCCAGAGGGAAGATACTCCTCGTGTTTTGTTTGTTTTTTTGTTTTGGAGGGAGGCCACAGCAGGCTGTGTTCAGGGCTTGCTCCTGGCTCTGCTCAGGAATCTCTCCTGGCGGCTTGGGGGAGACTGTATGAGGTGCCGGGGATGGTTGCATGCGAGGCAACCCCCCTACCCGCTGTAGTATCGCTCCAGCCCCTCCTAGTGTTTTTCTGATATGGTCCTATCAAGCTGTCTTTTGTATATTTGCTTTGGGATCATGATCAGAAGTCCTCCACTTCAAGCTTATTATATGTTATGTTTTCTTCTAACCTCATAGTTATCCTAGACTCACTCATGAAAGCGTATCTCTTCAGAGATTGAAATTGTACTTTCACGAAACTAAATTTATTCATATTCTTAATGCCTTCGGAGACTATTACTTTCGATTTATGCCTGTCTACATCAGTGATGCTCTCTCATGGACCTTGCTTTCTCTTGGAAAACATGGAAGGTCGGCTCCCCTCCTTTATGAGAAAACAATCTGGGCATTCATTGAACATTTTTTTGTTCATTGTTAACTGAACTTTTTTTGAGGGTGGGGCTTTTGGTTTACTCCCACTGAATTTTGAACTGCATTAGTTTACTATAAGAACATTGGGGTCTTTGATAATTTACAATATTAATTTTCTCTTCTGGAAACACCAATTGTTTTGGTTCTAAAATTCTGTAGTTTTTCTTTGTACTCTGTAGCACTGTCCTCCCATTGTTCATTGATTTGCTCAAGCGGGCACCAGTAATGTCTCAACAAATTTTGAGACTTGTTGTTACTGTTTTTGGCATATTGAATACATCACGGGTAGCTTGCCAGGCTTTGCCGTGTGGGCGAGATACTCAGATACTCTTGGTAGCTTGCTGGACTCTCTGAGAGGGGCTAAGGAATTGAACCCGGGTCGGCCAGGTCAGCCACATGCAAGGCAAATGCCTTAGCTGCTGTGCTATCATTCCAGCCCTCTATGTATACTTTATTTATTTTTGCAGCTGGTTTCTAATGCTGTTTTTCTTATCATAATATTGTACAGTTTTTTTTCTTTTCCTTTTTGGCTCTGTCCAGTGGTACAGGGACAGAGGACCACCAGGGCTCTTCTTGATGGTGGCTTGGGAGGCCATGGAGTGTGTGGACAACCCTGGGCCCTGCATATGCCAGCCACGTGCCTCATCTGGCTCTCTGAGCTATGCTTACTTTATAACCAACCTTCCCCTGATGGTAACTAATTAACATCTGATAGACTAGAGAATGTTTAAAATAGTGTTTTATATAATTTATAAATCATTTCTCAACTTAATATAAGATAAATTAGAACTTTAACTTGCCATTAGTTACTGGGTAAAGCTATCCATATGATTCATTATTTTTTATTTTGGTGATAAAATGATCTGAAACATATGCTCTGTAAATTTTTGCCTGTGAAGCCTTTATGCTCTAAATGTGAAATAAGAGCATTTTCTTTATTATACATGAATATACTTTTCATAAATTTTTTCTCAGAACACTATCGTGAATACTTGACCTCAAAACCAATTTATAGGAATCTAATTATATAATATTCAACATTATTATTTTAAAACGATTTATGAAAAGTTAAATATTATACTATAAAACTTTTTAAATTATGAATTGTAGAGTAGAAAAATATGCAGTTCAGTTCCAAATCTGATGCTGATTCTACAGAGAATTCTTAAGACAGATATTATGCCTCTAGTTTAGAAAGACTGAAATAAGATACAGTAGCTGTCAAAATAAATGATCTGTACTGACAACTTAAAGATTCATTTTTGCTTCTTTTTTTCCCCCCAAAGTACTGTTGTTTCATAAGCCAAATTAAAAAAGCAATTATCTGCTCAAAGAAATACAAAGAGAAAATATGATTTCATACTATTTTGCTTTTAAAATTTTTTAACAAAAAAGGAATGTGATGCTATTTTGAAAATTATGACTAACAGTATAAAATTAATCTACCTTTACTGGAATGCCACAGAAATTTCTAATATTTTTATAGAACAAAAGGTATGTATTTCTACCCCAGGCATTTTGATCTAGTATTCATTTCCAAGAGGCATAGTTTTGTACATCATTTGGTAGATATTATTTTAAAGAAACTGAGTGGTTAGCTGCCGATTAATCAAACTTCTCCCACCATTGTTTTCTTTCAATATTTTCTTTTATTTTGGGGCCACACCTTGCAGTGCTCAGGGATTACTCCTAGCTCTGTGCGCAGGGATCACTCCTGGCAGGGCTGAGGGGACCATACAGGGTGACAGATATTGAACCCAGGTTGGCTGTGTGCAAGGTAAACACCTTTGCCACAGAGCTCTCTTTCTGGGCCCTGTTTCCTTTCAGTTTGCTAGAGTTTATATAGGTTAAACTAATGCAATTTAATGTAGATTCTGTACCATTCATGTTCATGATACCATGATTACTTTTCAAAATCCAAATTGCCTCTCTCTTAGCTCTTCACCTAAGAGACTATGAAGACATCATCCCTGCTGTTGAGATCTACTCTTTGTTAGCACTTTGTGCGTGTACCAGTAGAGCCTTTGGGACTTGTTCTAAAGCTTTCGTAAAGCTTGAATCTTTAGAGAGCCTGAGTTTTGAACAGAAACAGCAGTATGAAGATCTTGCTATGGAAATCTTCACCAAACACATGCCAAAAGACAACAGAAAATCAGAACTGGACAGCTTTCTCGAAGGGTAATTAAAATTAGATGTTATTTGACTTTATTAAGGATGCGGATTTCTATATGTACACTCGATTTTGAGACTTAACATTACACCCTGTTTTATTTTATTTAGTTTTATGAATGCTTTCTCATTGTAAAAAATGTGTGTGAGTGTGTGTGTGTGAGAGAGAGAGAGAGAAAGAGAGAGAGAGAGAGAGAGAGAGAGAGAGAGAGAGAAAGAGAGAGAGTGAGAATATGTCACTGGGCTTTGAAACCAGGACATTATATAGGTAAGACATGTATTCTACCCCTAAACTGTATGTATTCCTGGTCCCCCCAAAATTTTCATTTGGGGTTTACTTGAAATGCTTTTCATTCTTTAATTTTCAAATAAGACCAATAAAGCTTAAAATAATTAGAAGTTTTTAGTGTAAATGTTACTTTTTTTTTTCTTTTTATTTTACAGGGAGGAAGAGAAATTACCTACGTGTGTTGCCACAGGGAGCCCAATCACTGAGTATCAATTCTGGATGTGCAATGTCTGCAAGCACTGTGTTCAGGCTCAGGAAATTAGCAAATACAGCTTCTGTCCCTTATGTCACAGTCCTGTGGGATAAAGGACACATTGCTTATAATTGGAACACAGATGTAGTGTGTTCCAATACAGCTCTAACTGTATATATGGTTGACTTTAATAGCCTTCATGTGAAAATCAGCATCATTATTTCAGAGTTGGATCTTTTAAACAAATTTATGTATATACCTGTCTAAACACATATTAAGTTATACTTCTAGAAATTTAACTATGAAATAATGATGATTATTTTTATTAAAAAAATGGACATTTATGTTATTTACTTTATGTTTATAATCTTGTGGTTGCTAGATGATACTATGAAAATATTCCAAGTAGAATCTTTTCCCTTATAGTTTCAAGGTGCCTAATTTATTGCAAACTCTTGGAACAGAGGAGCAAGCATGAAAATGAGATAAAGTTGAATTTAGAAAACTGACAATCTCTATTAGGAGGTTAAACAATTTTCATAAGAAATCAGTTCTATCTCAGATGTATTTAATTAAATAGATAGTGAATGTCATCTATATTTTATTTTCAAAAGAAATGTTTTTACAATATGAATGAATTGTTTCTAAGAGCCTTATTTTTGTATAACTTTTTCTAACCCTTTTAGTATCTAAGACATAGAATCTGATATTTACTCTTTATATTATTATATAAACCTTTTCTCTATGACATACATTTTTGTTTCATATACAATCTACATTTTGTAATATTTTCAGTTAAAACATTGCCCAGGTTGGATGCTTCGTTTAAACAACTCTTGGGCTGTGGGGAGTGTTTTTCCCTTGAAATGCATGTTTTGATTTAGTGTCATCAAACAAAAAGAAAAATTGTAATCAGTAATGGGTAATTTTTACTTGTTTTGTATTGCTAATAATCTCCATTTATTTCTCATGAATTTGTGTCTTTTAATTATTGTGTCTGAAGACAGGACTCTATCAGTTTCGTTAGTATTTTTTGCTGGTTTGGCTTATGTTTAGTAGAGGTAGGAATTGACAGAATCATGCAATACTGTTATTGCAAATATAATATGCAAATAGTGTATTAAAATATAATAGTGCAAATATAATTTCACACTCTCCAGTGTGAAATGTTTTTGCCCTGTAGCGACAAATAGCTTATTGCAGATTGAGAATGGTGAGCAATGAGAAGAGATTAGGGCCTAGATGAATTTACAGTCGAAGGCTGGCCTAAACTAAATGGGAAGGCTTGCATGTCTGTTTATGTTCATGTGTCTTGTGTGTAGTTCCTTCCACAAAACAGCAGTCTCCGACATGCATCCAAGCAAACCCTTCTGGAGCTAGTGCCATTAAAAGGTTCACACACCAAAATAGGTTACTCAGATCAACTTGAAAAATGCAGTTAGGAAGGAGAAAGTGGAAAAGATGGGGGTAGCGAAGAGTACTTAGTGATGGGGTGGCCCGTCAGTGGGGTAGAAGGGTAGAGACCCTGAACCCAGGGTTGTGTGCTGTTCTCATTTCTTCATTCTCATTCTGCCTCACCAGCTTCCTTGCTCTAAAGAAGAGGCCAGAGGCAAGCGTAGCTACTTGGAGCGAACCAGTTATCCTGCGTGGGTGGGATAATGGTCATGGTCTGGGCCTGGTCATGAATTTTACTTCATGGACAGAGGACGGACAGAATAAGTGTCGCCAAGATCTCATACATATGAGTGCTTTGTAGATTTCATGCCTGTTTGTGCGTCATGAATATGTATTGTCTTGAATGCCTTGTGTTTCTAGTATCTCATCAGTGTGCGGTGTGTTCACGCATGGATGCTCGATTTACTTTGTCTGACCGTATGAACATTTTAACTTGCACATCTAAGTTAAACAAAGTGAACTTTATCTTACTGGTATTCACAGTGGTAGGGCCGACCCGGGTTCGATTCCTCTGCCCCTCTTGGAGAGCCTGGCAAACTGCCGAGAGTATCTTGCCTGCACGGCAAAGCCTGGCAAGCTACCCGTGACATATTCGATATGCCAAACACAGTAACAACATGTTTCATAATGGAGACATTACTGGGCCCGCTTGAGCAAATCGATGAACAAGAGGACAGTGACAGTGATTGTTATTATTATTATTTGCTTTTGGGGTCACACCTGGCAATGCAGGGGTTACTCCTGGCTCTGCACTCAGGAATTACTCCTGGCGGTGCTCAGGGGACCATATGGGATGCTGGGAATCGAACTCAGGTTGACTGCGTGCAAGGCAAACGCCCTACGCGCTGTGCTATTGCTGCAGCCCCCTCTTATTGGTATTCTTATCGGACAAAAGAGAACACTTCCTTAAACCAAAACATAATACCTTAACAAAAAGTTCAATCTCATCTTCAACAGGAATATACCTCCTGTTGAATTTCATTTTTTCTGGAAGGTTATTTTATGGATGAAACTATTTTCTTCTTTATCAGTGAAAAGGACATTTTCAGGGATATAGGGGAAAGAGCTCCTGGGGGGCTTCATATCCAGAGTTGTGAAGCTTGGACCATGGTCTGAGCCTGAGTATCCTTTTCTCTTCCTCCTATTCCTAGGAATCAGCTGAGAACTCAGTTGATTCCTCCAACTTTTCTGTGCCTTGATGTCTCAGCTCTTCTTGACATATCTTTTGGCGGCTCTTTTAGACCCTTCTCATTTGCTACTCATTTCAATCTGATGCTCAAGCCCTTGAATTGTTCTACAACTGATTATTTCATCCTTAACTGCTATCTTTACCCTATTTTTGGTCACTTTAACTCAAACTTATAAACTCTAAAACAAATACATACACACACATACTTGTATAAGCAAATATAAGTATATATCAACAGACCAATTTTTCTACTGTTTTAAAAGCTTATGATTGAAATTTGTGTCTGTGAAAATTTTAGCAAGCTATTCTAATACCTTGGAATTTTCTCTTGCTTTGAAGAGATCCACAATATGCACTTACTCATTGGTTTTGTTCAAAATGAGGAAATGTCAAGATGCCACCACCAACAGATTCTCCCACCAATGAAAGTGGTGAAGCAAAGCAAAATTGTTCATTAGAACATAGTTTGAGGGAAGCTAGACAGAATGAGGCAGTATGGTGAAGATGGTATTAAGTTTTCTCTTCCTGTAAACATTGTTAAATAACACTAACATTTTATCATAAGAGTTGGCCCAAATTTGCTAAATTTCAAAGTTGTGTGGTAAGCCAACAAGTATCGAGATAGAAACAACTGATACAAGCTCTACAGATGAGCAATGCAACATGTTTACTAATCATGAAAAAAATGCCAATTTTGATGTACTTTTTTTGCTAAAATACATTTTCAAATTGTATTTTTGTATTTTAAGAGATCAAATTTTTTTTTTAACTACACTCAGTAATGCTCTGGGCTTACTCCTGGCTCTGTGCTCAGATCATTCTGTATGAAGTGCCAAGGATTGAATCAGGGTTGGCCACAAGCAAAGCAAGAGCCTCAACCCCTGTACCTACAATCCTGAGCTTAAATCTTAGCTTCATGTGGCATTAAGCGAAACAAAAACAACAACAAAATTCAAACAATGGGAGTAAAAGTGTTGAAGTAAAAAGAAATTGTGTTATTCCCTGTTTCCTTTATCTTCAATTTATAACTTGGTACTTTATTTTATTTCAGTGGGGGCAGGGTGGTTAGAAGGGTTTGGATTTCAGAGTGGAGAAAGGGACAGGAGATACAGTTGATGTATAATATCATGTTGGCCAACCAAGAGGAACGTAACAGCAGCTGCCTCCATGGTGAAAGGCATGAGGCAAATGACAAATGATTGGTAGCATCAATGAGTCACATTCTCAGTGAGAAATGGGGGAAAACTATGTTACCAGACTTTGATGGAAAATCAGTGGTGCTTGATTTGATATGAGTGTGCCAACATACTGAATTTCTGAAATGAAAATAGCAATGTTATGTTACCCTCTATTGTCTAATTTAGCTATTTTTTTTTAAAAGAAATGAATCTTTTTTAGACAGTTACATGTTCATGGTAGAAAATTTAGAATGACAAAACAGCACTGATGAGAAAGTTCAATAATATTTTAAATACTTCTACTTGAACATTGTAGTTGAATTTGAAAGAAGATACAGGTGAAATGGAAGATTTGGTTCAATAAATTCTTCATAATAAGAGTATGTGCTCTAGAAAAATTAAGTTTCTCTAAGATTAAATAGCAGACATTTAAGTGGCTTAGAGCTATTAACTTTTTCATTTGGCATAGTTTACATTTTTAGTAAAATGCAGAACTTACAGAAAAATAAGATGCCACTATACACCAACTAGAATAGCTAAGATCAAAATTGACAAGTGTTGGTGAGGATATGGAGCAACTGAAACTCATCCATTGCTGGTGAAAATGCAAAATAGCATTTGGAAAAGCTGGGTTTTAGAAGTTACATACTCTGTGAAAACATTCAAGCATATATGCATACATTATGTGTGTATACATACATACATATATATCTATTTTCATTGCTCCAGACAAGAAAAGGGTAGTTTTACGGAGGATAACCCCAAGATTCTGAGGCTCAGGCTTGAGATAAGGAGCAGACAAGTCCCTTGACATTCTTAGGGCACTGATTGTCGGTCCCACCGGGTTACTTTTGGCAGCTGAGGGCTCTGGGTTGCAGGCAAGTGCATCACTTTCAGCAGATCGTCTTTTTGCAGTTGTATTTCTGATAGTGCCACCTACAGGTGAAGGAGCCGAATGCAGGTGGATTCAGTGGCAGGGCAGGGAGCGAGCTAGTCCTCCAGTACTTTAGCACAAAGGTGGAATGCCTTATTATTAAAAAAAAAAACTTTCCCCCCCAGCATTATTCTATGGTTCTCCTAATCCACGCCTTTTGCCTCTAGTTATTCCCGAGCCTTCCTTCTTTGTGCAAACGAAACGGTTTTCTTCATCTCTTCTTTATCCACTGGAGCTAATTTGCACTCGAACGACCTACGGATCTAGATGTTCTTGCTGCACGGAACCGCCCCGGGTTGGTGTCCCAGCCCGCATCTAGCACCGCGGCCGGCTCCGACCTGCGCGCGAGGACCCGGAAGGCGGCGCCAACCAGGTGCCCCTCCCCCCCCATGTTCCTTCCGCTTCCCTGGCCGCCGGGGAGCCGCCAGGCCGCCACCCCAAGGGGCGCGAGCGTGGGAACACATCACGGCTCGGGCCGGGGCAGCCAGTCCGGGTCGGTGCCTGGAGCTAAGGACCGGTCTTCCCCTCGTGCCCGCGCAGGCGCGACCCGCCGCCGCGGGAAGAGCGCGACGTGCCCCGAACTCAAGGGCGCCGCCATGGCTGGGCGCGCGTCACGGGTCTCGCGAGACGACGGGTCCTCCGAGGGTCCAAACCTCGCGCGCGCACGCCGAGCGTCCAGCCGTCGAGTCGATTCTTCGACGGGCGGCGGCGGCGGCAACGGCAACGGCTGGGGCGCGAACCGCCACCCACCCCGAGCCTCATGGAGGAGCAGCGGGGCCCCGAGAGCGACGCCACCCTGGCCCGCGCCCAAGCTCGGTTCGAGAAGGGCGACTACGAGGCGGCCGAGGCGCTGTACTCGGCGTATATCCGCCAGTGCGTCGGCGCAGCCCCCGGGGGCGCGGCTCCCGGGAGGTAACTATCGCGAGAAGTGGGGGCGGGGGCGTTTTCAGCGCGCGGTGCAGGGCGTGCTAGGGGGCTTCCCTAGGTGTTATCATTGACGTTTGACCCGTCGGGTGCACAACTCCCTGGGTCAACCCCGTGCAAGTCAAACCCCCTCCCCTCCCATTGCTCTGCCCGGGTTAGGTTGTTTTTAGCCCAATGGGTGTCAATCATAAGACAACCCCATTGAAAAAAAATTATTATTATTTTTTTTTTTTGCCTTCCCTTGGCAGCTGATTAGTTGGGGAAGCCAAGTTGTGTCCTGAGAATTAACCCATCATTTGAATTGGATGAATTCTTCCCCTTTCTCCCTCCCCCCACCCCCCACCCCCCTAATGCCATGCAGTAGTGGTTTTTCTTTTGCCCACCTTGAGTTGGTAGCTCACCTCTCTTTGCCATTTGATGCCATTGAGACCCAGCAGCAGGACGAGAACACTTTTATCCACGGTGTTATCGCAGGCCTTGACCCGAAAAGCGTGTAATGTCTGGTTTGTCTCTCTTTTGGTGATGTTGGAAGCAGTGCCTGCAGATAACCTGCTTGTCCTTGCAAATGCCCCGGATGAGTAGCATGTATTGACCTCCGCAGGTTTGCATGCCCAGTGGTGTGTGTGGACCAGGATGAAAAAAAAAAAGGGTTGAACGAATGACTTTATTTTGGAGATAGTTTCGAGTTGTCTGCTCCATCAGGATGCCCTTCTCCCAAGGATTTTGATTTTTCTTAATAGGATGTTGCTTTGTCTTTTAGAGGTTTCCGATTCTTACCCTGTTTGTTAAACTTATTCGAAATTCAGAGAAATAAAATGGCTTGTGCATTTCAACATTACACCACACTACTGATTTTTAGGAGTTTCTGAATGGGTGAATTAACAGATGAAAGCCCTTTCTTCTCCCCCCCCCCCCCCCCCCATCCACCTCCCCCTGCCAAATTAGTAAACATCCTTTTCTGTCCTCGTTTCAGATTCTGAGAATAGACTGATTTAGTGGCTTCAACGCAGGGTGGAGAATGGCCTGGTTGGGTCAGAGGATTATTTCAGCTGCCTGATATCCAGTCCTGCTTCTGACATGCCTGTCACCCCCTAATTCACCTCACGTCCTTTCTTTCTAAGCATATTCTTCATTAAGCATGAAAACAGAGTGTGTTTATTTTCCTGACTCGTGCACTGTTTAACACAGCATTTTGTGCAAATGAAGACAATGTACCAACATGCATGCAGAGAAAACCAGTGCCAAAGCTTTTCCTTGCAGTGTATGTCTCTGGGATCGGGTTCATTGGGGGAATTAAGCAACAAAGCCACCATAAAGAAAAGGTTTCATTTATTATGGGTTGGGTTATTCACAGACCTAACTTACATTATTTTACTTAAAAAAAAAAAAGTTTGGCTTCAGTTTCTTTTCTGTAAAATGAGGCCTCTATTTTCTCACAGTCCTAAAATTCTTCTTGAGGCTTTTGGATGAAAATGGAATTCTCGGGTTTCAACCATTACATATGTCTTTTAGAACTTACATTTATTTTTTAAATGCTGGATCACTGAATCCTGTTGAAACAGTGTTTTTAATCATTGAATGCCTTTCACTGAATGGCTTATGAACATTTCCCTTACTGTCCAAACATATAGTCCTTCGACAGATCCTCATTTCCAATTTTCTTTTCTCTTTACTAACATTAGCAAATGCTAACTAGGTAGCTAGGTTAAGTTCCACTGCAATAATGACTATCATTACAAAAAATACTAAAGTTATAATTTCCTCATGAATAAGACTTCCAGAGTTTATTGCAAAGAGCTTGATTTTAAATCAAGTGTTCTGAGAGCCGCTGAATATAAGACATTTATAATAATGATTTGAAACTTTGAACTTTAATGACCAAAATTTGATTGGAGGTTCTTGGATGCATTTTCTTACAGCTCTGTACCATTAGCAGTTCAAGTGGTTACATAACGGGGAGAGTGATATGGAGGGAATCCTGTTGTCCTCTGAATAGTGATGTTGTAGCCCCAGGAGTGTTCTCTGCCCATTCTCCCTTAGTCATAGCTCACAGAAATGTTTTCTGGAGTTTCAGGCCTCCCCATTAGCAGCGTAGGTTTGAGAGAGCATCCTAGGTTGTGTTCCTCTCCAGGCAGCAGAGGCCCTGTTTTAATACTCAAGATTTCAGGATCCAGATGTGAAGAGGAGTGATGAATAGGAACAATGCCTGTAGTCACGGATTTTATGTGCTCTCCTTGACACCAGGGATGGCACAAAGAAATGACAAGCCTGTGTTTTCCCTGTTGGTTCAAACTTGAGAATTCTTTTGCAAGCAAGCAAGTACGGAAAGAAAGAAAAAGAAAGGGAGGAAAAGAGGGAGAGAAGAAGGGAGGAAAAGGAAGGAAGAGAGGGAGGAAGAGGAAGGAAGAGAGAGGAAGAAAGGAAGGGATGGAGGAAGGCAAATGGAGGGAGTAGAAAAGAACGAGGTAGGGGAAAGGCAGGATGAGAAGGTGGGAGGGAGAGAGGGAAGGAGGATGGATGGTCCCTCATAGGGACCAGCGCTCAGTAGACCACGGGATGCTTTCTCTCTGACAAGGATGTGTCCTACAAGCTTGGAGCTCAGGGGGTGGGGGTGGGGCGGTGGGGAGGTGGGGAGGTTGTGAGTTGCTTAGCTGGGGATTGATCAAAGCACTTATCCTCGGAACCCTCACTGGAAAGGCGGCTGACTTCCACTTGGAGGCAGCCTCTGGTTTATACACGAGCCTTCCAAGTGGACAGGAGCCCTGATAGCTCAGACGTTTTGTGGGATGGCTCCTGGCCAAGCAGATCAGAGGATAGCTCAGTCCCCAGGGATGACTCCTGGGGACCAGTGTGCTGAGTTTTCCCAGAAGGTTCACTTCATGACATGTCCAGAGCACGTTTGACTGCGGTCTGGCTTTCCCTCCTAGCTGGGCAGCTCAGAGGAGACTCTGCGGCCTGCTGGGGTGTGCCTAGGTAAAGAACAATGGTTCTGATATTGGATTCAGCCAAACAGAGTTGGCTGGGAGCAGGGGCATCAGACACCCTGTCCATAAAATGCACGCGATTTTCAAATTGACATTGTCCATCAGAAACCTGCACATGCCGTTAAGACACGGGAGGCAGAAGTGGGTTCCGCTGCTTGATGTCTCAGGGCTTTGTTTTCTTTAGCCTGGCTTCTGAGTGCGGAAGGGGCCCGTCACACACTCTGAAGCTTGACAATGCCCCAGAGAGGCGGGATGGGAGAGGAGTTGGTGACACCATGCTTTTAATGTGAACTTTTTGTTTAAAGCAAATGCCGCCCCAAGGATTTGGCTACCGCATATAACAACAGGGGGCAAATCAAGTACTTCAGGGTTGATTTCGACGACGCCATGGATGACTACACGGCTGCCATCGAGGTCCAGCCCGATTTCGAAGTTCCCTATTACAACAGAGGACTGATACTGTACCGGCTAGGTAAGGTTTGGTTCCTCCTTTCAGGGGTGACTCTAGTGATGATCCAAGTGGCCAAGGGAGCGGAAATTCAGGTTTCGAGTTGGGAGCGAAGGAGCGCGCCTGAGTTTATTTTAGACTTGCAGAGACACGAGCCACCACAGTGGGACCCCGGGGTGGGAATTGGCCCTGCGAGCCCAAGCGAGGGTGACCCCATTACTTGGTTTCCTGAGTGTTCCCGACTGTGAAATGAGGGTAATGCCCGTGATCACCTATGAAACTGTGCTGGGTTTGTCTTTGAAAGCACAGGAGACCATGAAAATAAGGGGGCTGGGAAGCTGGGGGTGAAGGCACCGTTTCTCCTGGAAGGCGTTAAAGGGAAAATGTCCTGGATCCGAATTTCACAGTAATTATGTCAAACAGGTGATACGATTTTGCTGAGACTGGCTATTTTGTAAATAGCTCATTAGATAAATCCGTTGCTATTCTGAGAATATATAGAATTATTTTGGTCTGTATAGCTCTATATCATATTTTTTATTTATTTATATTTATGTAAATATTTTTGTATTTGGGCTGGAGCGATAGCACAGTGGGTACGGCATTTGCCTTGCACGCGGCCAACCCGGGCCAACCCCGGGTTTGATTCCTCCGCCCCTCTCAGAGAGCCCGGCAAGCTACTGTGAGTATCTCGCCCGTACGGCAAAGCCTGTCAAGCTCCCTGTGACGTATTTGATATGCCAAACACAGTAACAACAAGTCTCACAATGAAGACTGGTGCCCGCTCGAGCAAATCGATGAACAACGGGAGGACAGTGCTACAGTGCTATATTTATATTTATATCAGTTTTTTCAGCCCGTGGGGGCTGGCGATGTGACTCAACAGTACAGCCCCTGCCTTGCCTGTGTGAGACCTTGCCCCCTCCCCTCCCCAGCCTTTTGTTGGTGATGATCAAAAGGTCAAATATAGAAGCAGAAGTCTATATGCCAAACTTTGCACAGTATTGTGTGTAGACATGCTCAACTTTTCTTTTCCATTGTTTGTTCCTGGAACAGGATATTTTGACAGTGCTTTGGAGGACTTCAAGAAGGTCTTAGATATAAATCCTGGATTTCAAGATGCCACCTTGAGCTTAAAACAGACTATTCTAGACAAAGAAGAAAAACAAAGAAGAAAGTACTGAAAAAAAATGTGAAAATTTTAATTGATCCTTATACCTGTACCTAATCATCTCTAATTTAAAGTAGACATTGAAAGTATTTTAATTTATGTTTAAATTATCAGCATTTGTGCTGAGAAAGTATTTAATGTAGTTAGTGGTAGATTGAGAAGCTATTTAGTGTCGACTAAACATGCTTTTAATAAAGTGTACATAAGAAATGTCAATGTGTAGTTGTGCATCATTACAGTAAAATATCTAAAGAAACATGTGGTCCTTTCTTCACTAACTCCATTTTAATTATTTTGCGTTTTGGTATCACCCCTGGTGGTGCTCAGGGAACCAGGCAATGCTGGTGTTCAAACCAGGTTGGCCGTTTGTAAGGCAAGTGCCTTTTCCTTTGTACTAGTCCACTGGCCACAGCACAATTTTTTGCAGTTTTTGAAAAAATGATCGTTTTCTATTAAATTTTTATATCTCCTGCAATGTTAAAGCATAATAATAATAATAATAGACAGCTATAAATTCTTTACTCAGATCCATTCATTGTTAGCACTGTGCCAATTCGTTTTTTATTGAGCCATTATACTTCACACTAAATACTTCTGCCTACATCTTCTCAGAACCACTTTTCTTTCTTACCATTGTAATAAAATACCATTATGTTATCTAGGAAAATTAATACTTCTACATTATCATCCCTCTCCGGCCCATGTTTGGATTTTCTAAACTATTTCTAATAGATCTTCTGTAGACTTCTATTTCCAGGTCTGGATTCAATCAAGTTTCTTGCGTTTTGTTATATGAGTTCTTTGAACCTCGACTACCCCCCTGCCCATTTCTCCTCCCTCTCCCACCTTCCCCCTTGCCCCCACCTCACTTTGAGATAAAGCTATGCTCCGCAGCTAACATAAGAGAAAGTACATTTGGGCTTAAAAATAAACATATGGCCTATAGGAGAGGAAATTTCAAAAATTTAGCCTACACTTGGTTTTCTTTTTGTGAGAAGCCACTGATAAGACAGATTCATGATTGAATGTTGAATAGCGCGTTTAGTCTCTGGACAGCGACAATCACTACGGTTATCATCAACATTGTCTCTAAGCCCGGTTCCCATTCATGTGGAGGTAGAGTGGGGGTTGTTAGAGAGGTGAGAGACCAGTGAAACACACTTAGTCAACATAAAACTTTCTCAAAGATGCCTTTTGGCCAGGAGGAATTTGAAAGGAAAGCAGGTCCCCAACTTAGCCGTGTGTGTGTGTGTGTGTGTGTGTGTGTGTGTGTGTGTGTGTGTGTGTTAGTTTTGGGATCACCCAGCAGTACTCAGGGCTTGCTCAGAGCTCTGTGCTCAGGATTTGCTTCTAGCTGTGCATTTGGCCAGGAGGAATTTGTTTATTTTTTAAGTCACACCCAGCACAGAGGTTACTCCTAGCTCATGCACTCAGGAATTACTCCTGGTGGTGCTTTGGGGACCATATGGGATGCTGGGAATTGAACCCAGGTCAACTGCGTGCAAGGCAAATGCCCTACCGGCTATGCTATTGCTCCAGCCCCTGGCGAGGAGGAATTTGAAAAGAAAGCAGGTCCCCAACTTAGACGAGTGTGTGTGTTAGTTTTTGGAACACCCAGCAGTACTCACAGCTTGCTTCCGGCTCTGTGTTCAGGGCTTCTAGCTATGCATTCAGGGATTACTCATAGGGTGGCAGGAATCGAACCTGGGTCAGCCACATGGCAAGGCAAGCTCCCTCCTTGCTAGTACTATCTCTAGTTTCGTGTGAGAGTTTTGTTTTTATTGTTGAGGATTGGCTTCCTAAAATGGGAATCCTGCATCTTGAGTTTCCCAAAGTAGTTCATCACTACTGTGGGATTACTGTTCTAGAGTGGAGATCACCCTCATCAGCAGAAAGAAGAGTGAGTTTACTCAACCTTCCCTTAGGAAGCAGGTTCTGTGTCAGATGCTGTGACCCTCATCCACCCTACAAAGGTGCTTGTCTAATCCCTGCCCCCCCCCCCACCTTTGGGCTTTATATGAACTTTATAAGCAAATTACAGTTGAGCTGGTGGATCAAGTTGACTTTTAGTCATTACCTCATTATTCCAATTTAAGTGAGCTCACGAAGCAGAAGAAGTCGTTTCTTAGTTTGATGTTCATACATAATACCTGGCAGGGTATGTAGAGACTCGGGGTTGCAGGTGAATGGAAATGAGGAGGAAATGACGTTGGAATGGAAATGAAAGATCTCTCTTTCTGGAGCCAGGCCCTTTCCCCAAAAGGACTTATCTTTCCATTTGTTGGAAGTGTCTTAGAAATGTCTTAGAAAAAGAACTGATAATATTGCATTAAACTGTAGACAAATTCCTCTAGGAAAACTTTCTTTTTTTATTAAAGTGAGGTTCCTAGATTGTGGGAGAGTGTAAAGCCTTTCTACTCAGAAAATCAAATCTTAAATAATGTTTCAATCACTTTCTTTCCTTCTGGCACAAGCTCTCTGTTCTTTACTCTTGACTGGGATTACATGTAATATGAAAAAAAAAAAGCTTGTTAAAGTTTTTCATTTGGTTTGTTGGATTTTATTCAATAACACTCACCCCTGCCTTTTTCTGGCCGTGCTAGGGACTGAACTCAGGGCCTCATATGTGGAAGGTAATATTCAGCGTTTCTTTATCCTAAAATGAGGATGACTTAAGTTCAGAATCATCCCTTTCTGAATTGGAAACTTTTTCCTTTCTTTTTTTTCCCAAGTGACTGGAAATACTGAAAGAAATTACCTTCCTCATTTGTCTTGAAAACTTTACACATTTGGATTCAAATCATCTGACTAAATCCGAGCTTTTATATATCTTGAGACACATTTGCTCATGGACATATTTTTCACGTTTCAGTACTTGTTGAGGTTTTTCCTTCTTTCACTAGCAAAGTACCCAAACTATATTATTTTTCAGGTTTTTCCTTTGGAAAAAACAAGACAAGAAAATTGTGATTTCATATAAATAAAAGTTGTGGTTTCATATGAAAAAGGGTACATAGAATAAATGGATCTTAATTACTTTGGGACATAGAAAAATCACTTCTATAGCTGAAAATCATGGAGCGCTTTTATTTATTTTTTTAAAAATTTGGTCGTCTTTAACATTCCAGATGGTCAGACTTCTTCGTGAAGATCATGAACGATCGGTTTGAGGCCCTTCATGTTCCCGGAGCGAACAGATGCCATTGGGCTACACTAGCACGCGACAGGGACAAATGGAGACGTTACTGGCGCCTGCTCGAGCAAATCGGTGACTAACAGGAAGTTAAGTGATTAAGTGAAAATTTGGAGCTGGGTGAAGCCTTTGGGCTTTATATGAACTTTATAAGCAAATTACAGTCGAGCTGGTGGATCAAGTTGACTTTTAGTCATTATCTTATTATCTCTAAAGAATTGCCCTTTTTTCCTGGTTTTCCCATCTGTCTGTGACCTCTGCCCTCCACACCTTTCAGGGTCTTAGCTCCCTACTACTAGTCTATATTTCATCATTCTTGATGGATGTAATATATTTCAATGCTGTCCTCTGGGAAAATGCACTCAACACCAGTGCTCATCTCAACATCTTATCTCTGCCACCTCTAGGCCCTCTAAAATCACTGTGATTTCAAATAATTATATTTCCTAACTTCTCACTTGACAATTTGAATTTGTCCCTGAAAATTCTTGTGTTTTGAATTACTTTGGGACATAGAAAATCTATATCCATTTGTGTGCATTAAAAAGAATGCACCAACAAAGAATGCACAAATGCACCAACATTAAACTGAAACAAAGTTGATTAATCTTAACTGGGAGAATGATGAAATTCTACTTAGCCCCCAACCCCCTCTATTTTTTCAATGAATGAAAAGTGTATTTGTTGAGCAATACGATTGCAGAAGTGATAGTTTTGAAATGACAGTTGGCCACAATTAGGGAAACTGTCATGGCATGAATACTTCCTATGTTCATTTTTCCTTTGTGCACCATGTAAAAAACAGCTTGGCCGAGACATAATTCACATATCATGTAGTCCCCCCCTTTAAGATGTCCAGTGCAGAAGTTTAAAAACAGAGCATTCAGCTGAAGAGAAGAACAACATGGAGGGCGGGATCCACAGATCCCGAAGGAAAAAAAAAAAAACAGTTTCCAAAAAGAGCCGAGATCATCGGGAAGTCCGAGATGGGGTAGGTACCGCATCCCCGCCTCCCCCAGATGGAACCCCGGTGACCAGAAACCTCTACAAGCACAGCTCAAGTATGCGGGAACTAGGACTTTTCCTCAAAAATGCCGGGACTACACCTCCCAGGTAACCTCAGATTCCGGAAGTCACGCCCACAGCCCGTCCCCCAGCGCCATCTTGACAGCATTCAGCTGAAGAGAAGAACAACATGGAGGGCGGGATCCACAGATCCCGAAGGAAAAAAAAAAAAACAGTTTCCAAAAAGAGCCGAGATCATCGGGAAGTCCGAGATGGGGTAGGTACCGCATCCCGCCTCCCCAGATGGAACCCCGGTGACCAGAAACCTCTACAAGCACAGCTCGAGTATGCGGGAACTAGGACTTTTCCTCAAAACCGCGCGGCCGCATAAGCAGCCGCGCGACATCTCTCTATATACAAAGTGATCCATGGGAAGTAAACCACCTAACGTTTCTCTCTGAAAATCATAGTTAAGCTTTGAGCACGGCCACAGCCCCAGAAACACAAGGACTTAATGCATAACCCAGCAGCTTGGAGCAGAAAAGTGAACGGGCTATGTGTTAACCCAGGCCATCAAGTCTGCCAGAGGGGAAAGGGTGTTGGTCCCTTCCGCCCTCCTCCCTCTGGAAAGAAAGGTGGCGGCCACATGGGAGCCTTGTGGACAGCAGGTATGAGCCGGGGGTGTGGGGGCGACTAAAACCTCATGGGAAGGGGGGGCGTTCCGGTCCGTCCTTCACGCCCTACCGAGGCCACCAGTTGCCCCCCACGAGCGACTCTCCAGCATGGCCACAGCCCCAGAAGCACAAGGACTTAATGCATAACCCAGCAGCTTGGAGCAGAAAAGTGAACGGGCTATGCGTTAATCCAGGCCATCAAGTCTGCCAGAGGGGAAAGGGTGTTGGTCCCTTCCGCCCTCCTCCCTCTGGAAAGAAAGGTGGCGGCCACATGGGAGCCTTGTGGACAGCAGGTATGAGCCGGGAGTGTGGGGGCGACTAAAACCTCATGGAA